TGTATAGAACTATGTATATATAACATACATATATATGTAAAGGCTTTCATTCATATTTATTTATTCATTATGTATTTAAGATATCGAAAACTATTTTTATAAAACTTTTTTTTTACATACATATATAATTTTTGATATTATAAAACACCACTGACTGCAACCACTGCGATGGCTCAACAATAAAACAAATTATAATAATACATTTTAATATTTTAAAAATCGATCAAAAAATTTTTAAAAATATTTGTAGTCAATTTTAACAAAATTTATAACTTTTGATGCTAATAAAAATGTGCTTTAGTTTAATTTTATGAAATATAACATATTTTTTTACTAAATATATATATATATTTATTTATTTAAATATTATAAAATATATTTAAATAAATAAAAAAATATATATATTTAGTAATAGTATTTTTAGCAATTAAAATATATGTTGCTTAATACTCTATATATATATAAATATATATTACTAAATATCCCTTTAAAAAAAAGCTATCCCTCCGCTGGACTCAAAGCCAAAAAGAGCACTTTTCAACTATTGTTTTTAAAACACTTTAATTTGATTAAATTAAATGTGACGTTGGGGATTACGACTAAAGTTGAAAAAACTGTCGAACTTTTGGGTTTCTCTGGCTCTGTGTGTGTGAAAAAGAAAATGTATTTCATTTATTTAGATGGCTGCGAATATAATTGGATTTTGGGCATCAAAATAAAAATATTCGTAAAGTGCTTTAAATATGTATCCACAGCATCGGCAAAATCAATGCTAAAAACTTTTCTATTGACACGGGCAAAGAGAAGAAGAACACCAACTAGCAACAGCTTGTGCATAGCACATGTAGTTTTTTTATGATACAATCAATATGCATGCGTATGGCTGAATGTTATGCAAATATTTGCAGAAGTAACGACAAATAATTGAGAGAGAACTAAACTTGGCAAGAAAAAACGCTGGGCAAAAGTTTGTGGCAACAGTTTGTCATATATCTATATATATATATGGATATGTGTATGCATATATCTGTATATATGTGCATATGTTTTTTATGTGCTTGATGAGCGGCAACTGTGCGTATGCGTAATGTGTGTAGCTCATCCAAAATGATTGCATGCAGTTGTTTGGCGCGCTCAATTTAAGGCCTGGCATCAATTTGCTAACGGACTTTTTTCACTCTGTTATCTCGTATATATATATATTTTTTTTTTGGTATTTGCTGTCGCACTTATTATAATGTTTGCCTTGTGGCACAACAAATTGCGCGTTAATGTGTTTCTGTTGCCTCATCATTTGATTAGAGCGTCAAATTGAATGTTGATATTAAATTTAAAGCTGAGCCTGCGGCGCGACTAACTGCTCCTTGCTCACACCTAGATAGGTCTCACTTATATATATATACATATATATACGTATGTATATATTGTTTTTACCTTTTATTGATTTTTAAATGTGATTTTCGTTTCGGTCTGGCTGAGAGCTAGCTGCTCACATTTCTATTAGCAGCAGCGCCCAGATTTGATTACAAAACTTGATTAAATTTCACTTTGAACAAAATATTTTTTCCTTAAAGCACATTTTGGCATAGAGTGACTCAAAGCGGCTCTATGAAATACCTGGCATATCAATGAAGCGGCTTTTGTTGTCCGCACAAAAGCAGGCGTAACACAAAGACCTAACATCCATGCCATGGTCAAACAACAAGCGCTCGAAACGAGTTCTGCTCAAAGGAGGCTGTTGATGTTGCTATTGCTGTGGTTGTTGCCGTTGCGATGGGTCAAAATCCAATTGAGTAACATTCGCCAACATGCTTTATGGCCAGGTCTTGATGGCGACAGGACGTCGGTCTACGATCAGATACATCATACTTGCTACAGTCGTTGTTGAGCCATTAACCAGATGCACGACTGAACCGAAAAGGTTATAAAACAAAAGCGCGCATCCTCCTTCAAGTTATCCGGCAGTATTTTCGGTATTTTTGCGTTAAGTGCTTCGACGCGTTGATTGCTTCAAGCAATTCACATTGATTGTGGCCCATAAAAACGCTGAGAGCTTTTACAGTTGAGAAAGTAAAGACAGTTAAGACGCGCAGCGCACATAATTATAGTCAAAGCGTAAATCCAAGTCAAACAGTGAAATTATTTAATGGCAACTGCAACTATAAGTGAGGTCAGCTTCAATACTATGTAGGAATGTGGGAGTTGGCAAATTGAAAATATAAACTCGAGGTCAGTTGTAGTCGCTGGCAAAATTATATTAAAAACAAAACACAAACTGCACTCAGCATTATTCTAGCAGAGAAAGAAAATGAAAAATGTATACAATTTATCTAATTAAAATATATTTTTATACAGAATATTTTTTTAATAATTTAATCAATATAGTCATAAAAAAAGAATACAATTTAATTTAAGTATGTTTAATATAAACATATTAAATATTAATATTTGCTTATTTAATTTTGCCCAGCTTAAATATATTTAATTTAATTATTAATTATTGTATATTTTATAAAGCAATTTTCTGAATTAATATATATAAAATTTGTTAAATTTGTTGCTAAACACACATAAAATGTCAACCTGAAGTACACGAAAATTTTTGTCGCATTTATAGCATAATTAAAAAAAGATATTTTTTCTTCAATCTATCCATTTTCTTTGCTCTAAATTTATATACTTTCTACACTGCAAAAATTATTTTTAAGCCATTCCCAGCGGGTTCACGACTTCAAAAAGCCAGCCAGTCACTTTTGACGTCTCGCCCCATCTGCCCTTAACTAAACTTCACGCAGCATATAAGCAAAGCCGAAAAGCCCTATCAGCTATCAATCAACGGAATTGATTCGCTTTAGCTAAACTGTTGCATTTAGCGTAATGTAATGTCATCAAGCATTTGCAGCTCGTGTCATTGCACCGTGAATAAATGTTTGTTGACATTTTCTGCTACGCTCTTTTGGGAAGTTGGCTAAGTTGGCTTAGTTGGCTAAGCTGCGAGGCCAAACATCAAAGTCGCCTGGGTTCAATTGCTGCTGCTGAACTTTGGCATTGTTTGGCCCCAAGAGGAATGTGTCAAAATGAGCATTCAAGACGATTCCCTGCATGCGTGAACTGTTGCCTAGCTGAGAGCGCTAGCTGTTGGCGAAAGAATTGCGAAGCAGCTGCAAATGACGCTTCTTGTGCCGCGTTCAATGGCCGAGTGGAATGAACTGAGCAAGCGTCAGCGAATTTCCGTCTGGCTGTTCGCCAGGTCAGAGTTGATTGTATGCGTGTGGCACGTTGCACGTTCTGCGGTTGCACGAACTGGCTGTGCCATAACTGATTGGTCACTACTACAAAGTGCCAAGTGCCGAGTGCCGAGTGCCGAATACCAACTGTTAATTCTTGTTTCTCATTTATTCCGGCTTGCCGCGCTTTATCCGTGCGTCCATTAACCTTGGCCTGCATGTGCCAGTCGAGCGGAACCCGGAGCTCTGAGTTGCTTTTGCGTGTTCATAATTTTACTAACTAGCTGCCAAACAAAGCATCAGCTTTGTATTCAAATGAACGTTTTGTTCCTAAAGCAGTGACCTCTTTAATTACTTAAGACCCCCGACCTAGACTGACAGACAGACAAAGGAAGCTGCTGTGGTCTGAGGCCAGTCAAGTGTTTGAGCAAAGTCTGCTTAAATGTTTTGCTATTTGCCAGGCACTCAGCACAGTTTGTGAGTTATGGTCAAAGCTGCAGCAATTTACATGCTAAACTTGAGATACACAAGACACTTGCAGCATATATATTGAGGCTAGCAGCTGGCTGCGTTGCATGCGAGCCAGCTGCAGCTCCATTTGCCAGATAAACGTTGCCATTTTGTTGCTCATCCGCCACGTTGCATACTCAATGTTTTCTTTTAGCTCTGGCAAACAGATGTGCCCATAATAAAGAAATGAAATAAGACCAAGTTGTGCAGCTGAAAATATATTCAATGACATGGGTTGATATAGTGGGGAGCAGAGTGGGAAATAGTATTATAGGATTTTATTAGATATATATAAAAATTTATTTATGTATTTTATATATATTATTAGAGTATTTTATTATAAAAATATTATATATTATTTCAAAGTATGCTAAATGTATTCTATATAGTCAAGGGCTAGCAGAGCGCATTTCCTCTCTTGTAAAGCTTGACCAAATAAGACGGATACTATGAGCGATAACTTTCTGTTAACAATTCTTTAAGTTATCGATAACTTTAGCCTATATAAAATATTCATTAAGATTTGCTACTTAAGAATAAATAATTTTAGTAACATTGCTGAAGTTGCTAAAGTTTCTAGCCCAAGCCAAAGCTGAACTTTAGACTTAAGTTTTATTATCCAAGTGTTAGCCACAACTTTAACTTGTCTTTAATGCTGTCGTAAAGCTGCTTTAAGCTTAAAGCTTATGAGCAGCTGAAACTTTTCAGGATTAATCCACATTTCCATGGACAGCTAACAGCAAGTGCAATTGGCAGTTCATTTACAATGCAATTGCTGCTTTTATTGCTGCAGCTCGTTGCTGCTGTCAAATGTGCACGCTGTCAAGCAGCTGCAGCGTGCAAACAGAGTGTGTGTGAGAGAGAGAGAGAGAGAGAGAGTGAGAGAGAGTGAAGAGAGTGACAGCTTAATATGTACTTGCCTGGCACACGTTGCACGCACTTCTTAATGGAAAATGCCATGAGAGACTGAGGCAAATGGCTGCCATTGGCAACGCAAACCGCTTTCGCTGTGGCACTGCCTCGTCTCCCAGTTTATGCGCCGCATAATGTGATCAGTAAGCGCATCAAATTGCCAAGTGCAGCGTCATCAGCTCAATTGTCATTTTTATCGCCGAAACGCAATTCTCTTTACAATACACTAATTTGTTTAACACAAAGAAGAAAAAGATGATGGCAAATGCGCTTTGCATTCGCTAAGAGGCTTTTCGAATCGAATCATATTTTTAATAGAATTTTCCCCTCATTTTTTCCTTGTCTTTGCAGAGTGCGTGTGGAGTACTATGTGAATGAAAACACATTCAAAGAAAGACTGCAACTCTATTTCATTAAGAATCAGCGTTCAAGTAAGTATTTGAAATCGAGACCTGAAGTGGGCAGAGCTAGGCTAGGGAAAGGGTAGAAATGAATATGTTTGAACTACTGTTTAAAGCATTTACTTGTGATTTGATAGCTCATTTGCTAAGTTACTTACTGCTGCTACAGTTAGACCACACTAAGTAACTAAAAGAGTCACAAATATAGAATAGTTTAGCTTGAACTCTCAAATGTTTCACTCAAGTGAATGTTGATGACTTCTGACACTTCAGCCTCATGGCTAGATATGTCAAGTAGGCTCTCACTTGCACGAGTTACCACTGTACTCCACTTGAGTTCTGGCCAGACAGTCTGACTCAGAATTCACGAATGTAAATAAACTTATGGCAAAGCGATTAAAGTTTTCGTAGGCCGCACAAACAATTAAATCAATTGGAAAAACAGCAAAGACAACAACAACAGCAACACGAATGGAATTGCCCATGTCGTGGCAGACGCAATATACTTGAGTAAATATTGATTTCGTTAGGAAATAATTGTACAGGTAAACAGGTCGACCGGGCAAACAGGTAGATTGGTAAACAGTCAAAAAGTTGGCAGTTGGGTTTATTTTTGTTTCGCTTTTTTCTCGTTCTCGCCCACTTCGCTGACTAAGCCACGTCTTAGCTCATGTTATTTGGCTATTTGACCCAAATTTCGTTTCTTTTTTCTGTGTTTCTCTATTTTTGTGCTACTTTCTCCTTCAAGGCTTACGCATACGAATTGCCGATTTATTCCTTAAGTTACTGTCGTGTGTTCTCTACATAATACGTGTGATATTGGATAAAAATCCAACATTTATAACATGGTAAGCCACTGGCCGAAGGCAAATAACAATTCAGATTTATTGTACTGCATTTGTTTAACTCCTTGCGCCAGCTATGGCTGCGAAGTGGCCAATAAGACAGAGTTTATCATCTCTGCCAAGCTGACGGAGGAGGAGTTCCAGGAGAATCCAATCATTAACTGGGATGCAATACTCTGGGTGAATCGTCCTACGGTCCTCTGGGTGCTACAATTACTTCTAGCCATGGTGTCGTTAACTCAATCTTTGGTTCTAACATATCTAGGCTATAAGGTGAGATGAAACTGATTTTTGTTAGTATGAATTCAAACTACAATTAAATACAAAAATAAATATAATTATTTTAAAATTTTATTTGGTTATTTTATTTCCATATTTATATTTTATTTATTTATTTTAAAAATAAAAGAAATCTATTAAATATAAATTTAAAAAAATGTTTATTTAAATAATTCTTATATGTTTTGAAAAAGTTCATTTCTTATCAGGAAAGAAAATGTTTAATTTGATCCTTAAATATTTGATAAAAAAATACATTAATAGAAATTCAAATTTGTTATTTATTATACTTTATATATTTTTTAACTTCATTTATAAAATCGAAAAATTTATGTTACAGTTGTAAAAAATTTTAAGAATATTATAATATAAAAAGCTTATATTTATATTCCTAAAAATATATATTACATATGATATAAATAATGTCGAGTATCTAGAATACATTTTTTTGAGTTCGAATATTATTAAGGAATATTTTATTTTTTTTTTTAGTTATTATAGTTTTTTATTAATATTTATTAGCTTATAAACTTAAGGTTTTTTATACATATGTAAATATTTTAGTCTCTTCCCTATCTAACATTTCTTATCGTTTTCTCTTCATAGGGCAACATATGGCAGCAAATACTCTCATTTCACTTTATACTAGAATTAGTAACGACAATACCCTTTGCACTAACGGTAAGTACACTTAGCGCAAAAAATCGAATGCTAACTGACATATTTATTTGATGATTATCCGACCCTGCTGCTTGGTGTCCCTATAGATTGTGCATCCGCCGCTGCGCAATCTCTTCATACCAATATTTTTAAACTGTTGGCTGGCCAAACGTTCGCTGGAGAACATGTTTGTAAGTGTTTGCATGTGTGTTGGTGTCTGTTGAACTAACCGTAATTCCCGATTTGCATGTTAAAATATTTTTATAGAACGATTTGCATCGCGCCATGCAAAAATCGCAATCGGCTTTGTCACAGCAGTTGACCATTTTGTCGGCCACATTGTTGTGTCTGGTGTTCACCAGGTAAACTATAACAAAGTCACTTACCTTCTCATCTCTTTCTCTCTCTCTCTAACGGCCTCTCTTTATCTCTCATTCTTTTAGTGTTTGTGGCATACAGCACTTTCAGCGCGCTGGGCATCGCCATTTGAATCTATTCCAGAGCACCTACTATGTGGTTGTGACCTTTTCCACAGTGGGCTACGGCGATTTTGTGCCGGACATTTGGCCATCTCAGCTGTATATGGTCATCATGATTTGTGTGGCACTGATTGTGCTGCCCACGCAGGTGAGTAAATGCATTTAATGCCCGACTGCGTTCAACTACTTTAACAAGTTACACACTGAGAAACTGAGCTGCTTGCGACTTATCTGTGCTGCCACAGACACAGCCAATATTTATATACATCATGTAGATGGACACAGGCACAGACACAGTTGTAAGCTGCTTAGCTGCCATGTTGACCGGGTTCAGTCCATCAATCAAATTGGCTATTAACAGATGAGTCGATGGCGACTACTGGTCATCAATCTGTCTAAATATATATGCACGTATATGAGTCATGCTCTCGACTGGCCCTACGGGTCGAAACAATTAACGAATAATTGTTTGTTGAATCTAAAAAGTTATAGAACTGGCTAACAAATAGACGGACTCAAAAAACAAGAGCATCAATCAAAATGCTTTTTTGTAGCATACTTTTTGGGGCCCGGGCTGCAGGCGCTTCTGTCAAACAAGCTGCATGTCAATATGCCCGACGCGCTCCAACAATTTATGACCAGCCATAACAATGGCAAAAGCAAAAAGCAGCAGCAACATTGTGACCAAAATGTTGACTTTCTAGCCAGTGGGCGGCATGGGGCCGTTGACTGTATGCGTTGCTGGCTCTTGCCCGCCTGCCAAGCACTTAAATTTTATTGAAAATATTAGTGCTGCAATTGAGACTGCAATCGAGTTAAACAAAAAACATTGTCCCTTTCGCTATCAATATAGAATGCCAGCCATCTATCAAACTATAGATATCTGTACAAAGTAAATATAGAGGGAGTAGAAATGCTTGCATATATCTGTGTTTGTGTGTACGTCTAAAGTGTCCCCCAGGTGTCCCCCAAGGGTAACAACTGAAAGGAAATGTTTATTTATTATTTTTTATTGTATATACTAGATATATAAATTAGACATTATATTAATTGATTTAAAATTGTGTAATTTGTTTTTTATTTAAAAAAATACAATAAAATAAAAATAAGATATTGTTATTTTTACTATATATCATTAAATTTTATAATTTATTGTATTTTTTTATTCTTATTTTCATACTATTTTTATTTTTTATTATTTTTTTTTTATAATTATTTTTAGTCTTAGTTTTTTATTTATTTTTTTTTGTTAATTATTATAAATTGATTTATGAATTTAGTTGGACTTTTAGTATTACAATATATATTAATATTTATTTATTTTTTAATTATTAAAAATTACAAAGTTCTTGAAAGACCTAAATTTCAATAGGAATATTGATTTATTTTCTTAATTATTAAATAATTCAAAGTACAAAAATGCTAAACAAATATTAATGTAATTTAAAATATTTTTGTAATAATTGAACCTAATCAAACTCTCAACCTTCATTCATACTATGATTCTCAAAATGTAATGTAAGTGATTTATTTCACCTTTTTTGTTTTCTAAATACTATAGATTGTATCATTAAAGTCGCCAAAAATTTCAGAGACTTAAGCTCTTAAGTAGCTAAATATACAAAAAATTGCGCATTTTTGAGTGGGTGCCGAGGCCAAGGCCAAGAAAATGTCAAAGCATTTCATCATACACACAAGCACAAAGAAGCTTGCTTATTCCTCTTAAAAATTTATTAATATTGTATATATTGGGGTTCATATTGGTTTTTTCTATTGCAGTTTGAGCAATTGGCCTTCACCTGGATGGAACGACAGAAACTGGGTGGCAGCTACTCATCGCATCGGGCGCAGAGTGAAAAGCATGTGGTTGTCTGCTCGACCACGTTGCACGCGGATACGATAATGGACTTTCTGAACGAGTTCTATGCGCATCCATTGCTGCAAGACTTCTACGTGGTGCTGCTCAGTCCCATGGAGCTGGACACAACGATGCGCATGATATTGCAGGTGCCCATTTGGGCGCAGCGCGTCATCTACATACAGGTTGGTTAAATATTTGACAAACTGTGATTCGGTTTGAAATGCCAAACGACATTTTGACAAACGCACAGGGCTCCTGTTTGAAGGATGGCGACTTGGCCAGAGCGCGCATGAACGAGGCGGAGGCGTGCTTCATACTGGCAGCTCGCAACTATGCGGATAAAACGGCTGCCGATGAGCACACCATACTACGCTCCTGGGCTGTCAAGGACTTTGCGCCGAATGTGCCGCAATATGTGCAGATATTCAGGTGAGTTTTCACCTGGCGAGTGCGAATGTGTGTGTTGGGTGCGTGTAACGGGCGGCACTTTGTCACGCCTCAGTTAATTCGATTTCTTTCACTGTTTGTGCGCTGCGCGTGCCACACAACCAATGCCGCCAATATAACATATAACTATCGACATCTATATATATTTACTTGCATTCATCTTTTTGTTCAATATCAATATATTTATGTGCGCTGCATATCCTGCGGAAATTCGCTGTGGCCAGACCGGAGCACAAGCTGCATGTGAAGTTCGCCGAGCACGTGGTCTGCGAGGATGAGTTCAAGTACGCCCTGCTGGCCAACAACTGCACCTGCCCTGGCGCCAGCACACTAGTCACTCTGCTGCTGCACACATCACGAGGACAGTATGTAAAAAAACATATATACATTATTTATTTTCTGTATAGTATATGTATATAACCTGTGTAATGCCCGGTCAACTGTTAATGGCCAGCAAACACTAGCAAAAAGAAAAAAATAAAAAAAAACATTTAGCTGCTCTGCGTCAGCAGTTTTGCCGCCTTGATGCGTGTCACTTGTGTCAGCTAGCATTTCGCATCACACTTTCTTTTATCCCTCACTATGCTGTGCACCTAGGCACTCAAGCGACCAAATTACTTAATCAACAGAAAAGGGCATAGATAAGCTTTAGAGCTGGCTATTTGCTGTTGGCCATTTCAGATTCTAGTTTTTCAGTCTTTGACATCAGAAATGAAGCAGCTAAAGAGCCACTTATTTATTTTATATTTTTAATGTGTTTTAAGCTTATTTCGAATTTTTTAATATTTTTCTTATATTTTTAAACATATAACTAAGGTTTCTGTTTGCCGCTATATATAGTCATATCCTTTTTTTGTATGTATTTCTTTCAATTTATTTTTCATATTTATTATAGCTCAAATCCTTCTTAAGCCCTCAAAGCTTTCAATTAGTAATATTTGGTTAAATCTTAAGCTGAAAGTGACTTTAATTATTATACATAGCATTAAAGCGCGCGTCTCACCCACTTCCATTTCCTGCATTAAATTTCAAACGGGCACAAGGACGCATTTGTAGAAAGGAAATATGCGAAAACCGTGTCAATTTGAAGTGCGAGTTTTAATTAAATTTAATGCGCAATTGTTTTTGGCAGCAAAACTGTGTTTTATGCAAATGCTGCTCGTCAAGTGCATAAATTAAAAATAAAATAATAAAAAAAACACAAGTAAAGATTAAATTAAATTAAATGTATGGAATGAATGGAATATTCTCGGGCTGTCTGCGGCTTCAATTTGCGACCGCACGAAACACGCAAGCCAAATTAATCATACGCCGCGTAAAACTTGACGCATTAGTTAACTAAGGAATTCTAATGAGTGTTTCTAACACACAGCGCCAAGCGCGGGGGTGGGCGGTAACGCCTAAATATTTGTGGCCAGACGCCAGAGAGAATCTGAAACTTAAAACCTGAAAACTTAATTCAACTTTTTGGCTTGCACTCATTTAACTTGTCTTTAATTTACATCCCGCCCGCCCACAGGGAAGGCCAGCAATCGCCGGAGGAATGGCATCGTCTCTATGGCAAATGTTCCGGCAACGAGATTTATCACATTGTGCTGGGCGACAGTCGCTTCTTCGGCGAGTATGAGGGCAAAAGTTTTACCTATGCCAGCTTTCATTCGCATCGCAAGTAAGTGAAGACACCACCAAATGCTTTTTAGTTAACACAACGAAATTGACGTTTGAATGGACCTTAAAGGGGCGTTGTCGCACTGCCGACTGGCACGCCTCTTTACCTCACCATTCACATTTATTTACACGCTTCGTCCATTCAAATACAAATTTATGTAAAATGCCAAAAATTGCCTAACATATATACTTATATATATGTGTGTATATTTTCTTACATTTATTTATTCACACGCACCCTGAAAAATGATATTGAAATGTTAGGTACGGCGTCGCTTTGGTGGGCGTGCGTCCGGCCGAACTGCCAGAATTCTATGAGGATACCATACTGCTAAACCCTGGGCCCAGGCATATTATGAAAAAGGATGACACGTGCTATTATATGAGCATTACCAAGGAGGAGAATTCGGCATTTGTCGTTAATCAAAATCAAACTACGGATACAACAACGGCAGCGGGCAAAGATGGTGGTGGTGCTGCCAGCAGTGGTGCTGCCGTCGGCAGCCATTCACATGCAGCAACTGGTGGGTACAATGCGTCACATGAATGCCAAATGTGTGTGTGTGAGAGTGAGTGTGTGTATGTGTGTGTTTGCGTGTGTCTCATCAAAAGAATTATAAACTACCAAAAAGGCGAAACACACACGTTTGAATGACTCTGAATGCTGTCCCAAAAAAAATATATATATATTCATATATAAATATATATTTATATTTTATTTCTATTTATGATTTAGCAACAAGTTCGTTTATTTATGTTCTTTGAGGCTGCCTTCGTTTGCGTGTGTTATCGGCAAAGTTTATAATTTATTTGTCTGTCTTCAAGTAATTTGTTATTCTTAATTTCCGCTCGTTGCGGTTGTCGATTTGTCTGAATTAAAAATAAGAAATAAATTTAAAAAAAAGCCCAAAACTGAAACAAAACGCTTTAAATGTGTGTGTGCGCGTGCCCGTCTCTAATTAATATCATTTATTTCTGTCTTGAAAGTTGACGTTTTTCATTTGTTCATTAATTAATTATCTTGCGCTGAAAGTTCGTTTCAAAAGCTAACACAACAAAAATAGATTCAACAACAGCAACAAAAACAAATAACAAAAAATATGAAATTGAATAAAAAAACTCCACCGCTTTGTTATGTTTGTTCTCTGGCTCTCTAAGAACGTCTCTAACTTCTCTTTTACATACATATTTTATTTTACAACTTTGCTACTTTGATTGCCTCTTGGCTCTACTCGTATTCTATTTATATTTCTCTTGTTTCGAGCTTAGACAATTAATTATATGTACTTAACAGAACAAAAAAACATTTACATAGCGTTTAGCTTGACAGCAATAATCAAATATATATTTTTAGAAGACTTTTTATCCATTTCCAAAATGTTGCCAATTGACAAGAATTATTGGCAAAATAAAAAATTTTGAAACTTTTTTCAAAGTTTTTAAAATTAAAAATATTAAAACAAAAAATGAGAGGAAAATTAGGAATAAAAATAGAAAAATTAAAAACATGAAAAAAGTAGACATAATATACAAAAAAAATACTTAATTTTATATTTGTTTATTTTTTTTTCTTTTTATAAAAGAAATAAATAAAATGAAATGCAATGCAAAAAAGAAGAAAAATATTTTTTATTTTTATATATTATATATAAGATTTCTTATTATAAAATTTTTTTAAATTTTTTTTAAATTATAAAAAAAATATAATAAATTATTTACCATAAAATTATAATAGACAAATAATTAAAAACACATATTTTTAAATTCAATGAGATAAAAATTGCTTATCAATAATTTTTATGTAGTCAAAATAGTAAAAACTTTAACTTAAAATTCTTTGGAAATGGCTAGAAAATTTTCTAAATATTTGCTCATAGTTAGCTGATATAAAAATTAGAAAAATGGAGAAGAACAAAATAGCGCTGCTTATGTATACTGCAGGACTATTAAAGCTTACATAAACTGCAATTGATGCAGCAATGAAAATATAATTAATATATATAAAAACCCTAATAAATAGTTGAGTCGGGGCTCAAAGCTAAACTAGAACTAAGAATATCATCAAAAAACAGTTTGAACACATGAACTCTTGGTAACTCTGATAACTTTAGCTGAGAACTAAACCAAAACACACCTAGATACACACACATGCACGCACACACCTAAACACACACACACTCCCAAATACACACATACTATATATAACTATATATATATATAATATTATATATCGTATAATGTATGTGTAGCGAATGCAACAACAACATCAACAACAAAACAATCAACAACAACAACAACTACAAGAACAATACCAACAACAATTAGCACGACTCTCACATCATCAACATTATTATCAGCATCAGCATCAACAACAACAACAGCAACAGCAAACGCTTTGAACCAAGCGACGATTGCACCAGTGCCGTCTGTTTGTGTTCGTGTGCCCCATAGTCCCACATATGACTCTGGCGCCGGCACGCCCCTAATTGAGAGGCAACACTTGCAACCGTTGTATCCGTATCCGCCACCGTCACCATCACCGCAACCGTATCCGCAAATGCAACAACTAACATGTGACAGTGATAATACAACACTATTTGTGCGTGAGTGTGACTCCAAAAAGAAAACCCAAAAACCTTCTCCACCTGAACTGAACAACTCCAAAGTTTTAATAATTCATTAACAAAACAAAAAAACCAAAATAAAAAAAATGAAGCAAAATCCAAAAAAAAATATTTATAATTAACACCTTTTGAAAACACCTCAACATAACAGTACTCTTTACCTCTCGCTCTCTGTTTCCGTCTCTCTCTCTATATATATATATATATATATTTAACACTATTTGTATTGCCTACTCTTTCGCTCTATATATATGTTTTCTTTTTGTCTAGAAATTAAGTTTTGCTTAGCGCCTGTAAATGCCTTTAGACCCATATGTAAGCCTGCCCAACCCGAAAACCATTTGCCGCTATTTGAAAGCCATTAGCGACAGGTCTCACACACCCAGCCACACACTCATACACACACACTCTCACACACACCCGCCGAAGCAATTCAAGTTACTTCCGCGTTGCTATTTTTGTCTTTTGCTTCATTTTGCTTTTAGCACTTGTTGTTCCTTTCGACGTATTTTATTGCATGTCTCATATTGTGAACCCCTTCTAAATGTTTACCTTTTTTGCTCTCTCTTTCACTGTATTATTTATTGATTTCCATTGTTAGCTGATATTGTTCTTGGACTCCTGTCAATTGTAAATTATATGCAGCGTACACGCAACAATTTGTTGGCTCACATCGCGTATACGCAGCGTTGTGCGGCGTTTTAGCAATTTATTCGCCCACATCGCGTATACGCAGCGTTGTGGCACACATCTGTTTGTGACAGCAGCAGCAACTGTTGCGTGTCTGCCAAAGGCAACGAAATATTTCTATCGAAATGCTGGTGTATTTGTGGCTTAAATTTATGTGGCTGCTGTCGCCTTTCGTCTTAATTAAAGCGTGCTAACAAGCCTCGGCAAATGAGACAGTCATTAGGCAAGCCAACTTGTTTCTTGGACTTCGTTGTGAACAAACGTAATTAAGTTCCAACTACACACGTTAAATGAAAGTCAATATTTTGTGGCCAAAAACTCTGCAGCGCTCAGGCGCCAATGGCATTAGCTGAAAGTTGAATGGAGCTTAGAATTAGATAAGCATAATATTAAAATATTTTATTATTTATTATATGAAATTCTAATATAATAATAGAGAGCCTTCCAATTAAGAATACGTCTTTTACTATTTTCTTTTTATATATTCTTTAATTTTTTCTATAGATATATAAATTGTTTAAGTCAGTTTATTAATAAAAAAGTATAAAAAGCTCTTTAAATTTTAATTGAAACCAAGTTTCCTTAGCATAAAAATCGTTCTTTGAACATTCATTACATGAAAATGTAAAGCTTTTCTAGCTATTTATGAACATCTGTTTATTTAAGCAATCATTAAGGCATTATATGTTAAGCATTATATAGTAAAAGCTTTGCAAAACCAGATACAATTCTTGAAAATATATAAAATGCGCTGACTTTGCTTTGCATAGCTAACACAGCTTAAATAAATACCCAAACAGATTCAAAAGCTTCTTAAAACAAATTTGTTGCCGCTAATGTAAAAGTTGTTTAAAGCTCTTTCTTAAAGCTTAGCTTTAGCTTAAGCTTAAAAGCACTATGAAGCTTAATTCTTATAGACGAAGTTTATCGTTTTTAATGTAAAAGCTCCTTAAAGCTTTATTCTACAGTTTACCTTGAGCCAATTAAAAAAACTTTTGTGAAGCTAATAACAGTTTGAAGTTAAGTTCTTATAAGTCACAAAAGTTCTTAATATATTTTCCACATAAGATTCCACTAAGTTGAGTTCCTTACTTACGACTCACTTTAGGCTAATGTCATTGGCTGAGCTGCTGCTGCTGCTGCTGCTGCTGCTGCTGCTGCTTACCACTTGGCACTGCGCAACTTTTCCAGCTGCACAGCCCTTGGTCCTTGAATTGCAAGGACTTTTAATGAGTTGAACAGGTTTTGTCTATCTTTGCACGTTGTTTTCTACATCGCTCTCTCGTTATCTTTCTCTCTCTCTCTCTGTCTTCCTCTTTTGGTGCGTCGTTGTGCTTCTTCATCCTAGTTGTTTGTTGTTTGGCTAAACTATTAGTGAATTTTACTTGTAAAGCAAACGACATTTTGTTCAAGTAGCTATAAATTTTGTGCTTAATACTTTGCGTTAATGCACTGCGGTCTAATTGAGCGCACAGCGAAGACTGAGCGAAAATATTAACGAATTTCCGTTCAAAAATTTACCTTCTGTAGCCAGCGACACTCCAACGGCTGTGATAATATCGGACTCAAGGCAAAATCTGAAGGACACGACGGTGAGCACAACGCAATTGCCAACGGCGGCAACGACGACGACAACAATAACAACAACATCGCTGGCATGTGGCAGCGGAGGCGCAGGCAGCAGCGGGGCGGTCCAAATTCAGGCCAGCTCCAGCAGCAGCGGAGGTCTGGGCGTCGGTCTCAACATGGGCACCTCGCTGAGCATCACACCTGCTACGCTGACCACCACGGGCAATCACCTGGACGTGCCCTTTGCGAACAATCCCAATCTGCTCAGTCCCGATGTGCTCAATCAGCGTAGAGGTAAGAACAAAAAAAAACAAAGAGAAATAAAAAGGAAAACTAGTATTCCATTTGGCCTAAATAACCCTTATGTTTTACGCAATCTGTAGGCAGTCGTCGACCCTCCATATTGCCCGTGCCGGATATGTTTACGTCCTCCTCGTTTAGCATAGCCGGCAACGACGATGGCGAGGAGGGCGACGAGAGCGACGATGAGATTGACGATGAGATGCCTTGGCGTTCGCCCTCAGAGAAAATTGCGTAAGTCTATGAATTTGTTTCCACTTTCCTCTGTGTCTGCCACGACCTAAGTAACTTCGTTTTTCTTTTTTTTTCTTTTGGTTTCTCTTGATTAACCAATTGATAATTGAGGCACTTTTCCTCCCAACCCCCCTGTATTGATAGCAACTAATATGCATAACTGTATTGTGTACACCCCTAAAAACCAACTAAAGAGCAATGCAAAGTCCTCAAATCACATAGCTAACTCCTAGATAAACCTCTAACTGTACCTATTCTAATCTTATCTCTCTGACTGTGATGTATGTAAGAACTATATTCTATATAATCGGCGTGCTCTCTTTTAACTGTCCAAATTTTGGTCTATGTATGTATATAAAGCTTGGGCGAGCGATATTCTCAGCATATCAGAGCGGTTATCGATAACAGTAATCGATTAAGAAAAGAAAAAAAATTGTAAATTTTCTGGCGTAATATAAAAATTTAAACTAATTTCTTGCTTTAATTAATTAAAAAAAAATTATATACATTTTTTATATCATTTTTATATATATATAACTTAACCATCATAATTATTAATTGAAAAAACATTTTTTATTGTGTTTTTCAATTATTTTTTTATTTTTATTTCTTTTACAATTACTTTTTTAAATATATTAATTCAGATACATGTTTAAACTAATTTGTTATATTTTTATAATTTAAAAAAATTATACATATTTTATAATTTTTTTTATTTATCTATATATATAAATTTTTAATTGAACAACAAATTTTTTAAAATGTATTTTCATTTATTTTTTTCAAATATATTTTTAACTATTTAAAAATTATGTTTTATAATTTTTGTATATATGCATATATATATGTTAAATGTTTGTAAGTTATATATAAATACAAATTTTTTTTGTAAATAAAATTAACTATTTTTTGCTAAATCTAATTAAATATATCTCATTTCATCAACTGGCTTCTATGCTGAAAATATCGCTTTGACCCAGTCCCTTCAATATATGTTTATTATATATATATATATATATATATATATATATATATATATATATATATATATATATATATATATATATATATATATATATATATATATATATATCTGTCATATTAGCTGTAACAACTGCCCTGCCTTAAGCATTAAGCTTAGCTTAGCCTAGACCCTAATCTCGCCCTTCATATGAAACGCTGAACAAAAAACTGAACTCTCGCAGTTGCTTGGGCGGTCACTTTCCGCAATCGCGCACCTATTCGCTCATCATGAGCTCCTCGGAGGACTCGTATCAGCAGCGTGGCAGCTTAGGTGGCGCCAACTGTGGCTATTGCAATGCCAATGCCGCCAATGCAACGCCAGCGCCAGCGCCAGCGTCGCTGCGCCGGCGCGCCATGAAGAAGAGCTACAGCTGCGACAGCGAATGCGCTGTGCCATCTAGTCAGCGGTCGGGCTTGGATATGGGCCTGAGCCTGGGCCAGGGTCTTGCCGGTGGTCCGCTGGCATTGTTGGCGGCGCGACGGCGCCAGTTGCAGCGCTGCTCCTGCTGCTACAGTTGCTCGCACGACAGCTGTGGCAGCAGCAGCAGCACCACCAACACCACCACCACAACTGCAGCGGCTGCCGGGCAGCCGCACGCCCATGCCCAGGGCCAGGCCCAGTGCCCGTCTCAAGCACCGCCACCGCCTGGCTTTACCTTTACGTCGAGCAGCTCCGCAGAGACGCGTCGCTTGGCGCGTCCGGTATGGGCGGCCGACTATTCCGGGTAAGTTGCCGCAATCGAGGCGCCGCCACAAGACACCTGCAACTCGGGCTGTGCGTTTTGGAATGTTCCATTGTTGAAGAGTTGTTATCGTTGCTATTTGCTATTTGCCGTTGCCGTTGCCGTTGCTGTTGCTGCTGCAGTTGTTGCTGCTATTATTGTTGCTATTGCTGCCGCTTCTTATGCAATGTTTTGTTTGCTTGCAACAGTCGCTAGTTGCCTGCCGCAGGGCATTTTTAATGACTTGCAACGTTTACCTTGGACGCGACTTGAGATTTGCAGATGATGCTCTTTCACATTTTTATTCTTGTTTAACATATACCCTCGAGATTCGAGTGCCAGCCCAGTGGGGAGTATTGCAAGTGACAATTGCCCTAAGCGAAAGTTGAAGATTTTATTTTATTTAAACAATATTACTATCAATTTGGACAGGTTTACCATTTAAATAAAATTTAAGGCACGAAATAACTAAATAACTATAATTTATAAATATTTATTATCTTTTTTTTATTGATTATAAATCAAGTTTATTACTTTTTATGATAACCAGTCTTTTTGACATATTTCTAATATATAATTTCGAATATTCAGAGTACTAGCTTATTATATTAGTCTATGATCTAATTTATTATTTTGTTTGTTTTCTAAATTATCTCTGAAAAATACTAGAATTATGTAGAGAAAAATGTAGAAAAAAAGATTTTTTTATAATTATTAACATGAGTTTTGAATTTTTAAATTCTATTTAAAATTTAATTTTTAAAAAATATTTTAAAAGTTTTTAGAGCTACTGAAACTTTTTATTTTTGTAATTTTTCTTATTTATTTTTGATCTCTGCATTTTTATAATACAGCAAGATCAGAAAAATGAAATCGTTAAAGAAGAAAATGCAGTAAAAAACTATTGCAAAGGTGCTATAAATTATATAAATAATATAATTAGTAAATTAATAAATTAATAGTATTAAAAACAAAGTAAAACATTTTCAAATATTCTCTCATGCATCACATACAAATACGCCCCTGACCATTCTTAACTGTTGTTTACCTTTCATGTTTACAGCGTGTTATATAGTCGTTCATAGCGACTATTCTATGCCAACTTTTTATGTAGCATATTCTTGTTGTTGTTGTTGTTGTTGCTTCTGTTTACGCCTCAGCTTCCTTTATTTTGAGCTTTTTTTTTTCATTCTTTGCTTTTGCGCTGAGTTGCATTTTTGTCGTTTGTCGTTTGCATTCATACAAAAGTTGTTCTTTGGATTCTACTTGTTGTTGTTATTGTTGTTGTTCACTTCCAGTGCTGCTGGCCATGTTTAAGCCACTCGCGATGATAGACACTGTTGTGGGTTAGTCTCTGAATCAAATTTAGCCAGTTCTAGCAGCTGTTCGTTGGGCCCACATTAATTGCATGCTCAAAGGAAAACTTAATAAAAATCATCATCTTTTCGAAGACAAGCGACAATTGTGTAGATACACTTCCATGTAGTTAGAAGAAATATGTTTTCCTTTTTAGATTTGCCTGCTAAAATCCTGCACTTAACAACAATGAGAAACGCTTTACTTTTTCCTCTTTTCATTTGTTGTTGCTTAAGAGAAAATTGGGAAATCCATTTGTTCATCTCAGCTGATTTTCACCACTGCAACGCTTAACTCTTCTACATTGCAGCATTGTCAAAGGTTTTCCGCCAGTTTCGCCCTTCATCGGTGTCAGCCCGACTCTTTGCTACCTGCTCAAAGAGAAGAAGCCGCTCTGCTGCCTGCAGCTGGCGCAGGTGAGAGAGCTTCAAATAACATCATCCATTGCCCCAACTCTCGTTCTCAATCTGCCTTTCAGGTCTGTGAGCACTGCAGCTATCGCAATGCCAAGGAGTATCAATGGCAGAACAAGACCATCATTCTCGCTGCGGACTATGCCTCGAATGGCATTTACAACTTCATCATACCCTTGCGTGCTCATTTCCGCTCCAAGACCTCACTGAATCCGATTATTCTGCTGCTGGAGCGTCGACCTGATGTCGCCTTCCTCGATGCACTCTCCTACTTTCCACTGGTAAGCTGTCGAGGGTAACTCTCCTGATAGATAGATAATAATTTGATTTGATGTTTTTAATAGGTTTATTGGATGCTGGGCTCTATCGACTGTCTGGATGATCTGCTGCGCGCTGGCATTACGCTGGCCGAGAGTGTTGTCGTGGTCAACAAGGAGCTGTCCAACTCCGCCGAGGAGGATTCACTCTCTGACTGCAACACGATAGTTGCCGTGCAAAATATGTTCAAGTAGGCAGTGGATCTAAAGCGATGTCTATAGCTTTATGCAATTTCGATTCCTAATTACTTTTCAGATTCTTTCCGAGCATCAAGAGCATCACGGAGCTGTCGCAGAGCTCCAACATGCGCTTCATGCAGTTCCGGGCACACGACAAATATGCACTACATCTGAGCAAAATGGAGAAGGTCGGTAACAATGGGGGCCCTGGGCGGTGTATGCGCTGCAGTTGTCATTGGTTAATTTGTCGCTCACTTAATTGCAGCGCGAGAAGGAGCGCGGTTCGCATATCTCATACATGTTCCGCCTGCCCTTTGCCGCCGGTGCGGTCTTCAGTGCCTCCATGCTGGACACGCTGCTCTATCAGGCATTCGTCAAGGACTATGTGATCACATTTGTGCGCCTGCTGCTGGGCATTGATCAGGCGCCAGGCAGTGGATTCTTGACCTCGGTAAGTGCCAGAGGCAAACTGAACTTTCAGTTAAATTGGCTCTGATACACTGTCTATTTCTCTCTGGCAGATGCGCATTACCAAGGACGATATGTGGATACGCACCTATGGTCGCTTGTATCAGAAGCTCTGCTCGACCACCTGCGAAATACCGATTGGCATCTATCGCACGCAGGACACCTCAAACGCGGATACTTCACATGTGAGTAACTCGCCGGTCGAGCGATGGGGACCCTTCTCGGCCTTCAGCAGGCATTGTGTGCGCTTGCGTCCATCGGTGAGTCCAAAGCAAACGAAAAAAGAAAATCTAAGCAAAAGAACAAAGTTTACTTTCAACTTTTGGGCCCCTTTTTAGCCAATTCAATTGGCCGCACCACAAACAACTAACCAAACTAAAAAACAACAAATTTGTTTTGCCTTCAACTTATGTACATCACACCAACCCCACACACACACACTTTCACACAGCCTGTCTCTCTTTCTCTCTGTCTGTCTCTAACTAACTCTGTCTCTTGCTCACAAATTAGGTAAACAAAAAATGAAAAAGAAATTAATTTCAGCTTGATTTTAGTTGGTCTTTGGTTCTTAATATTAATTAGCGGGCATTAATTTATGTTTTGGTTTCTGTTCAATTTATGTGTTTCGTCCATTGAGTTCATTTTAATTTCAAATCACACGCTTACGCTTCGATACTAACTGCATTTGAGACAAGTCTGCGCCAATAAAAAAAAAATAATAACTAAACTTCATTTGCATATTTTACTCAATAAATATATATATATATATCTATATCTACTTATAAGTAATCGTATACTATATACTATACTACTACAGAACTCTATTTTTCTCAATTATTACTTGAACTTGTGAAAGCTAAAAGTTTTTAACAAAATTTCAATTAACGTAACTTTTACTCGCTTACCAAAGATCTAGAGTTTTTTTCCTCATATATATATATATGCTTAGCCAACAAAGAGCCCCACTCTAAAGCATAAAGCATAGCGTGCTGATTTAGCATCAAATTGTATACAAATTTCCCCCTTGATTTTGTATATAAAAAACATTAAAAACAAATGAAAAATTTCGTAGTTGATTTTATATTTTTATATATTTTATTCGCGAGGAAGTTGCCAAGTTTTTTCTCATATTTTGCCACCTCTCCTTACTCGTAAACACACACATTAGCTATAAAAAAATGAAAGAAAATGAAAACCCCAAGCCAAAAAGACCCAAGCAAAAATTTAATTACTCATACGCCCCATTTGACAATTGTTGTCTAAATGTTGAAATGAAAATAAACTAATTTGCGTTTGTATTGGACTTGACCAGCTATTGAAAATACGCACACGCACGCAGTGAGTCATATATAATTAAAATATAGACTAGTCAAAAAAGGACAGTTTAAAAATAAATAAAAAAAAATATACTAAAAATACAAACAAAACTTACAAAAAATCAATTAAAAATAAAATACATTTCTCATACACTGCCTGCCTGCCTCATAAGCCGTAGCCGTTCCTGTGTTTGTTCTACATGTGTGTGTGTGTGTGTGTGTGTGCGAATCTGCCTCTGTGTGTGTGTAGATATGTAGTACAGTTAGCTAGGAATTCGCTTGCATGACTCTGTTCTTCCCGCTGCTCGTTGTGCTTTTTTCCATTTCCTTTTTTCTTTTAGCCTTTTTTTTCTGCATGCAGACCTTTAATTAGCTGATTGCATTTGCTTGTTGTGCGTCCTGCACGCCAGGACAATAGCTGGCCACAAAAAAAATAACAATTATCTATAGGAGTTTTAAAACACCTCAACTGAACTCCACCCAAGCACCTTGTTGCCTCAGCCCTGCTGTAGTACTGTATTTTATTTTTATTTATTATTTAACATATGCCATTTACTTTAGCCTTGCTTAATCGTTGCGAACTTATGGGTTTTGATGTTGATGTTATCGTTGGGTTTAAAGCAAAGCTGAGAGTCGTAAAAGAAAAACTTATACTAAAAATATTTTTAAAAAAATATTTGTTAGCGCTCTAAAATGCATAAATTTCTATTGTTTTTATTCATAAAAATGATAGATAAAACATATTTATAAATTCTCATAGAAATATTCCTCTAGTTGAGCTACATTTTGAGCTTGCCAAAATGAAAAAAATTTAATATAAAAAAAATGTTTATAAATTAAAAACTTTCTAAAATATTTAGCTTATTACAAAATATTTGTTTGTTTCTTAAATATTAAAAAGAGCTCACAAAAAAAATTTTTTAGGTATTTAAGAAAAGTTTTAAAAATAATTCTATATTTTTATTTTAATATGAAATGAAATATGATTAAAAGTTAATTTTATATTGATATATTTTTTTTAAATATTTAGCTCATTAAAGAGTATTGTTTGTTTTTTTTTTTTAAATAAAGATAATTTTTTTTTTAAATATTAAAACAAATTTAAAAGATAAAAAAAAAACAATCAAAATAATCAAAAAATATATAAAATTGAAACTTTTATTTTACTAATATGAAAACTTTCTTTTATATTAAAGTACATTTTCTAATTAAAAATATTTTTTTCTATATTTAATATTATATATATTAGCTAAGCAATGACTGTAAGGTTATTTAAACTTTATGCCGTGTTGACTGCCAATAATTTGATCGCTTTTATTTGCTAAACACAAACCCACAGAACTTTCGTGCTTTCGTATGTCGAAATGCTCATTAAAAATGTTTGGCTTGATTAAAAAATCGATACAAATTAGCGAAGCGAAAGGCCGACTATCAAATGGAGCTGCAAGGCACGAAATAGGAAAATGCTCGACACCATTTCATTTAGCATATTAATTAGAATTTTAATTGATTGAGTTTTCTATCATTTCGTTGCGAAAAATTGAACCAGCGCTTGCCAAGCACCTTTTCTGAAAAATAGTTTCTCATTTACTTTCGATGCTTTTTCAATTAATTTGATTACGAACATGTTTTGGCTTTTAGTTAACGTTTTATTCGGCATGATTAACAACACACATTAAATGTTACCTTGTTTTTTGTACACACACACACACAAACTCAGACACACACATATATATAAAGATAACATCGTTAACATTAAATGAGCATAAAGCCCAAAAAAAAAAAAAAAACAAAAACAAAAAAAATATATATATATAAAGATAAACATCATTCATGCATTAAATTGAAACAATCTGCAATTTCAATTAAAAATCAATTAAATATGTAAATCATTTTGTGTTTAACCGAAAAATTCATTGAAATTTGCATACCAAAAACCATCTCGACCCAAAAACAAATTCCATGCACAGTATGATGAGGAAACTGGCACGCCCGACTCCACCAAGGATAGCACGGAAATGCTGCGAGGTGTAACATATCGTCCGCCAACAGCGGGCAGTGGTGGTGCTGGTGGCGCAGCTGGTGGTGGTGGTGGTGGTGGTGGCGGCTCGGCCAGTTACCGGCCGCGCCAGAAGTCAGTCAATTGCCTGGGCGGCTGTTCGGAGCGTAAAGGATCATCCGTAAGTAAACTCATTTCAAATCAAGCAACAAACACACACAGATCTCCAATTTGTAGGCGTGGCGCGAGGTGAGTTTTAGTTTTTGATTTTTGTAACTTGGTTCTCGCTTTGACGCATGCTGTTGGTGATGGATGCCAGAAACTGAGTATATCTCTAAATTAACAATATCATTGCACACACACAGACACACACACATACGTACACAACATTGTGTAACTAACAAATGGAAAAACAGAGTCGAGTCTCATTTCTGTCTAACTATTTGTTGGCTAACATCTTTTGCAGTATTCCATCAACTTGGCAGATGAGGCTCGCGACAATCACGCCCAGCAAATCGAGCGAGCAGAAATCGCTAATTTGGTTCGCAGTCGCATGGAATCGCTGAATTTGCCAACCATCGACTACGACGATGTCAGCGAGAAGCGCAATCATTTGTCCTATGTGATAATCAATCCAAGCTGTGATCTTAAGCTGGAGGAGGGCGATCTAATGTGAGTGCTTTGAGAGAACTGCGTCTCGAGAGAGCAGAGAGACATACCACTGATTTAGAAGAAATTAGTTTTAAGAAAGCTTAAAATTAGTTTGATATGCGTTTTAATTTGATTAAGTCAAAAGCTGATTGAAAAAGCTTAAACACTTTAGCTTAAATAGGCTTTTGACTGATTGGAAGACTGAAGCAAGAATGTAGAAAAATCGTTTAGCAAAAATTATTAGTTATTAATCAAGACATATAACTTTCTCTAAAGCTTGTGTTTAAAAAGTAATTTAAAATTATTTTCAATTTTCGAACACTTCAGAGATTCCCAGAAATTATTATATATTTAAAATTTTTGTTTTAAGGGAGTTTCTTTTAAAGCTATACAACTTTGTGTTGCCAAACACTGCATTACTTGGCAATTAATTTACCAGCTGATAGTTATTTATTATTGAGGTAGGCGTGACATTTTATTATGGAGAGGCAATGTTACGGAGAAAACATTCGTTACATTTTCTCTTTATTCTTCACAAGCAATCTCACAAGCTAACAATAGTAAATCTATCAAAATTTATAAAGCTTAATATTTAAATATTGTTAAAATTATAATAATAATTATTTTTATTTTTACAAAAACTTTAGAATCTTACCTTATATCTTTACTTCTATTCCATTCTATATTCAACAGCTATTTGGTGCGCCCCTCACCGTTCTCGGCGCAAAAGACCTTTGAGCGGCACAATTCGCGCCGCAAGTCGAACATTTCGTTCTGCTCGAATATCAATTTGGGCGCCACCTGCGGCCCACAAATGCCAAATATGAGCAACACCGCCGTCGGAGCTGGTTCGCGACGCGGCTCCGGCATTGCCGGTTTGAACCCAATGCAAATGCAGAGCGTTCAGACATTGGCCGGGTATGGATCATCGCAGCGCTGTACGCCCCCGATGCAGCAAATTAAATCGAATTCTCTTTCTCTACCCGACAGTCCGACGGTGGTTGGCTCGCAGCGCGGCAGGAGTAACTCATTGCGGGTTGGCTATTATTCTCTCTATCCACCCTCCCCACCTATCTCTCTCTATATATTTTTCTTTCTATCTCTATAACTGTCTCACTCACTCACTGCCTCCCTATCTAAGACACACGATTTCCGCCTTCCTGTTTTTACGTTCACGTTTATCGACACTCCAAAAAAAAAAAAAAAGAAAAACCTTCTCCGTGTTCACAAACGCAGCTAGATAACTGTGTATTTATCAATTGACAGAGTTGCCATGTGCCTTAAATTCCTGAAAACATAACTCAGCAGTGCAACTCTGTCGTTGCATAAATACATATCTATCTGCTGCATACAAACATATTTATCACTTAAATATCTTTGCAGCAACATTTAGAGCTAGGCAGAATTAGATAAAAAGGTCCATTTTTTAGCTGGAAAAACTTTAAACATCAAAAGAAGTTGGCCAATAAAAAATATATAATTATTTTCAGAGAATCATACATTTTTGGGCTTTCCATAAATTAGCAGTTTTTCATAGGAATTAAATTAGGATGCAATCAAACTCAAGACAAAAATCTTGTTTTGTTATCTTTAAGTTTTAAAGAACATATTTACAGACATTTATTTTTTATAGAAAATTTTATAACTTTTTATTATCTTGGCATAAATTACGACAAAAATAAAACAAAAAAATTAAAGCTTTTTCTATATATAATAAATTTATGAATTTCTTGGTATTATGAGTTGAGAATTCATTTAAATTGGTAAAGTTTTATTTCAATTTGAAAAACGTATTGAAAGTTAGAAGTATTTTTTTAAGCTTAAATAAATTCTTAGAAACTCAAATAAAATATATATGTTTATATATATACCATTTGAATTTCTTAAAATATTTATCGTTACCAAATTTTTATTTTAAATTTGTAGCAAAATTAAAAATAATATATTTATATGTATTAAAATTTTAGTAAATAAAATTTAAAAAAAGTTTTTTGCTTAGGAAATACCATTTTAATTAAAAAAATTATAAGATTCAACTATAAAATTTTTAAAATTTATTCCGAATATTAAATATTAGAATTAAATACATTTAGCATAGAGGGAAAGTGTGAGGAATATATGATATATATATATATAGTATAGGACATGTCAACAAGTTGACCAGCTCACAATACCAGAGTGCTGCAAGGGTATTTAATGCTTCGGTGCGCCGAAATTTGATTTTACTTTACTGAATTGGCTAACATGACACCTAGACTTGAGCAAACATACACACAGTTGTGGTATGAAGAAGCACAATGTAAAATGCAACAATGCTCATACGCACACACATGCACACATGCACACACACACGCAAACACATAGATCCATGTAGAGCATCAAAATTTGGTTGCATTTCGTTTTTGAAAGACTCGCAAATCCATTTCACAAAATTGAAGCGTTTCAAAAAGCCGCAGCACTCGACAACAGCCGCAAAAGCCAGACCAACATCAACAACAACAACAGCAACAATTGCAACAACAACAACAGCAACAATTATCAACTATCAGCAACAAGAACAACCAACCAGTTCAGCAACCATTCATAACCATAAAGCACGCACGCAACGGATATGTCCACATCACGTTTCCGTTTCCGTTAACTCGAGTTGGTTTTGCACCCGCAGCAAGAAAGAAAAAAGAATATAAATAGCGAAACGAAATAATAACAATAACAATCATCATAATAGTAATAAGAATAATAATATAATAACCTAATGCAAACAATTTAATCAGCAAGCGTGCGGCACGGATTTCAGTTCAATGTGTGTTTAGGCCAACAAAAAAGAGAACTTCTTGTAGCCAATTTGTATTGTGTAATTCATGTGTTTGTGTGTTCTTGTGTTTTGTTTTGGCCATTCGCTTGTTAATCGTTAATCTCTAATCTGGTCTCTGCTTTTTGGATGTGTCCAATATTTTATTACTTGCAGATCGATAATGATATTCTGTTGCGTCGCTCGTCGTCGCTGCGGCAGGGCTTGCCCAGCGTTGGCGTCAGCCATGGTCGTCGCAAGTCCTCGCTGGAGGAGATCGGCATCAGTCACTTTACCACTTTGATGCAGGCCACCAATCACAGCAATCCCATCAAGATATCGCTCAATGGCAGCATTGGCATGGAGGTAAGACACTCACTCACTCAGCTTTTGCTAGGATAATTAATAATCCAATCAACTTTCTCTCTTGATTAGAATCAAATCTCGTTGCAAGTGACGCCGCCCGAGGAGCCAACGCCCATGTTGGGCGTGCCGTGTGTTTTGGGCGGCGGTGGCGTGGGCGGCATTAATCCATCGGCACTTGGCGGCAGCGCTGGCGGCGGCGGCGGCGGCGGTAGCAGCAGCGGCATGCTGGGCGCCAGCTCCTCGCTGGCCATAAATACCGCAGATCTGGGTCCTGGACCGAGCACCTCGTCGGGCGCCTCGCTGCAGGCGCAGGACTCGCTGCCGCAGTCGTCACAGGGGCCGTCGCCGCAGCACTTGCAGGGCACGATTGTATGATACAACCTGATGTGGGGTCGCCGACTCCGCTCGTCCATGTCCAAAAACAAATGGATATAGAATTCGGCCAGCACACACAGACGTCGCGATAAGTTCTAAAGAGGCAACCCCTGCTTCTGCTTGCTATAAGGTCAAGCTGCTTAACCCAAACGAGTTTAAAAGCCAAAAATCAAACCCAAAACTATTTATATGTATAATCAAATGGTATAGAGATGAGCGCGTGTCGATATAGCGTGACACGAATTATTTTAGTATGAGAAGAGCTTAAAACACAAAGCAAACACAATGTAAGTTTTTATTTTAATTATTTTTTTTATTATTAAAATTATTATTTTTTAACAAAATATCAAACTAAAAGTCGAAATATTATTAGCATTTTTATTATTTTTTTTTTACAACTAATTTATTTTTTATTTTATTTAAAAGCATATATGATTTTATATATCTATATATCATTATTATTATTTTTACTACTATTATTAGTATTATTATTATTATTATTATTATTATTATTATTATAAATATTTTTAATATTATTTTTAATAGAAATTATTTTCTATAAATTAATTTATACATTTTCTTGCCTTAAGGGCCTAAGTTCGTGTCATGAATATATCTGTAGCTCTCAATTGCTCATCTCTAAGTATTATTATTAAGAATCCAACCCACCCAAAAGCAGCCTATCCCGTGTCTGTGTTGTGTGCGTGTCGCAGCTAATGAAATTTAGACTAGTATTGCCCCTAGCTGAGAGTTCTCCCCTCTCTCTTTCTCACTGAGTTGGCTTAGTTAAGTGTAACGAAGATGTGGATGTGTTTTATCATTTGGCTTATAGGCAAACTACAACTAAGTATATGAGTAGCAATAAATTAGATTCAAAATTCGGTATGCTTTATTCAAAAAGTGTGCAAAAAGTGTGTTTTGGGAACAACAAAGTAGTTAAACTATTGGCATGAATGGAATGGTATCTACCACTTTAGCTAGCTGTAAATAGTATCGTGCATAAAGAAGATGTGTTAGCTGCTAATGCATTCTATATATAACTATAAGATAATTCGATTCATTTCTAGCATATCTCGCTCTAATGCAAATTAGCTGCCCCAAGACAAGAGGCTCAAAACCAAAAACCAAGAAAATAAATTTGGAAAAAAAAGAAAAGAAATTATTTAAACAGCTTTTTAGTAGCCATACAAAATTATGTATATACGATAGTTGTAAGCGCTAGTTGTAGTTGAAATTTGTTCATGATTTTTCTCCATTCAAAGTTTCGCAATTGATTCATAGACAGTGCACTCAGCTACTTCCTTAGGTTTCATATGTTGCACAGCGTTTTGCATTAAATTCGTTATAATAATCTCTTTTACTATAAGAAAGGTGCTATCGATGTTTTGTACCGCAATATTCTTTCGATTCGTAAAAAATAAAAAACTTTTTAATAACGGTTTTCAGAACATAAAACATTCAAAAGAAACAGGCTTTGGTATACTCTAATGCTTTACAAAGAATAACAAAAAGAAAAACAAAACAAAACACAGAAAACAATGCTATGTAGTTGCTGTATATATTAGTTCTTAAGATGGTGGCATTCAAGGAACTGCATAGAAACTATTAGAACTACAACGCAAAACAACAGAAATTAGTTAATAAAAGTTTATGATTATATATAGTCGATAGTCGATAGGCGATAGTCGATAGTCGTTAAGCACTTAGTTCGGTTTTGAGGGCCGTGCTCAAAGCCTAAGCCTATAGCTTATAAACGAAACTGTACCAAATTCAATGAGCTATACACATATTCCAAGCATCAACCACATACATATAAATATATATATATTATATATATATCTTAACTGTCGATTGGCACCTCCCAAAGAAAAAACCTAGACACGTCCCCAGCAACAGGGAAAATTTATTAATTAGCCTTTAGCTAAAGCATACAAATGTACCTACACTCCACACACACACACAAATATATATATATATATATATATATAATGAACTTTAAGATATATACATAGAGCAAAAAAAAACAGTTTTATACTAAGTGAATTTTACTCGGTTCCAGTTTGAAATGATGATGAACCATGCATTCCAGTGTCTCAAGAACCTATGCGACCTATGCGCGCTTAGATAAGCCTAGCACATCCAATAAAAAACAGAAAACCAAAAAAAAAATATAGCATCTATATATAAAAAATATATATATACATATATTTAGTACTAGGTATTCTATTAGCGGTCACTAAATTAGCAATTAGTAAATGTCTCAATGTACAAAAAGCAAAAAAATGGCAATGCCTACGATTAGTTATCAAAGAACCACAAACAACAACAACAACAACAACTAAACAAAAACCAAATGTACTTACTATATTTAATTGATAATTGAATGCTCTTCGAGGCACATTACAAGTTTAGATCATAAAACTTTGCTGTAATATTTAAATGTGCTCTTTAAAGCACTTGACAAAAAACATGACAAGAAAAACTCACAATAAATTCAAAATATATAGTTGATGAAAACTGAATGAAATTGTTAAAGCTAAAGCTGGGCGGGACTTGAAGCACGAATTTTCTGATATATACTAAATCAATTAATTTTAATATATATATATGAATAACTTAAAATATGTTTATTATTTTATATATAATTTATAAAATAAAATTCATTAAATTTTTATTTTTTATATTTTAATTTTTGTATATAAAAAAAATTAAAAAATAATATTATAGTTAAAAAATATATAGTTAAATTATGATTTACTTTTTAGTTTTTAAATATTTTTTAACTATAATATTTATTTTTTTAATTTTTAAAAATAAAATTTGTATTAAAAAATATATAGTTAAATTATCATTTTGCTTGCCTTTTTTTAATGTATATTAATATTCAAATAAAGGCAAGCAAAATTATAATTTAACTATATATTTTTTAAGTACAAATTTTATTTTTAAAAATTAAATACATTTTTAACTATAATATTTATTTTTTAATTTTTAAAAAATAATTTACCAATTTTATTTTTTAATTAATTTTATATAAATACCATAACTGCATAAATCGGGCGTATAATTAGTTGTGATCAAGATCTTTTATTAAAAGATAAGTTCCTTACTTCAGAGACTCATAACTTTGATAAAAACCAAATCAATTTGATTAAACGGATATATGATACCCATATGAACATCAATAATATTATAGAAGCCTGAAAGGCTTTGCCAATATTGAGCCCCTGCTTTAACCAGACCCACTCAAATAATTGCACATAGTTAGGTATATGTATTTATTTATATTATTTATTAGATTGAGTAGCTTTCCAAAAGATGGCACACACATTAGTTTGGTTTGTATTATGAATTAGTTGTTTGCTTGCTTTGGTACGTGATCTTCAGTTATCTTAGTTTATAGATTGCTCTGTTTTGCGTATACAAAAATAATTTTCCTTTTGATTTCATAAGTTATTTGTTCTTTTTTTTTGGTTTTTCACTAATTTAATTGTAGACCCTTCTTTGGGGCTGCTTCATTTGCGTGGCGCAGCAAAGTCGTAGGGCGAGGCCACAGTGCAGCCGGTGGAGGCGCTGGTGCACTTGCAGCTCTTGCCAGAGGGCGACTTCCGATTGACCAGACAGAGGCGTGAATCGGTGCAGCCGCCGTTGTTGATCTGGCACTGGCTGGAGTATTGCGGGCAATTCTGCTCCACGGCGGTCATGCCGTACAGCTTGTGGCTGCCAAAGAAGGTCGTCTGAATGGGCTTCTGGCGTACGCCCGCGCTGTCCACGCTCTCCAGCTTCTTGCTGTGTGGAAGAGAGAAAGGAAGCTAAGTGGATTTGCCTATCAGAGAAAGCTTGCGGCCACCTACGTTGTCCAGTCGGTCCAGTAGAATTGATCGTGCGTAAAGGTCAAGCCGAATGGATAGGACAACTCCTGGGATATGGTGCGCGTTTGACGGCTCTGTGCATTGATGCACTCCACCTTTCTGGTGCCCGCATCCGCATAGCAGAGCTCGCCGCTGTGCTCCAGCACCACCAGAGAATTGGGCAGCTTGACATCATTGGCGCCCAGCAGCAGCTCGCGACCTGTGCCATCCAAATCAGAGTACTCTATCTTTGGGTTCGACCGATCCCAGTCGGACCAGTAGAGTTTCCTGCAAAGAGAGTTACAGTTAAGAAAATGCATCTCAGGTAGGTTCTTTGGTAGCACGACTCACTCTCTGTAGGGATCCACGGCAATGCCACGTGGATTCACCAGATCCTTGTTGATGATGACAGCGCGCAACGACGAGTTGTCCAGGCTGGCCACCTCAATAGTGTCCTTCTCCGAATCCGTCCAGTACAAACGACGGGAAATGACATCAATGGCAATGCCCTCTGGCGATTCAATGTCTGCAAGCGAAATATATCATGATGATTGGGTTATATACCCGAACGCCTTAGTCCACTTACCTGTGCTGATGAAGACGCGCTCATCGGTGCCATCGTATTTGGAACTGATGATTTTTCTGGCTGATATATCGCCCCAGTAGATGCGTCCCTCTACACAGTCCTTGTCCAAGCCAATGGCCATCGAGGCCACCTTAATAGGCTGCACATTGCGTCCATTCAGAGGCACACGCACGAGGACCACGCCCTGGCTGACAATAAGGAAGTTGGAGTCATGCTGTTGGCGCTCCAAGCAAACTGAGCCATTGCCGTAGAAACCTAAAGAATAAGTAAATAAATTTATAAATTATAAGCTTTCAATTACTTAAAATAATTAAAAGTAATTAGTAAGCTAACAAATTTATTTTAAGGTAATTAATAACTGAAGACAGCTCCAATTATTTCAATTACTCAGTACGGATAGCTCTGGTTAGTTTTATTCAATTACTACTAAGTAATTAAATGTAATTCAATTCAAAAATACATGATTAAAATAGCTGTAATTGCTGGAAAACATTTCCTAAATGCAAGAATAGTTTTCGGTAAGTAATTAAGAATAATTACAAGCTGAAAAAAGTTCATATTCCACTATTTGCATAGTGCGCAACTACTATTATTCATACGACTTCCATTATCCTAAGTAATTCAAAGTAATTATCTAATAACAGTGAGTATTTAAGGTAATTAAAACATATAGTATATGTTGAAATTATAATATATAAATAGATAAAAAAGTAGCCCATTAATCTTACGTAATTAAAAGTAATTACTCTTAAAAATAAAGTAATTGTAGCTAGCTAAAAGAATTTTTAAAATGTTTTTCTCAAAAATACTGTAAGCCACTTTAAAGTTTTTAAGTTTGCTCTGCTTCATAGTTCAGACAATAGTTGGCATTGCTTTTGTACAATATTCAATACTGCCTTAGACACGTATCGCATCCAATTTCAATTTCTAACAAAATTCGAAGTACGACATTTTTTTTGGTGAAAAATAATTAAATATAAACGAGATGCGCCCAGTGCAGAGTGTGCTTGCGAAAGTCTCGCGTATTAAAGCTGCGTCTGCTGGGTTGACTTCACCAGTTTCATCGCTTCTCAGAGGAAAGCCAGCGGCTTGGGCACTGCGTCAACAGCAGCGACGCCAATTGCAAAAGGCGGAGCACTATCGTCGGAAGACAACGACGTTACAGTCTATGCGAGAGTTTTTTATGCATCCCCTGACCTGGGATCGCAACAATGGATATTTAAATGTGGTGCTGGCCCTGGCAATCTTCACTTTTGTCTTTATCAATTCGTGCACACCATGCCCCGAGGATCGTGTGCCGCAGCGCAAGAAGTCGGACGACTAAGAACTCACCTGGATTGCAAACACAGACTAAGCCCGAGTTTGTCGAATGGCATTTAGCGTTCATGTCGCACATGGTGGGATTGCTCAAACAGTTCTGCTCCTCGATGCAAACGTAGCCGTCGCCGCGATACCCAGCATTACACTGGCAAGTGTAATTGGCGGGATCCCTGGAAGAGAGGAAAAGCAATCAGTTTTTCTGTTTTCCCATTAGCTGTGCCGTGGCTGGCTGACTCACTCTGTGGGCTCGCAGGTGGCGTGTATGCCGCAGTTGTTGCGCAAGTTACAGGGTATGGGTATGCTAATACAGCCCGTAAGTGCGTCACCTTGATAGCCATCGATGCAATCGCAAAACTGAACGCTCAGTGCCTCATCCCACTTGCAAATGGCATTGGATCCGCAAAAGACTGAACCGCAGCGTCCAGTGGGCACGCAACGATCGCTCACATCCCGTTCGTAGCCGGCGTTGCACAGACAGACGCCGCCATCGCAATAGGCATTCTCCCCGCATTGCTCTGCTGCATGGCACTCCGGAGCCAGCTGGCAGTTGTGGCCGTCGCCTTGGTAGCCTCGCTGGCAGATGCATTCCGATTTACCCAGCTCTTCGTTGTAGCCGCAGGTGGCATGTGCATCGCAGATTTCCGGTTTCTGTAACAATTGATGCACGTAGATCAGAGTCTGTTTGGTAGCAGGTCTCGGTTATATCTTACAATCGCACAGGAGTCCTCGATGGGATCGCAGTTGTAGCCATCACCGCTGTAGCCTGCATTGCAGGTGCAGATGTGTCGCAGCTGGTTCTCCCACCAGGCGCAACGCGCATTAATATGGCAGTTGGAGTCCACATCGCAGGGCAGCAGATCCTCGCTATTGTCCACCTCATAGCCGCCGGCAAAGCGACACGTGCGGCTCTCCTCGCTCAGCTCATAGCCCGCGGGGCAGGTGCAGTCACCGAGAATATTGCATCTTGGCTCCACCTCATGATCGTCCAGCAGAATGGGCACACAGCGTCCGTGCTCGAACACCTCATCGTGACCGCAAATATTCACGCAACTGTAGCCATCGCCGGAAAAGCCTTCGCGGCAGCCGCAGCGACCCTCATAACAATCGGCATCTGGCGAACAACTCTGCAATCCAGATATAAACAAAAAAAAAGTTCAGTTCCATATTGTGAACCAACCTCAATTTTAATTTTCCCATAAAACATGTAGCCTCAAGATAGGCCATCTCTCAGATTATAAAAATTCGATAAATGCAATTAAACTGCTAGAAAATTGGAAGCATTAAGAACTTTAAAACCAAATCTTATTTTGTCATACACAATATTCAGGCAAAATTTATAATATTTTCAAGCTGTTTCAATTTACTACAGAATTTTCCAAATTTTCTTGGGTAAAATTTTGAAAAAAAAATTTATTGTGGATATGATTTTCTCTTGAGATATTTTTCCTTGGAGATTATTTGCTTTTGAGATACGTTTCATTGGAGATACTTCTCTTTGGAGATACTTTTCTATTGAGATACTTTTTTAAGGTTTTTTTTTTGAGGTACATATTTTCTGAAACACGAGATACCTTTCTTTGTTGATACTTTTCTTTTAAGATACTTTACTTTTGAGGTTATTTTCTGTTAAGATACTTTTCTTGGATATACTTTTTTAAGATTCTTTTCTTTGCAGATATTTTGACGATACTTTTCTTTGGAGATACTTTGAAAATACGTCTTTTGAGATTCTTTTTAAGATTATTTTCTTCAGAGATACTTTTCTATTGATATACTTTTCTATTGAGATACTTTTCTATTGAGATACTTTATTTTTGAGATACTTTTTTTGAGATACTTTTCTTTTGAGATACATTTTTTGAGGTACTTTGGAGATACTTTTCTTTGGAGATATTTCGACTTTTGTTTGGAGATTCTTTTCTTTGTAGATACTTTTCTTTGAAGATTTTTTTCTTTTGAGGTTATTTTCTGGTAAGATACTTTCATGAATATACTTTTTGATTAAGATACTTTTTTTGCAAATATTTTGACGATACTTTTCTTTGGATGTACTTTGAACTTTTAAGAAGATACATTTCTTTGGAGATACTTTTATTTTGAGATACTTTGAAGATACTTCATTTGAGATTTTTTTTAAGATTCTTTTCTTTGAAGATACTTTTATATTGATATACTTTAAAGATACTTTTATTTTAAGATACTTTTCTTTTGAGATATTTTTCTTTAGAGGCGGTTTTCTTAATTATTGAGATACGTTTCTTTGGAGATACTTTTCTTTTGAGATACATTTTTCTGAGGTACTTTGGAGATACTTTTCTTTTTGGATACTTTTCTTTGGAGATATTTTTAAGATTCTTTTTAAGATTATTTTCTTCTGAGATGCTTTTCATTTATATTCTTTCCTTTTTAGATACTTTTCTTTGGAGATACTTTTATTTTAAGATACTTTTCTATTGACAGTAAAATACTTCCACTTACATAGCACTCATCCAGATGTTGTCCATTGCCCTGATTGGGCTGATAGTCGTCATGCTCGTCCGGCTGCTCCGGCTGTGGGCGTGGCTGCTGCTGTTCCTCCTCAGTCGGATAGCCCTGCTGACTGTCAACTGGCGTCTCGGATGGCGTAGAGTATTCTATGTTGTCGGCCGTGTTATTGCGCAGACAGCGATAGCCATTGCCTTCGTAGCCATCGACGCAGACGCAACTGAAGCCGCCCTCGTTATTGGAGCACAGCGCATTCTCATCGCAGACATGAGTGCCCAGCGCACATTCATCCACATCGATGCAGATCTCGGCGCCACGTTCGTCCACCTGGGCGGAGTAGCCATGATGGCAGTCGCAGCGATAGGTATCCTCGTAGGGCACACAGATGGCGTTCTCGCCACACTGAACGCTGCCATCGGTGCAGGCATTCGACTCGGCATCAACGCCGATCTTGCTCAGGGCGCTGGTGCGCAGCGCCTGATCCCGTTCGAAGTAGTCGAGCGTAATCTTGGACACCTTCTGCAGTACGCTGCGATCTGTTGGATCGGCATCGTCGTCGCGCAGGCAGCTCTGGTAGAGTATGCGCTGATCCACCTGGAAGCCAATCACGCGCTTCTCCTCGGCCAGCTCCAGTTGATACGACTGCAGCGAGTGCAGCTCGCCAGGACGCACAAAGCGATACTCGTCTGTGTAGTCAGGTAGATGCAGTGCCGCTTCTGCCGCCACGCGTGGCACAGAGCCCGTCAGCTCAATCTTCACAGTGAGCTGATCCCAGTAGTTCAAGCCCTCGAAGGTCTGATTCACCAACAGCATCTCGCCCGTCTCGTACTGTATGCGTGAGATGTGCTGATAGTTGCCGCCAGTCAGCTGATAGCCGTTCGCGGCTCCATTGACGGACTTGGCGAACAGCCAGCCCACGGTTGTCAGCAGCGGCAGCACCAAGCGCAGCTGCGCCGCCTGCTCGCCACTCACGGGATTGATGGTCGTATAGATGCGCGCATCTGTAGTGACCACGTAGGACTGCAGCTTGGCCTCTTCGCTGATGGCCTGGCCATTCAGCTGGCCCGACAGTGAGCCGGTTACACGCATGGGCAGATCGTTGGCCAGGCACGAGCGTCCGTTGCCATAGAAGCCCGGATCACACACGCAGCAGTAGCCCTCGGACTTGTCGTAGCATTGAGCATGGCTATCGCATTGATGGCCATTGCCATTGCAGCTTTGCGCGAGTGCCGGCGACTCGGTGCGTGTCTCCACGTTGTTGGGCGCCAGCGCATTCTCGTCGACAGCCAACGGCGCCACCTGGTAGAGCCAGACGCCGGCCACGCCCAAGTTGGTGCTGTCGCTAAGGAAACGCGCCTGTGGAATTGTAGAGCGTGAGTTGGAAGTTGGTTAGTTTGGCTAGCGCACTTACGTTCTCCGATCCCGAGCCATTCAGATTGTAGTAGCGTCCATCCTCAGCCACAAAGCCCGCCTGGGCGCGTATGTCGGGCAAGCCAAACTCGCCGGCCTCGCCCTGCAGCCAGTTGAGTCCGCCCTGTGGGTAGATGAACTGGACGAAGGTCTGCGAGTCGCCGACAATCAAAACCACCTGAAAGGTGTTCCGTCTGTCCGTCTTGGAGTTAAAGTAGCCCACGTTGCGCCACGTGGCGACAATCAGTTGCCTCGCCTCGAACTCCGTCCAATCGCTGTAGGCGTAGCGCACCAGCAACTGAGCGCGATTCAGCGACTGAGGATCCCTCGACTCGAAGAGCGAAATGGAGCTGTCGTCGTCGCTGTTGCTGGTATCGACGTTCGAGTAGAAGGCCGCTATTGAGGGATACTCGAGCGGAAAGGGCTGATTCAAGTACTCCGTAAACTCCACGTTAAATGTCAAAATGCCATTCGTGTTGATCTGCAATGGAGATGTGAATGGGATGCACTTAGTTGAAGTGTGTCTGGGCATGGGCATGGCTAGTGTATAAGTGCATATGGTCTATCAATTAGCTCCTTTGTGAAGTGCCAACAGGGCACTTAACATTTAACGGCCACTGCGCCTGCCGGAAACTAAACAAAAACAAATCATTAACAGGCGCATCTCAATGATCATTAGAGAGAAAGTGAGAGAGAGGGAGGGAGGCAGCCAGACTCTCTCCCTCCCTCTAATGACTTTTCTAAATTAGTGCTAGATAAATAGTCGAGCCAACATTATCCAGCTGCGTGACCTGCTCCTGTTTACGCTGCGCCACGCACTCCAATCGGAATGCCAAATTGATTTTTCACTTTTCAACTTCAATTGCACAACTTTGCGTATTTTTCTTGCATCCATTTTGCCTAAATAAACAAATATACGTCTATATATATTTTCTTTTTCTTTTCTCTCTTGTTTTTCTTATTTTCGTAACTGGAGCACATGTGTGTGCCCAAAAGAAAAGAATCTGCTCTGTGGCATAAAACAATTTTCTAGCAAATTAGCACCACGACTTGCCGCACTTCATCTTCGGCGCAGCGGGCTACAGCAATGTGTGGAAATATTTGCCAAAAGCCACTTGAAATGCCTTTGAGACTCAAGTCTCTGCAGCTAATTTATTTTGATTTTTTTTAATGATTTATTTTATTTACTTTAGGCAATGTTTGTCTTTGCTATGAATATAATTTTTAACATTTTTACGACTTAACAAATTGTAAAATTTCATTTTCAAATTTCTATTTTATCTTAAGGTCAATCTATTTGGGCGGCAGACTTTCGACATTTAAATATTTTTACTTAGCTCTGTTTCTATTTGGTAAATGATTCACTGGCGTAAATGCCTTGTGTACGTATAAAAATGGTTTATATATTAATGAAACCTTTTCCATTATTTTTCTTTAATTTACTGTTATTTTTTTATTTATTTACAAATTCAAGATTTCATATATATATTTACTAAATCCTATATAAAATTAAAAAAAAATATGTATTTTTATTTTTTTTACTTTTTTATTATTTTATAAAAAACCTTTTGCATATTTTTTAACAAAATTCATATTCCGTCGCATTCACCTGAATTTGTGTTGATTTTAAAATAAATGCAACCTCAATTTTCTCAATTTGATTACATTTTTACTGACTTGTTAATGCGTTTGATCTTCTATTTATAGCTGCTTAAAGGGGTTTGATAATAATAAAATTGAATAATGTGATTTAGCTGGAAAAATGAGGCTTTTGGTTATTTCTGGCCAAAGAAATTCTCGAATTTATGCATTGCTATGGCCATAATATAATGCCACTCACCATTCTGTGCCGCGTGCTATTTTTCGACGTCAGACACATAAATTCAGTTAATTAACTAACAGAAATAGGCGACACTTTCGCCTCGACGCGCCGCTAAGAGCACATCATAATTTTTAGACGTTCAACAAGAAAAAATCATTAAGAACAAGAGATATAAAGCGGAATAATCGACGTTGAGGTGAGGATCATTAAATACTCTTACTTATTTAATACATACATATAATACAAAAAGATTACTCAACTGATGCACAGATTTTAATACTTGATAAGAGGTTTTGCAATTATTTAAAATAATTGGGGGAAGTACAGAAAATATAATATATTTAATAAATGCTATAGGATTTTATTGATGTTTGACTAATCAATAAGAATTTTTTTCTTTCAAAATAAAAATATATTAATATTCATATATCAATATATTATAAAATGTAATAAATAATTTTTGAAAAATGAATATATTAAAGAAGACTTGACAAGACAGCTGCGAAATAAATAGAGACCAAGAGGGAAAGAACAGTAGGGTTTTAGTAGTTAGAAAACTTAAATTAAGTTACATCGAAAAGAATTGAAAGTAAAGAAAAACAGAACCAATATACTTTTTTCACTTTGTGAGCGTGTTTAAAAAAATGTGTTAATGCTAGAGGACCTAAAAACGCATCATAAAAACATGTTTTTCAGACTGACAGATTATACTACTCTATATCCTAATATCCTAAATTGAACAGACATTGAGTTGAATCTAGTTTTGTGTTCACTTTTGAATCAGACAACTAAATAAAAATTTTAATTTTTTTACTCACTTTAATAAAATTTTTTGGGCTTCTATTCAAATTATATTAATATTTAAAAACATAATAAAATTTATTTATTTATTTTCGAACCAACATAATTTTTTTCAAGAAGAATTTTTTTAACTTTTTGCTATATTTAAAAATTACATATAATTAATTCAGTAGCCAATTGTCTAGCTGTGATTCAAAACTTCAAGCTAAAACTTCTAGAGGTAACAGATATATAGAAACTTATTAAATAAGAATCCAGAAAGTACGATTTGCACCTAGATTCACATTCAAAAATGTTGTATGCCTTTACCTATTCCTATGCAATATTTTGCTAGCCAAGAGCCCGCGTTATCAATCTATAATAGCAAAAATAACACACAAATCCTCTGTTCACATCGTTTCAGCTCTACGCTCAAAGTCTTTGACAATTTTCAAATACCCTGCTTGAGAGTATTTCATAAAAAAAAGGCGGCTAAAAGTTTGGATGTGCGCCAAGGCGGGCTAGATGTGTCTTAACACAGCTACAACGGGAACATCAATGGGTTGACTTGTTCGCTATTTATTGTAGCGTCTGTGCCTAAAAAAAAGAAGGCAAGCGAGAAGAAGAAGCTGGCCATGGACCACCCTCAAGTGTTGTGTTGAGTGCGTGCGAATTGCCGTCGTAGAAGAAATGTATCTATCAGATACAAATGTATCTTTGAGTTACTTTGCGTGCGATTACACAGTTTTTGTGTTGTCGAAATGAGCCAGAGGCGGCTGTCATATTTTGGCCCAAAATTAATGTCGATTTATGTTGTCTACGTAGCTATAAATACACCCACCCACACACACAGAAAGAGCTCTTATTGAACTAAGCAAACTATTTGCATAATGACAATTGGCTTGGGCTTATCGCTGCGCTCTTATCAGTCGGTTGAATGCAACAAAAATAAATTCATTCAGCACAATTTCTATGGCTACTTTGTTAACAGATTATATATATATAGATGTGCATATACTTACTATATAGTCTAGTTATACTCACATAGATCTGTTCATATTTCTCGCCATAGAAGCCAATGGGTTGCTCCAGTTGCAACAGCGCCTGTTCGCTGTTGCCCTTGGCCAAGTATTGTATGCTTCCACTGCCCTCGACGTATTCATATAGCTCCTCGGCGTGTAGGCTGTCCAGGTAGTTCTCAAACTGACCGCTCACCTGGCTGAGGCCAAGAAGCAAAGGCAGCAGCAGGCGCCACAATTTTCGATTAAAAGTTTTCATTGCAAAGTTCAATTTGCTTCTTTTCTTGTAATTTCTTAAAAAGAAATTCTTAAATTAATATTTTCTATTTAATCTGTGCGAGTTTCACAATTTTGCGACCAGCATTTTTAAAGACACACACAGGCACACACACTCACACACACATTGAGACGCGCGCGTAGTGTTTGCTTCCAAAAATATCGAATTTAAAAATAACGAACCGGCGGACAACTGAGTCTCTATATAGTATCTATAGCTATACTATATATAATATACATATATATGTATTTGTCTATGGAATTGTGCCTTGGAGCGCCTTGTCTCCTTTATAGCTTTCGATTTGACTCGATTCTTTAGTCGAGCGAAGTAAACCGCACGCGATGAAAACAAAATCTTGACTGAATCGCAGCGCTGCTCTGTGGAATTCTCTTTGGTTCGGTTCCACTGACCGTTAACACTTAACAGAGCTACAAATGTATGCGTGTGTCTGGAGGCTTCATGCATGCATGCCTAACAGAGCCACAAATGTATATTCCTGTGTGTGCGCGTGTGCGTGAGCCTGGAGTCTTCATGCGCTGTTAATTTCCCATCCACAATCAAATGCATTTTCTGTTAACCCGGCAGCTTAACAGCGAGCGCAAGTTAACAGCGGAGCAAATAAGAGCGAAAAGAGCGTGAAAGAGCGAGCACTGATCCAAATAGATCTAGATTTTATATAGACGATTTTGCTTACTTATTTATGACATTTCGCTTTTGCCGTTGACATTTATGTTCCACACGCATTAAGATCGGACTTTTTTTTTGCAAATATTTTACAGCTAAAGAGTTGGGCAAATTAATGAGAAAAATTATAAATATCAACTGAGTGGAAAATTTTTACAAAAAGGATTTTTTTTATAGAAATCCAAAATCTTTTTGGGCAAATTTTAAATTTGTGTTTTTTTTTTAACATGAAAATGTGAATATTTTTAGAATATAGTAATGCCTATTTTTTTTTTAAATTATTTTTTATAAATTTTTTCCAATACAAAGAAAATTAAAAAAAAATTTTTTTTTGATTATTTATATATATATAGAAGTGGTTAGTTAGTACCTTTTGTTTATAGATTTTCCTAATATATGTTAAGTTAAAAAAAAAATATTTTAAAATAATTTTAGTAAATTTACTAAAGTAGAAACAAAAATTTATATATATATATATATAGACATTATATATATATATATATATTTGAAATATTTATTAGCAATTACAAAAATTATATTTATAATATCCCTATACCCTATGATGATCTAATGCCCGTAAACTCAACCCATTTAAAGAGCTTAGCCACACAGCTCCAACATAATAATCATAGGACTCCCTACATAAATAGCCGCTACTCTCCCCTAGCTTAGAATTGCTCAATCTGGTGGGTGTGTTTTGATTTGGTTGCTTGATAACCACAAGGTGGGGCGATTTTAGGGTGACCCCAAAAATTGAGATCAACATTTAGACGAGGCGAGGCACGCGTTCCAATTCCGTAGAACTGAACTTCAGGCGAGGGCGGGCACGTGCCGCTTGATTGCACTCTGAGCTCTCTCGCAATCCCTCTCTCTCTTCATGCCACCGTGAAGCGCCGTAGACATAGTCCCTTTGCCACACACACACACACCCACACACACGCACACATGGAGCGAACGCTCCGTGGCTCTGTAAAAATAAACAAATGTAAAGTTCTGAGGCAGCGACAGAGCGTCTGTGACTCTGGTCTCGTCTTTGGTTTTCGGTTTTCAGTTTTATACATAATGATCATCTACTTGGGCTATTTATGATGTATTTCTCGGTTAATTAGTTGCAGCTGGTTGCAAGAGGGCAGGGGCATGGCAGTTGCTTCCGCATGCATCAGTCAGTCCATCATGAAATTCCAACTCGAAAGTGAATTTTCTTTGCCTTAACTATATTTGGCAGCAGGGCGCGTCTGTCACAGATCTATAGGAATACATATATATACATATGTATATGGTAGGTGCCGCTTGATCGGTGATGGATGGCTGCCTACTCCCAAAATCATTTATCTTCAGGGAGTTGCAGCCGAATTCCAGGAATCAGAGCGAAACGTCGCCTTAGAAAAGTCGGCATAGATCCAACAACAACTAGCTTTGATATAATTGTATGTATGAGTATGACACTAGGAAGAGAACTCCAAGTACTTAAATATATTTATTATTGGCATTAAAATCAAATTGCATTTCTATTAATAATTGATTTGACAGATATAAAACTCTGTTTAAGGGCTTGTTGCAGACACAAAAGATACTCTAAAGAATGTTAACGAAGGAGGAGAGAAGAGGAAGGAGGAGGCGGAGAAGTAGGTGAAGGAAGAGGAGGAGGTGGAGGAAGAGTAGGAGGACTAGCTGAAGAAGAATGAAGGAGGTAGAGAATTAGAAGGAGGAAGACAAGGTGGAATTGTAGAGCAAGAAGGACGAGGAGGACTAAGAGGAGGAGATGGAAGTAAATTTGAAGGGGAACATGGAAGAAGAGGTGGGGAATGAGAAGGAGGAATAGGGAAAATATGTGGAAAGAGGCGAAAAACGAGGAATATAGGAAAAAGGTAGAAGATTTCCGAACTAAAAGGACGAAAACGAGGTGGAGGAAGAGAAGGAGGTAAAGTAAAGGAAAGGAAGTGAAGGAATAAAGAGAAAGGGAAAGAAGGAAAAAGAAAAAGAAGGAATGTAGAAGAAGAAAAATTAGCGAAAGGAGGGGGCGGATGAGGTCAAGGAATATGATGAGTGGGAAGACGAGAAGATAGAGAAAGCGGAAGAGTAGGGGTACGTAAAAGAGGTATATTAAAAACAAAACCTGACAATTAAATGTCCACTTTCTCAGAGAGATTATAAATAAACTAAATTATATCTCTAAAGTTATCAAATATCAAACTATATTATATAACTATTCATTATATTAACTTTCTACCCAATTTATATATTAAACCAGATATACCTCTAAAAAAAGATCTGTGTATTTTGTGCCCTAATGTAACTGCAAATAATTAAGAACTTAAATGAAGCATGTGATTAAAAGTTTTGAAATTGTTTTAAGCCACGGCCAATTGACTAGACGATTCATCTGTTTATAAAAGAGAGAGAGAAGTCCAATCGAGCTGTGAAACGTATTCGAAATGTTTTCTGTGTGGTGGCAACTGTTCAATGTTGCGCTCTGGTTGCAAGTGGTGCGAATGATGCCACAGCTGGACGAGTTTTGTGAACACCATTCAGCTAATACAATGGTGAAGCTTTGCCCACGGCATCCCACTGCTCTGTCACTTAATCTGACTTATTCCTCAATTATTTGTTAGCACGACTTTTGCTGCGATCTGCATGACGAATCGCCGCAGTTCAGCGACTGTCAATCCGATTGGCATAACAAAATCGACTACACCAACGATGAGGATGAACTGCTCTATATGTTTGTGAGTATTAGCAGGCGATGTATGCAGTTTTTAGATATATCTTAGATCTATCATATGCATCATTAAGCACTTTGCCATTCCAGTCTAGCTAGGGTATAGCTACTCTACTTCACATCATTTCAGCTTCTATAATCTGTCTATAAATTTCCAGTGCACTGCCGAATGCACATACAACAGCACAGACTTTCTAGCAGGCAATCGTCAGTCTCTGAACTTGCATCACGTGCGCGAGCACCTGGAGAACGATTTGGCCAATGCAAAGGATGAGGCGTTGCTCTACGAGGTATACGTTAAGTGCGACAAACATGGTAAGTATCTAGCTTAGCTACTATTTCTGAATTGACAAATCTGCTGCAGCTCTAGGACAGCTCGAGCACAAGGACGTGAAAGCTTTGGCTAAGCGCCTGATTCCACATGGCTGTCATCCGTTTCCGGGTCTGGTGATGGAGTGCATGGTTAGGGAGATGATATTAAGGTGTCCAGCGGAGCGCTTTCACAAGACAGCGCAATGCCACGTCGTACGCCAATATTTGCAAAAGTGCTTGCAGCAAACGAAGTCTACATAGATTTAAATAGAGCTTCAGACGGAGCAGCAATAAATAGCATGCAAATCTGGATTCCACTTGAAGTAGTCATTTGTGGGCTTAAATGTTTCAAGCAGCAGAGAAGAGAATATAAAAGCAGGCTTGAAGAAAGGGCCTCAAAGAGGGTCAGCTTCAGGCAGAAAGAAGGGAAGTCCATGGACATATCTTAAAAAAGAAATAAGATAGATGAATAATGATGAGCAAGCTTAAGAGCACCTCTTCCATGGGCTTAGGTACAGGCAGACACTACTGACAATTCCAGTCATTGCTAAGATCAATGCAGAGGCAACGGCAGATCAATTTAATTGTCGTTGCCAAGAGTCCTAAAAGCAGCAATGCCGATGGGCTCAACTCATCCACAGTTTCATCTTAAAAGTAGGAAACAATTCAGTTAAGTTGCTTACAGTTTTAATTGTTCTCTAACGTTACGTTAACATACTGTCTAAATTACGCTAGATCGTGAGAGACTATTTGCTAGATGCTCTTAACCAAATCACCCTCCAGCTGCAGTGCGTCCGATTTTTTTAGCTGCTTGTCAAAGCGTTTGTCAAATTTCTTTGCCTGCTTCTCGCTTAGCTCCTCGACAGCCAGATGCTTTGTGTATTTCTTAAGCAGCTTCTTCTTGAGCTTCTCTTGGAAAATGCCATCGGGTTGCTTGGATACCAGCTTTAGCAGCTGTGCTGCCCAGTCGAATTCGTTGGTTTCTTCAGCAGCTGCAGCTGCAGCTGGTTCTGCTGGCTCCAGCTTAGATTTTTTCTTGGGCGGCGCCTCTTCTTCCTTTTTCTTCAGATCTGCCTCCTTGGCGGCCTTGGCTGCTTCTAATTCGGCCTGTTTGGCTGCCTTCATTTTGTTCAGCTCCTGTTCGAGTATGTCCCACACTTGCGTTGCTTGCTGGCGTGGCATACGCATGCAATTACCCACAAAGTTCTCGAACTTCGCTTTCTTGCGCGGCACATTGTCCACGCTCTGCAGTCGCTGGAAGGCGCTCCGCAGCGGGGGCGTCAGCTGATAGTCACTGCTGTCCAATATAGCGCGTATGATGTCCATCCAGCTCTCCTGCTTCTGTGCATTCTTGTTCTTTGGCTCCTTGGGCACGAAGTTTTGGTTGGAATACTTTTGAGCTTCCGAAATACATTTGATGTGTGCTACATATTCCTCTTCGTAGAAGTCTTTGAGGCAATCCATGCACGAAACGTTTTTGGTCTTGCCCCGGCATTTTGTCTGGTAGTGTTTTTCTACTGCAGGCTTCTTAACGGACTCGCCGCAAATATTGCAGGTGAAGAAAACCATATTTTCAGACAATTATTTAAGGATTTGCAGCCGGATAGAAAGACGCTGCGTATTCCACGTGCGCGCTCTACTATTTGTTATGATTATCGTTAATCGATTGCAATGTTATTGACGTTCTGATTTGTGAGCAGTTGTGACACTGTTGACAATTCTCAATGTGAATTAACCTGTTGCGACTGTAGAGATTTTTTACTTAACAGCAGTAGCTTATCGTTATGGAACTGTTGTATGTTAATTGCTTAGTAGTGAATGCTGTGTGGTAAAGTGTCATAACATTCAGCTTACGACTCCCTGCCTATGTTGCTGACTCGGGTAGTGTTGCCATCTCTAGCTTGCCAAACAGCTGATTCATACACGCTGAAAGTGAAATGTGGTTGCCTATGTTGAAATTGCAACGATTCGTGCCGCATGGACCGCTACGAACTGTGACAAAAGATTGCATCAGGATGAGCAGCACAGTGTCTACAGCTGCCGCGGAACAAAAACCGCCCACCAAATACGAACGCCAACCAAATGTGTTGCGTAAAAAGTTGAGCTCTGTTGTGCCGGGCTCTGTGAATTTACAGGTGCTCGGCGCAGGCGCCAACGGAGCACCCAGCGCTGTTTACTTGTTTACCGACCAGTCCCGTTACCTGTTCAACTGCGGCGAAGGCACACAGCGTCTGGCGCACGAGCATAAGACACGCTTATCCCGTCTGGAGCAAATCTTCGTAACAAGGAACACGTGGACCACAGTCGGCGGGCTGCCAGGCCTGGCTTTGACCATCCAGGATGCAGGCGTGCGCAATGTCGGCCTCCATGGACCACCGCATCTGGACACCATGCTGCAGAGCATGCGCCGCTTTGTGGTGCTCAAGAATTTGCAGATGCAGACCATTGACAGCACTTTGGGCGTTCAATATGAGGACTCGATACTGAGCGTACAGCCAATTGTGCTGCGCAGCGAGCAGCAGCCCCTGCAACCCATACTCAGCTACATATGCAAGCTAAAGCCACGCCCAGGTGCGCTTAACTTGGTCAAGTGCGTCGAAGCGGGCGTGCCGCCTGGCCCGCTGCTGGGACAGCTTAAAAATGGACAAGATATAACTCTGCCCTGTGGCACAGTGGTACACTCTGTGGACGTCACAGAGCCAGCCGAAACGGCGCTCTCCTTTGTCTTCATAGATGTGCCCAGCGTGGACTACTTGGATTCTTTGAAGGCGCAGTCTGAACAGTACAAACAGCTGGCCAACTCGGAGCTAACCGAGGTGGCGCTTGTGGTGCACTTCAGTCCGCCTGAGCTGACAGCTCATGCCGACTATCTCAGCTTCATGCAGACCAACTTCTCGCCGTGCACCCAGCACATTTATCTCAATTCGCATTTAAATCATTTTTCTGGCTATGCCGCTGCACATCGCATTCAATATCAACTGCATCAGCTGGCTCCGTGCTACTTTCCGCTGCTCGCTGAGTCCGCGCAGCTGCAGCAGAGTTGTCCCAGCAACACGCTCAGCCACAGCCTAAAGAAAACGAAGCTGGATAATGGCGTGGAGGAGCCGCGAGACAATAATTTAAGCGATAGTGAAATCGTTGAGGAACAGGAACTGAAGCAGCAGCAGCAGCAGCAACTGCAATTGAAGCAGGTGCAAGGCTTTGCTTCCATGAGCAGCTTTCATTTGAGACCTAAGAAGGGTGAGTGACGCGCATCAGCTATCTATATCTCTCTTCCAATTATCTATATCATATCATCTCACATATCATATCTAAATATATAATAAAAATATAAATATTTACGCCACAGGATTGGATCGCACGTTGGAATCGAAGCTGACGCCGGAGGAATACATCAAGGAGACGCATGCGGTGCCTGGTTTCAGCGAGCTGCTCGCACAGCTGCAGAGCGAGACGGCGGACACATTGAAGATCGAGAGCAAAAGCTATCCGCGCATCATATTCCTGGGCACTGGCTCCTGCATACCGAATAAAACGCGCAACGTCAGCTCGATTCTCATTCAAACTGCTGAGGAGGCGTTCATGCTGTTCGACTGTGGCGAGGGCACGCACGGTCAGATCGTGCGTCTCTTTGGGCGAGAGCGTGCGCGTGAGGTGATGCTGCAGCTGCAGGCTGTTTACGTCTCTCATTTGCATGCCGATCATCACATAGGACTGATTGCTCTGCTGCGCGAGCGACAGCGTCTGGAGCCGGCGTCACCTTTGCTGCTGCTGGCGCCACGTCAAATCGAGCCTTGGCTGAGCTTTTACAATCGTCAAATCGAACCGATTGAAGATGCCTACACGCTGGTGGGCAATGGCGAGCTGTTGGAACAGCCGCTGGCGGGTGAGCGTGTCGAGCAGCTGGGCATGGCTTCGATAGCCACCTGCCTGGTGAGGCATTGTCCGCATGCCTTTGGCATCAGTGTCACGCTGCAAGCGCAGCACGAAGGCGAGCCCATCAAGGTGACCTACAGCGGCGACACGATGCCCTGCTCAGATCTTGTGGAACTGGGACACAATTCAACGGTGCTCATACACGAGGCCACCATGGAGGATGACCTGGAGGAGGAGGCGCGCATCAAGACGCACAGCACCATCTCGCAGGCCATACAACAGGGTCGCGACATGCAGGCCAAGCACATCATTCTCACGCACTTTTCGCAACGCTATGCCAAATGTCCGCGCCTGCCCAGCAGCGAGGACATGCAGCACGTGGCCATTGCCTTTGACAATATGCAGGTGACTGTCGACGATCTGCCGCACTATCACAAGCTCTATCCGGCGCTGTTGGCCATGTACGCTGAGTACACCGAGGAGCTGGAACAGCGCGCAGTCAAGCGAGAGCTCAAACAGGAGAGAAAACGCAAACTGGCCCAAACGTGAGTATATGATAGCTGGCACATATATAAAGATGGTACTTGGGCTTAAGTTAAGCTAAGCTTGATTTTTTTTTTCGTATATACCAAATGCTAGCTTATCAGTAGCTCTTAAAGTCTTTTATAGCTATATATCATCATCAGCGGATTATAAAGCATCGCAGAAACTTAGATTTTAATATAAAATACTTAAAAATAAGTTCAGTAACATTTATACGCATTGTTAAATTGTGATTGGATTATGACATCCCATGCCATGCAGCCAATGACAATGTCAAAGGTTAAAGTTAAAGGTTATTAGACATAAAAGAAAACTTAAAATCTAGTATTTAACTCAAAAGTTTTTATGTTGATTTACAAATATTTTTGTATTAAATTGAAATTAATAAAAATATTATTAAAAACATCTAACTATATAGCGATTTCTATATATATTTATATAGACAATGAAATATATAGCTTTACCTTTCAATAAATTTGATAAAAAAGAATATTAAAATGTATTTAATATTTGGAATAATTTTTTATGTGCACAATTTAACATATTTTTAAAAAGCATTTTTTAAAAATATTAAATTTCTAAAAAAGCCTATTTTAAGAGTTTTTAATTTTAAGTATTTGAAAATTTCAAATATAATTATAATGTATAGTGTAATTTAATATATAATTAATGAATATATTTATGTGTAAAATAAAATAATGTAACAAATTCAATATATTTCATAGATATTTCATTTTTTAACAGTTGAAATATAAACTCTTTTAATAGTCTTTTTTAGCAACTTAAATGTATTTAAAACTAAGCATTAAATTTCGAAAATATATATATAGCTTCAAATATATATATAATAATTACGATTTAAATTTATGATTCTTTATAAAATACATAAATATTCAGAAATTTTTAATTGTTACCTAAGATATTTTTTAAAGCACTTTCTGAGAAATTTGCCAAGTCTAGAAAGTTTGCACTGCCCCATTTATAAAAATAAATTTAAAAGAATTATATTTAAATTTAATTAAAATAAAACAAATTTAATTTTGTTTTTGGTGTTTGTTTTTTTTTTTTTTATTAATTTTTTGTTTTATGTTTATTTGATTCACTTAATACGCATTCGCTAGCAACAGGTGTCTGTGTGATAAACGCTCATAGAATTACAAATTACGAATTTAGTTCTTCAATAATAGTTGATGTAAATGTATAAATAGTCGCATATTAATTTATTAGCTTTGTCGACACAACAGAAGGGCACTTTAGTTTTAATCATATTATTATTATATATTTTTGTTAAACAGTTTATATTTAAGGCACGTTTTCTCTGTTGATTTTCTAATTTTGTTGTTTTTTTTTTTTTTTTTTTTTTTTTAATTTTGTTGTACTTTTTTTGTAATTTTTTTTTTGGTTTTGGAAATTAGCTGTGACTAGTTAAAATTAGTAGTTAAACGAAAAAATAAGTTTTATTATAAAAAATAATATATCTTTGCTTGAACTTGTTTTTTTTTTAAGTTTAGCTGGCGATATTTGGTGTGTGTGTGGGTTGTGTGGTTCAAACTTCTGGTTAATAATTCTTGTTTTTTTTTTCAGTTTTCTTTTTGTATAAATAAACATAATTTCAACATTTGTTTAAAAATAAATAAATAGTTGTACATTATTTAAATTAAAAGAGAAAAAACATCGGCAAAGTTAAGCAGCTGATATTTGTTTATGTTTTTCTTTAACAACAATTGAAATTATAATGTTTTTATAATTTATATAAATAATTAATAATTGCTTTTGCCTTGGCCTACAAATTAAGTTTAGAGTTGAATTTTCATCTTTAACTTTTTCTTAGACTCTTTGGATTTTTTTGTTTTCTGTTTTTTTTTTTTTTTTTGGCTGCCAAAGACAAAAGACAAATATCGTAACGGTTCCTAACGCTTCTTCATTTAGATTCACTTTTTTATATAACTTTGTTTGTTTGTGTGCTCAGGCACGTTCCACATAGTTGCCGGGGAATGTGCCAAAGCAGCCCGTTCTCTGCGAGGTGCCCACAAACCAGCCATCGTCGCACTTCTCTAGAACATGCACCAGATCTCCCTCTAAGATCTCCAGTTCATCAGAGTTCTGTGGTCGGTATTTGTACAAGGCGCGATAGCTGTTAGATAGGACAGTACACAGAGTTAATTAACTGTGGAGATTTCTCTTTTGTGTGGCTTAAAGACTCACGTCAGTGGCTCGGAGCTGGTGTCCACATGGAGTGCATCGGTCTTGTGCAGCGTGCGCGACTCCTTCAGTATGCCATTGGGCGGATGTGCACCATTCTGGGTTAGCGTATTGAACTCGTTATTGATATTTGTGCGCAAGACGTCCAGATTTGGACGCAAATTTGTGGTGCTCTGAGTGCTGATAACTGTTGTCGTTCTAGCCGCAATATCTTCCGCACCAATATCGGTTAAGACCTGTCCAAAAAGGTAAATAGTAGAGGAGTTGATAAGGTTTGATTAGATGACTAGTTAAAAGTGCGTACGGCTAGCAGAAAAGTATTAAATAGAAGAGTTGCTAAATGTAGTTAGTGTATATGGAGTATACGTCTAGATTTGGGTTCGGAATTGAAGAGATTTTTATGAGATATAACATGAAGGGTTAAAGGAATAAAGGTTGATCTAAGCTACAATAATCAAATGGGCCAGCGCAAGAAAACTTAATCAAAATAACTCTGCCAGTTCCAGAGCAGTGTTAGAAAGTCTTGAGATGGATAAAACGATGAACTATAAAAAGGAAATTCATGAGAAGAACTAACAGTAAACTTATTTAGCTGCTTAATACTCCATGATAACTTTTTTAGATGATCTCAGATTTTGGTTTTTACATGTTTATTAAAATTGTATCTTCATTAAATATATTATTCTAAAGAAATATGCCATGAATATTCGACTAGTTGGAATTTGTTGCAGACTTCGCTAGATTATAGCAGAACTTCATATAAATAATTTAGGGGAAATCTAGCGTATTTAAAATACTACCTAAGATAACAAATGTTTTGAGACTTGAGCAAATGCTGACAATGTATTGATGACTCATGGACAATGCTTAGACGAAAATATGAGTAACTGAAGTGAACGTGAATCATATGAGTATATTCAATGGAAAGTGTACAATGAATTTAATTCAGTGAATGTACAATATAACGCATCAAATGCGAAATAATATTGAAGGGATATGCTAGAAAGGATATGGAATATCAAGTAGATTATGCTAATCAAATATATTTACTTAAATAAATATGAAGATGATGAAGATTATGATAAACAAAGTCAATGGGGAGATCTGGAGTAGGGTGGAGTAGAGGAGAGTAGAAGTGGAGTGGAGTAAATGTGACTAGAGTAGAGTTAATTAGAGTAGAGTAGAGTAGAGTAGAGTAGAGTAGAGTAGAGTAGAGTAAAGTCGAGTAGAGTAGAGTCTAAGCTATATCAACTGCAATTTACCTCCACATAGGAGACCGGGAAAATGCCCTTGCGATTGGCTATTTTGCCCTCAAACCAATTGCCGTCGACGCGACGTGTCAATGTGACCAGCTCGCCCTTGTTCAGAGAGAGCTCAACGCCGGACTGGGCCTGGAAGTTGTATTTGGCACGAGCCTGACCCTCGGAGGGACGCTTCGAGGGTGTGCGAGCGCCATCGCGACTGATGATCTGAGAGAAAAAGAAAAAAAGAGAGAGAGAGAGGAAGGAAAAATAGATGCGTTATAGCGTCAACTATAGCAATTGGAATAGAGATCTCGAGCTGGTACCTCAACATAGCTAGCAGGCAGCAATCCAATCATGGCATTGTACTCGCCCTCATACCAATTGGGATCGATTTGTCGCCTTATGTAGACGGTGTCGCCCTTGCGGAACGAGAGCTCCCTAAAAGCAAAAAATTTAGTGAAGTGCATATAAAGAGAGTTGAGATTTGGCGTGGGGCTTACTTGGAGCTCTGTCCCTGGAAATTGTAGAGAGCGCGAGCCACTGTTTTGGGCCCCACCAGCGACTTAAGCGTTACGTCTGTGGGGAAGTCATCGTATCGATTGAGGGCAATCGGCGACTTTTGTGAGGGTGTAAAGTTGTCGGTGTGTCGTCGCGAATTCATGTCCTGCAGCTCCTGTAGATATTTGCGTCGGCGCTCCTCCTGATATAACTTTTGCATATGCTCCGCTTGACGTATGGCTAGTTCCTCATCCGATATGTTTGGCTTGTACTCATGCCTCAGTGGTGTCTTGAAGTGTATATTGACGTCTATATGGAACGATAAGAATTGGATACGGTTTCGATGAGAAATCTGAATCTGATGGCCCAAAGGCGCACGTCAGGTTGTCTTGTTGCTACAAATAAGAAACGAGTCGTTAGGGCATAGCGGGGGGCGACTCGTAGGGCAAGTGTAAGACGAGCTAACCGCAGAAAAAAAATTAAAAAAAAAATAAATAATGAAAAATAAATGATTGTCGCTGCTGTTATGAAACGAGCCTCAGCGCTTATCTGTAACTGTAGCTGTATCTGTAACTGTCTATGTAGCCAGAGCTATAGCTGTATCCGTGTCTGTCACTGTATATAGCTATCTTCATCTGTAGTCTAACGTCTGTGCATGCCAATTGGTAAGCAAATAAACAACGTTAACGCTGTTCAGCGCACGCCTCGCTAAGCAGATAGACCCCACAAAACGCAGATAACCTCTCAGCAAACTGAGAAAGTTGAGATGAATAACAAAGTATATATATATATACAAGATATATATATATATACGTATAGTTTAGTCTTGTTGAATCGTTTTCAAATTGAATTAACATTTCTCATTGTATCGAAAATGAGCTGCAATTGAAGTTAATGCTCGTTAGTTTCCACTGATAGCTAAATGAGCCACCAATTGAAATGAAAGTGGTGCCAACTGGGCGTGTGGCTTAAGTGGGTGGCTGTCGACCCACTGGATGCCAGTTGGCTGCGAAGTACTCGCCGCTGCTGCTGCGGCTGTTGTCAGCCATGATTGGCATCCGTAGATAATGTTGCCCCTATATCATGCAACAATGCAATGGCTGTCAATTAAAAAAGCTCACAATGAAGAAATCATAATTATTATTTGCTTATCTGATCAAGTTTTTGATCGCTTTTGAAGGGTTTCGCCTGACTTGCAGGCGACTTAAACAGTTTAATTCTGATTGACTTTAAATTGAAATTAGGCAAGTTGACTGAGACTTATATATTGTATATATATTGTACATATATATATTTATTTTATTTATAATAATGTTCTAAATGTTCTTTATTGTTTAATCAGTTTTAGCTACCATGAGATAAATCTTAGATTTATGTAAGTTTTTCCTCTAAATTCCTAGTCTTGCCTATGCCTGTCTGAGCTAACAACAATTAATTACATATATATATATATATATATATATATATATTTTTTTTTTTTTTTTTTTCATAAAGCTTAATTTTTATCTGCACTTTAAGGTCATAAATTAACTTGGCTAGTCGCAGCCTGGTTTTAAAATATGAGCCAAGCTGCAGGCGTTTAGCCTACTTCATGCATATACACATAAAAATTAATAGATACAGTTGCAATTTATATATAATATATAGCTTAAAAGTGAACTTTGCTTAGGAAAGAGTTACCTTTACACTAATCAACGCTATTTAGTAGACAAGCAGAGGTTTTTTTTTAATAAAAAACCAAGCTAAAACCTGAGTTAAGTGCATTTGAAAGGGAAATTTGTTGAGCTGCTTAGCTTTAATTCAAGACAAAAAATTGTTTTAAGTTATATAATACAAAATTCATAGTTTTCTGTTATACATATATTTTCTATAAATATATTAAGCTGAGCAAAAATATATTAAACACAGCAAATTATGAATTTTTGATTATTTATTTTAAAACAATTTATTTAACTTGAAATAAATCAAATCCAGAAAATTTGAAAAATATGCAAATAAATTGTTTTAAGATTTTAAAAAAAATCTAAGATAATTAGATAAGAGAAAACATTGTGTAAGCTCAGCTGTACAAGAATTCATAGATTAAAAAAATAATAATAAATAAATGTTTTTAAATGCCAAAAGACGTAAATCAGAGATAAACAGACTTCATCAAACACCTATCGCGTATGTATATATATAAATAAGAGTTAAGTTAGATAGAAGAATTAATATATGAAGTCATAAGGCATAAGTCTTAAAAGAAGATAAAAAAATTAATTTTTTTTAATTTAGGCAATAAGGCAGAAAAATTAAAATTATTTTATTTAAAATAAATTTGATAAAATTAATTTTTTGCATTTAAATAAAATTATGCAGAAAATGCAAAATTTATTTTATTTAAAATGAATTAAAAAATTAAAAATTTATTTTCTTTACATTAAATTAGGCAGAATTAAATTTAATTCAATTATGCAGAAAAAAAAAATTATTTTTAGCAAGCAAAATTCGCTCATAATGTGCTTAAATTGATAATTGAATAATCGAGTAGTTAAAAGCAAATTGCAGAGCTTAATTGGGCTAAAGACAAAGTCAAGAGACTGAGCCGAGTTTTATATAAAACTAAAAGAATTTGGAAATATTAAAAAATAATTTTAAAAAATTAATTAAAAAATTCTTTGTTGACTCGAAAACAATGCATAATGATTTAGTTAATGCTTATGCTTAATAGCACACAACTCGACTAATTAAACATAAAATTGCAGATTTTTGGTGAGCTTGAAAACAAAGCCAAGGGAATACCCTGAGCAGCTTCTGCTGGCAAGCAAAGTAAACCTCGAAAAAGATATATAATTGAAATGATTTACAAGAAGAACAACTAAGACTAACTTAAGCTACTAGCAGTGAGTAGTTGATGAACTACTAAAGTAGCTCCAAGTTGTCTTAGTATAGATATCATTTGCATAGTTGGAGCAGATATGAGTAGAAATATTCCGCGGGGCCTTGGGCTGCATTGCTGGGAGATTCATTTGCATGTGACGTGACCGCGTTTCACATGAACTTGGAAGCAGAATTAATAGAACGCTCAACTGATATGAATGCCAGTTAAACAATTAGAAATCAAACAAAGTCGTAAGGCAAATTCTAAACGAATTGCGCAGCAGCAGCCAGAGATAAATTTTGCCCACAAATAAATAGAAATAGAAATTTTTGTTGAAGGGCTTCGAAAAAGCGGAACACAAGCTGTACAAATATTTGTTGTTGTTGTTGTTGTTGTTGTCCGCCTGTGACAGTGACAAAATGCTTTAAAAAATCATAAAGCACAACAGACAAACAACTTTTTGTTGTGGAAGACAACTAAAAAAAAAAACAAAATGTAATTGTCACTTGAGAGATTTTTCACTTTCACTGATTTGTTTGAGGCGCCGCAATTTGCAGCGTTTTGAAAGTGTTGCCGATTTTCATCTTTCACTGAACATGCACACACATACATACACACACACACACACACATGCACTTGTCTGCACTTGCTTGCCCCGTTAAGCCGGCTTTTCTTGAACTCTTTCAAGCCTTTCAGTTAGGTTAATCAGCGCTTAAAGACCTTTTTTCTGCCCCTCACTCTACACTTCGGTTCACTGTGATTAGTCACACAATCAATCAGAATCACAGCCAGATAGTATGAGAAGGTCGTAGAGCTGATAAAGTCTCTCGACCAAGTCCCAACACGAACCTCGTCTAAACTCGTTTACGACCGTCGATCGACGCGCGTCTTCAACAACTGCCTCGTAGCACGCGTTGCGCTCAACTGAAACCGAAACTGAAATTCAAACTGAATGAAATGGAAAGACTGAGTGAATGACTGCACTGAACAACTGACAAATTGAGAGAGTGTCTGGCATAAAAAAGAGCGCCAAAAGCCTCTACTGGAGCCGTTCAGTTATCGTCGTACAACGAATGCCGTTTCTTTGGCGCCCCACCTCAAATCTCACGTTTATTCAGACATTACACAGCTGCTGCTGCTGCTTCTTCTACTGATTGTTGTTGCGGTTAATGTGTGAAGTGCTTACAGTGGGGCATTTAACTCACGCACAGCTGATAAGCGCCGTTCGAATGTGCATGAATCCAATGGCACATGCCCGTGGACAGTGTAGTGAAAGCAATGCTTGAAATATTCAATTAAAAAAGAATTAGAAATATTTGAAATTTTCTATGTTTAAAAATTGTTAAAATAGAAAAGAAAATTAGATTTTATATATATATATATATATATATATATATATATATATATATATATATATATATATATATATAAATATATATATATATAATATATATTGAGCTCTTCTACCTCAAAATGTTTTTAGCTTGAACTGAGCTTCTACATTTTTTTCTGGCTTGAGCTTAGCTCATCTGCTCAAAGTATTTTGAGACTTTTGCTTAAATTAAGCAGAAACATTTTTACATTTGGCGTAACATATGTTAAGCTGAATGTTAATGAAAATGTTAAATATATTTGTATAACAGCTGTACTTTGACTTTGACGTCTAGAAGGACGTATATATATATATATATATATATATATATATATATATATATATATATATATATATATATATATATATATATATATATATATATATATATATATATATATATATATATATATATATATATATATATATATATATATATATATGAATGTATATGAATTATCCAAATATTTATTTATACTTTATATTTTATATAAAATATATAAAAGCTATAAATGCCAATTGTGATATTATTATCGAAAACGGAATACTAATTATGGTGGAACATTTCCTTAACTTTTTTTTATCGAAAGCTTTCATTTGATAAACTGTTTTTCCTATAATAACCAAGAATTAAGTATAACTTAAGTATAATTTTATATAATTATCTTGGAAAAAAACAATCACAAATAAAGCTTAGAAGCGACATATTTCACAGAAGGAAAGTTATTTGTACGCTTTATAATAGAAACTTTTTTGTGTGATAATCTAAGAAATGACGAAGAGGAAGGAAGAGAGAGCAAAGCTAAGAAAATAGTGGAAAAAGATATTAAAAAATATTTTAATACTTGAAAATTTAACTTAGTATGCATTTTCAACAATAAACTCAAGGGTCTGCTCAGATTTTTTTAAGCCAAAAAATAAATATTAATATTTCTGTTCAGCTTAAAGTTTTCTTTTATTATTAGGAAGGATGAGCTGATCTCAGTTCTGATTTGCTTTTCACGAAATTAGCTTTATATTTACTCAAATCAGCTAAAATATAAAATATAAATATTTGAATTAAATGCTCTATAAAGACTGCTCTATAAAGACTTAGTTAGTTAGTTTAAAGATGTAGAACCTTTGCTGCTTATATCTTTGATAATTCTTATTCTTCTTCAATTTTCAATTGTCGTTGCTTTACTTTTTATGCAATTCACAATTGAGAAATGCATATATTAAATATAATTCCTGATTGTATTTAAATTTCGATTTGAAGCACCTTTGTGTGCCACTGTATGAGGCCCTGCACAAGATCAGAGTTGCAGAGATCGTTGCACCTCAGAAAGCTCGAAGCGGCCAACAATGCGAAGCTTTTTATCACGAAGCACGTGAAAAACGTGAGATGCATAACAATTGCAAAAGAGAGACACACGCTCTCTCCCTCTAGCCCTCTCTCTCTCTCTTTATCTGCTACTCTCTGAGTCTCTCTCTCTCTCTGATAACAAGTTTCGTTTTGCAAAAAAGTAGCGTGAGAAAGCGCAAAACTGGAAAATCGTTTAATCAAAAATTGAGAAAGTGAACGTTTTGGCTTATGAGTGGGCGTGGCAGCAGCCTGCACTTTGGCTAAAAAGGAGGCAAGCAGCCAGTGAAGGGGGGGGTATATATTAAGCTCAATACTAACTGCCGCTTAGCTGTTGCCACGGCTGCTGCTGCTGCTGTTGCAGTTGCTGTTGCTGCCACATGAGCAGCGGCATGGAGGCGCCTATGGCATGCCGATTGGCCAAATATGCCTGACGCTGCGCTGGCGCCGGCGTGTGTGGCAGCCCTACAATATGATAACTCATTGCTGTGGTTGTTGTTGTTGTTGCTGCTGTTGCTGCTGCTGCTGCTGCTGCTGGCAGCGGCGGCACCATCGGCGCTGCTGCTGTTGCTGCTGTGTCGCGTCGCAGCCAAAGCAGCTTGCCGCAGTTGGGCATATCGCAGACGCTGCGATGCAGCGTGGCTGGCGTCAAGTTGTTGCTATTGTTGTAGTAGTTGTTGCCATCGCTGCTCAACGGACGTCGCTGCCACTGGTCGTAGCCGTTGTTGTTGCTGCTGTGCTGCGGCTGAATGTTGTCATCTGTCAGCTCTAAATCATTGCAGCTGCTGTGCAGCTTTTGATGCGGCTGTCGCCAGTGCACGCGATTGCCCGCCGTTGAGGCAGTGCGTCGACTGTGGTTGTTGCTGCTGTGGTTGTTCCGGCTGCTGTTGCCAGGGGGTTGCTGCTGGCCCGCGTAGGTGTTGCTGCGACGCGGCGCTAACGTTTGATGTATCATAATTATTTTTTAATTTATTTCTAGTGTTTTTTTTGTTTTTCTTTCTAAATTTTTCTTTTTGCACCACTCAGTGGTGCATTATGTAAGTGGAAATTGACGCGCGTCGCATTTAATTAGGAAATGGTCGAGCGTTGACGTTTTTGGCACGGAAAAGTGAAACTAACTGAATTGAAAGGCCGCATGAACAGGTAACCAACGTCAGCTCGGGCAGCTTTTCTTGTTCTTATTGTTGTTGTTGTTGTTGTTTGTTTTGTTGACACATTTTGGCCATGGCAACGTCTGGGCCGGCTTTGAGGGTTGGATATTCGTTCGGCTCGGTCGTCGCTTGTGCCGCTGCCTCGTGCTCGGCTTGCGCCTTGGACAGGTGGCGGTAAGCGGGTCAACAACGTTGGCCGTCAGTCTCCTCCGGCGCTTCTGCTATTGGCCCTATCGATTAATTTGGTCAGCTAATGCACGCGGCGCACCTTCAAAACAAAAAGCTATTGCCATTGCAGCAATTGCGGAAATTTGTTGCGGTAGTAAAAGCAAAACGAGAAATAACTCAAAGAGAATAAAAATGGAATTTCGCAAAGGTCATTGAATGAACGCAGCACGCAGAGGCGTAGCCAAGAAATTCAATGTGAAAGGGGCTGAGGGCTGGACAAAGGTGAATGTGAGGTAATTTAGCTTGGAAATCGTTTAATGTTGAAAGCTGTTTTTAGAAGTTTTATGAAGGTCTAGAGATCGATTAGGGCTTAGAGAAATTTCAAGAGATGTCAAAAAGAATTTTTAAGCAAGTTTTCAGAGTCTAGATCTAAAAGAATTGTGATAGATAAATATAGTTCACGTGATGTATGATATTTATGTGTACTAAAAAAAATTTGTATAGTTATACATTTAGATAAATTCTTATTACATATTATATTTAAATATGAGCTAAAAAATCTTAGTCAAGTAAACAGAGAACTGGACTAAAAAACTTATATATTTTTGACTGAGCTGTGCTAAAAGCAGCTTTAAATGAAGTCTACCTAAAATGTTTATCATTTGTCTAAAAAAGTGATATACTTATAAATATATATATTATATATTTTTACTGTGCTAAAAATGTACATTTAAAACTTTTTTAGCACAGGTAAAAGACAAGAAAAATATATTAGTTTTTAGCTCAGTTCTCAATTGACTTGTTTTTTTTTTTTCAGACTTTTTCAGCATAAATTGAATGATAATCTTTAATATGAGTCTACCTAAATGTATAAGTGTACAAAGCTTTTTTAGCACACATGTGAAATACTTGGGCTATTAAATTTCACACGTCTCAGAGTTGGCTTCTTCAAGCATAAATAAAAATAATTTTTTTAATTTTTAACTTACAGAGAAACATACAATATTGCCAAATATAATTTAAACAAATTATAATTTTGTAATATTTGATTTTAAATATGTGAAGAACCATCTCAATTTAATAAAAGGGCGAATATATTCGTAGTTCAAGTATAAGCATCATTTTTAGTACACTTCTTGATAATCCTATTCCTAACACAAGTATTTAGATTATTGAGAGAGTGAAAGAGAGAGAGAGATTTTTAGCACACATATGTGTTTTAGTACAACTATGATTAAAGTTTCTTTAAAATATAAAGTACCTCAGACTGAACTAAAATATAAAAATTGCTCAATTTAAATAGAATTCAAGTTTGACACTTAGTAAAGTAAAGCCTATTCTCATAGAGACAGACTTCAATATCAAAAAGATTCTTAGGCTTTAAGCGAATTCATTTAAATAAAATTTAATTTAAATAATAAATAATTTAAATAAAGCATATTCTTGAGATAAGATATGATAGAACCTTACTCTAGAAGTCTTTGAAATATCAAAATATTCTTCTGATCAGCTGATCAGTTTTTAGTACACATAAATTTATCAAAATTTTTTTTTGGAAAATTCAAATTCAGAGTGAAACGAAATTTACAAATTTCAAATCCATTAGCTTGAGATGACCATATAATTAGTGGTCGCTGCTGACCCCTTTTAAAATGCAAATTTTCGTAATTTGCTCACTTTTTAGTACACTCATTTTTTTAGTACAGTTTGCAAGCAGCGATCTGGCAACGCCAACGACTGTTTGGCACCTGCCTGAACTCACCTGTACCCGAATCAATTCGATCACCGTTGCTGTTGACGAATGGGCTGTAGGGCTCATAGCCCGAGTGGTTGGCCAGGCCCTTGAGTGGCGGCTGTGGGGGTATTGGTGGTGGTGGTGCGGCGCTCGAGTCAAAATCTACGCCAGCAATGGACAAATGGACAATACAGAAGTTGGATAAAAATTTCGAAATGTGAACGGAAAACCAATTGTAAGCCAAGTCTTCAGAACAGAGCAACGAGAAACCAAGCCTAAGACTACGAGATTAGGTGAGCAGCTGAAGCGCAGGCAACAGCCCTTAGGAGACACACCCACTGCCACACTGTCAAGAAGGAATGTTACCTTTAAACGTGACCGCCATGGCGCTGCGCTTGAGACGTTCCAAGCTGCTGACCGGGCAACGCCGGGTAGCCGTGCTAGCTACGCTCTCTCCATCGGGCACGTAGCGCGCCTTGGGCCGATGCTTGTGAGCATCGAATTGCTGATTGGCAAAGATGTCTGCCGTCGCCTGCTGAGTCGCCCTGGCTGGACGTATGGGCGAGGTGGAGTTGGCTCTGAGGCCCAGATTGCGTTTGGGCTTCTTGGGCAGCGCCGGCGTGCGCTCTGGATGCTTGTGGGCCACCCAATCGCCGCTCAGGTGCGGCGAGATGTCGTGCACGTCGCGCAGATCGGCCAGCGACGTGGATAGATAACGCTGCGGCAGACTCTGGCCGGGCTCGGGCGACTCGTAACGATGGCGCAGCGTCTGAACGTGGCCCGCGGAGCAGCTGTTGCTGCTGTGACTGCGCGTCGGACTGACCTTGGCCGGCAGCAGCTCGGCCATTTTGCTGATGATGTCGATGTGCGGCATCAGCAGGCCGCGCTGTCGCCGCCGGCCACGATCCGGCGATGTGGACTCCAGCTTGTGACTGACAGCGTCGGCAGCTGGCAACGCATCCGCGGCGTTGCCCGAGGCGTCTTTTGATCCTCCCGCCTTCAATTGAGGATCGCTGCGCGCCTTCCGCAGCTGGCTAAGCCCAAAAAAATCGCGCCTTTCGTTCGACTGCTCGCGCTCGATGCTCTCGAACTTCTGCTTGATCTTCTGCACCTCGCCCGTATAGACGCGCTGCAGATAGGAGCTGGAGCAGGCGGAGACCTGCGACTGCGGCGACAGGCTGCGCGACCGATAGTATGCATCGTAGAGCTCAATGCTGCCGACGGGCGAGCCAGCCGCGTAGCTGTGCAGCTCGGCCGGCTGATCGGGCTCGAGTTGGCCGTCGGGCGGCCGCTCGGGCGGGCTGTGCAAGTGAAAATTTACACGTGCCGCGGCGCGCTCGCCGTAGATGCCGCTCAGATCGGTCAGCGAGTTGCTCAGCTCCGTGTGCACCAGCTGAGCGTGCCTGGCCTGCTGCCTCGCCTGCATGTTCTGCTCGATGAGACGCATGACCTCGGCCTCGTCCGGGGAGCTGTCCTCGCGCGCATGGTAGATGGTCTTGCTGGGCTCCTCGAACTGGCGTTCCTCGAAATATTGTATCTTCTGATTGATGGGATTCTCCTTGCTGTCCTCTGCTCCCTGCGCCTGCTCCACTTTGGCTATGGCCTTCGTGGACTTTGCCTCGATTTTGGGCTTGGGGCGTGGCGGCACCTCGGGTGGCTTGCTCAAAGTTAGCTCCGCATTCTTGGCGGCTATGGCGCCGCGCGTCTCGCGTGCCACCACCACCGGCGACTGACTGCGCGTGGCACGTGGCAGCGTCTGCGTCTGCTGCTGCTCCTCGCGCTTGCGCAGCACTGGACCCAGCAACTGCTCCTTGCTAATGGTCGAGTTGCAGCGCACCTTTAGGCTGTTCGCCTGGCTGCTGGGCTTCGAGTCCTTCTCGACGGTGACCACATACTGCTCCTCCACGGCAGCTCTCCTGTTGCCCGCGTAGATCTCATTCAGCTGCTGTGTGATCTTCTTGATCTGATCCTTGGAGAGCGTGCTAACCAAATCATTGTTCAAGTGTCGCTCGGCTGGGGGCTGTGGCTCCAGGCTGCTCGCCAGATCTGCCACAGTATTGCGCCGCCATTGACGCTGCACGGGCGGCGGCGGCAGTTGCTGCTTCAGCAGCTGCAGCTGCTCGAAATTCTCGCGCAAATCCTCCACAGATTTCTGCTTGGCATGCAGCGCCTGGTCCGCATCGTGCCGCCATTTGATTTCGCTGACGTCCTTCGAGCGGAAGTGCAAATCGCGCTCGCGCTGATCCGACTGCAGCTTGCCCATCAGATATTGCAGCTCCTTTTCGGCGCGCTCGTGCAGACGCACCTTGCGCCACTCATCGAAGTCGAGCAGCTCCGCATCCTTGCGCAACGGATGAAAGTTGCTAGCCGAGGTGGCGCGCTCCAGCTGCCCCACGCGCTCCAAGGTGCTGTAGAAGCGATTCAGCTCGGTGAAGCGCTCGCAATTGTTGCGATACCGACAGCTCGGACTGTGCCGCTCCAGGTGCACCAGCGAGGTGGCACTGTGCGCCAGCTCGCCGCACTGATAGAGGCCGCCCGTGGCGGCGCCGTCTGCACCACTCTGCTGCCGCTTGCTGCGATCGTCGGCGCTGCTCAGGCTGCTGGCACGCGCCACCGCCTGCTGCTGCTCTTTGTCCTGCCGCTGGCTCGAGCGCAGACTGTCGATGCGACGACGCGAAGGCGAACGCACCTCGCGCTGCTGGGTCTGCGGCACGCGCACCTCGCGCGTGGGCGAAAAGCGCCGCTGCACCACCTCAGGCGACTGCGGCCGTGCAATGTCTGTCACTGGCTGAGCTCGGCTAGCGCTCGGCTGTGCCTTGTTCTCGTACTTCCACACGAGATCCTCGATGCAACTGGAGGGCGGCTGGGCGGCACAGTCATAGATGTCCTCGCCGTAGCCGGGCTCCACCAGCGAACAGTATTTGTAGTCAGCGGTGCCGCCATTGATCAGCTGCGGCAGCGAGTGGGGCGTTTGGGTCTGGCTGTGGCTCTGGCTGTGGCTCTGCTTTGCATTGTAATCGTTCCAGAAGTGGGTTTTCTCACGCACCGTTTCGCTGTAGGATTGCTGTGCTACAGCTGGCTTGGATTTAGCAGTGGTTTTGCCGGTTTTGGTGGTGCTGCTGGCACGTTTGCGTGGCACATGGCCCTCGCTGCGGCTGGTTTGCAGCGGCGCTGGCAGCGATTTGGCTGGCTTCGACTTACCCACATAGGTCTTGGGCGGTGCTATGGGCACATACTCCTGCCGCACCACCGAATCAATCGAGTAGGTGGAGTTGCTGCGCGGCAAGCTCTCGTTCGAGGCGCTGCGATGCAACGTGGCAACGGTCCGAGTCTGCGCCTTGCTGCACGCGGGCAACACCTTCTTGAGGGCGCGACCACAGTCGAGCAGATTCTGCGGCCGCACCTGGGGGAAGCACATCGTGTGCCGCGTGGTGGTGCTGACGGTGCTGTGGCGCAAGCGCGGCAACGACTTGCTGCGCGCATGCTGCGCCTTGCACGTCGCATACGAACGCACCGCCTCGCGCACCTCCTGCGGCGACTTGAGCGAGGGATCCCTCAATATATTCGTGCTGGCCTCAAAGTTGGTGCGGCTGGCTGGCAGCGTGTTCTCCAAGCGCTTCTTCTCCTCGGCAAAGCTGCGCTCCTTGGAAATGCTGCGTCCAAAGGCGACGGGACTGCGGCTCGAATGACGCAGCGCCAGCAGCCGCGCCGGACGACGACTGGGACTGATCGAGCGATGATGATGATGCTGCTGCTGCTGCTGCTGCTGCACGCGCAACAGGCAGCCATCCTTGCTGCGCGTCTCCTTGGTGGCCGTCAGCGTGGCCAGCAATGTGGACACAGCGCCCGCGGACTTGGAGCGGCAAATGGGCTCACGCCGTGCGCTCGAGACCTTGCGCAGGCTAATAGTGTTGACATTGCCATTGCCGCCAGGTGGCTGAAAGCATTGATCATGACGCGACTTGGAGCAGCTGCTTGTGATCTTCTCCACGCGCACGGTGCTCTTCGTGCAGGAAGAGCGACGATGCGGCGGCAGAGGCGGCGTCTCCTGCGGCTGCGGCTGCGGCTGCTTCTTGCTTAGCGGTATAAACGAGGGCAGATTCTTGGAGAAATGCGTAAACATTTTGCTAGCGGAGGTCGAAGACGACGGCGGTGGCGGTGGCGGTGGTGGTGGTGGAGGAGGAGGTGGTGGTGTTGGAGCTGATGCTGGCAGTTGTGGCTCTTCCTTAGGCTCCTCTAGTGGCTTGGTGCTCACGCGTATCTTGGTGAGCGTAGGCGTTATCTGTATAAATTCAAACTCTTCCACAATTTCTGCGGGTTTTGTCAGAAGAGCAGGAATCGAGAGAGATTTTCGTATTAATCATGAGAGCAGCGACTGTATAACGGGTGCCCGGTGCTGCAGTGCGACGCATTTGCTGATAACAACTTCAAGTGTGGCAGTGGGTGTGTTTGTAAATATTTATCAAGTCGTTAAGAAAGGTACAAACTAGTTAGGTTTACAGAGTTAAAGAGTAGAGTAGAGCTTGAGAGAGAACCAACACCGATTGAGGAATTAGTAAAAGAAGTGTTATAGAAGTAACCATGAACTAGTTCAGTTGTGAACTCGCCTACCTTTGGGTTTCTCGGGCGCTGGCTTACGGAAGCCCAGCAAAGGCGGCTCGCCACCGGCCTGTAAGCTCTTGTAGGCCTGGCGCTGCTCCACGGGACTCAGCGGACTGCTAACGGGCAGCTCCTTTTTGCGAAAGACTAGATTGGAATCGCTGGTGTAGCCAGACTCCTTGGCCAGCGCTCTGCCGAGCAGAAGTATTTTAAATTATAGTCGAGCATTAGTTATCGTGGAAGTTCCAGTTGCTTACCTTGACAAATTGCCTTCCGTGTAATGCGGCGATAGCTTCGATTGCTCCAAATTCTGTTTTATGATAAAAAAGAGACAAATCGAGATTAAGAACAGTTGAAGTCACTTTCAATTTCGACTGCAAAAATTAGTATTTCGAGTGCAATGATAACCTTGTTGCTCGACTCCATAAGACTTACTGAACAGCCGTCGATATCATCGACGAACTCTATTATAATGCGTGGTATGCGCGTATGTTCCCTGAGCCACTTAGCGTTAAGCGTAATTATTGAATCGGAGAGGGAATAAGATAGATAAGTTATACTAAAGGAATTGCGGAATAGTTTTACTATCAAACGGAACACAAAAAAACAAACAAAAAAAAAAAGTAGCAAATTTTTAGGATCTATAACTAGGAATTATATAGAGTAGCGTTCATACCCCGTTAAAGATGTCCATCACTTCGTCCCACCACTAGAATTGTGAATAGAATAATTTGCTGTGAGTTAGAAAAATTGCTATGCGACGGAAATATGTTGGATGGATAGTGACTGCGTGCGTATGAGATCATGTCATAAATGGGGTATTATATTGAGTTGTGTAAGGTGGGGGAATGTGTGAAGGAAGCGACTGATGTGGCGAGCGTATGACAGAAAGTTGGACACGTCTAGCATTAGCCATGGACGAGTTCACATAGTTTAGTCATTGATAGGGATAGAGTTCTGTGCGTGAATGGGGACGACGGCTGACTTGGGCACTTGCCTCCTTCTTCTCCTTCTCCGAAACGGACGAATGGCCAGTTGTATAGTCCTCGATGCGACCGGGCTGATTCTTGTATGCGTTCTGTGCCGATTTTATGGGATTGGGCATAGTACCATACACTCTGCAAGCATATGTATTAATTATTATTAATCTATTATTAATATATAGACTACATTTTATAGGTTTCGCCTGACATACTTGTCGTCCTGGTTCAGATTGCGCACATTTACAGCCGATGAAACCGATTGCACGCGCAGCGGATTGGGTGTACGATATTTTACTGTTGAGTAATCCGAATCGTAGTTCGGCTCGGGCTCTGAGACATAACCGTTGCTCTTGTACGAAGGACGCGCTGCAGGAGACGTAAATTGTATTAGCTATGCAGAGGTATTTTTTTTTTTTGCATAAAAGTTGTTAGAAATTTACGAGCACTACTGAAGTTGTTGTTGTTGTTGTTATCACTGATGTTGCATTTGTTGTTGTTGTTGTTGGTGTTGTCGTTGTTGGCAGACATAATGTTAGAGCTTAGTGTATGAGTAGCTACTTAGTCTAAGATTAGTGTAGAAACTCAGTTCAAAGCGTTCCAATGAGCACGAAAATATGACCAAAAGCAAACCAAAATATTATTAAATATAATCCAATAATAATAATAATAATAATCATATATGATGCATGCCAAAACTGATAAAAAGAATGTATTCAAATTAGAAATCATAATTGTTACGGCTACCCAAAGCAGGCGAAGCGCTAAGTGGGCGCTACTTAAGCAAAGCTTAGACAGAATTTAGAATAGTTTCTATAGCTAAATATGATAATTTGTAAAGAGTTTAAATCACCTCTGGGACACTTGTAGCGTATCACAAAATCGTCTGTTGTATGCGACAGACAGACAGAGAGAGAGAGAGGAGAGCGAGAGCGAGAGGGACGATGGAGTGTGTGAGGCGTATGGGAATGGTGATATGGTTTCAAGTGGAGCAGACATTCGAAAAGAGAATTCAGAGAGGATTAAGAACTAGTCGAGCAGGCGCAGAACTGAAGCATTATATAGATTAGTTAGATGGGCTGGTAAGTGAAGGATTCGGTTGTGGATTGGGTGGTTGGGGGTTTCTATAATGCTTCGAGTTCTGTTAGAGCTTAGTGGTAAGACATTTACCGCCATTCTTCTGCTTATGTATGGTCTGATAGAGTCGCTTATACCATTCATGCTGATGCGGTTCCTGGACCTCCTGCAGCGTAACAGACAAAATTATATATATATCAAAGATGCGCTGCTAGCTAAGGCTGAGCTCATTTCTCGTCTGGTTTTTACCGATCTGAGTATGATGGGCATTCCATCGTTGGTAACGGGACCGATCCCATCGTATTGCCGTGGACCTAACTGTGCCATTTTTCTCGGACGATCGCTTTCCGTTTCCGGTTCGCTCATATACTCGTGCTTGACTTTGTAGACTGTAAACCGTAGATTGTTTTAGTTCTTAGATTTAGTTTCGGTGTGGTTAAGTGTGGGGGGGGGGGGGGGGGCAAAACGTGTGTGAAAACATTTAACAAGTTGCCGCTGTTAATCGACGTGTGAACGCGCGTGACTTGTTCATAGTGGTGCTGCCTGCGATCGCTATACTTACTGACTTCATTAGGCCTATAGACGGGGCGGCTAGTATCGCTCAGTTGACGGCGTGCGAACGGCCTATACAGCTCCGAGGTAGAAGCCGAGCGTTCAAATGCTGCACATGGTCAACGGGCGGGAAATGAGAAAACGTTTTTAGAGACGTGTGAATACGAGAGAGTTCTTTAAGCTAGCGACACGTAAATCACAGCAAAATACGAGTGTGGCAAGTGGCAAGACTTTTAGACATGCTACAAATAATTTATATACATTTTAGGATGATCTTGCTTAGCTAAGATCGAAGATAATATGTGTTAATTCTCCTTCTACAGCTGGAATATAATATTTGTTCTATATTTGTTGAGATTCTCAATTATAAAATCAAAACAAATGCCCCATGTTGATCTATCATATAGATAGATAGATAGATAGATAGATCTGCTGATCTATCATATCTCTTCTTCTTGGATAACTGATATTATATTATATATTAGATATTTGCTCTTTAAAATTACTTGAAATTGTATCTCCAATCTGTTTGCCTTTGGATATAAGATCTCTGATCTCAAATATATCAAGATCTTTGATATAGCTCATTCTATCATCTCTGATATTGCTAGATCGCTCAGCTCAGATATATTTAGAGCTCTCAGCTCCGGTATTTCCACATTTCTGTTATACAAATCTTTCAATTATAATCTTTCACAGCCTGAGATTTAAATATCATCTCTGATATCTACACCTTTGATCTGTGATAGATCTATAATATCTGGCCACACAGGATCTGTGCTTTGATAGATCTTTGTTGAACTCTGATCTGTACTCTCTGATTCCAATTGATATGTGATTTTAAATACTCTATGATCTCTGATATTTCTAGAACTTGGATATATCAGTAACATATGAGATCTTTTAATTTTTAAATTTCATCATATCCTTAAATCTAAACTCTACATTTATGATCTTTGATATTTTTAAAACTCAGACATTTTATCTGAAATATCTCGATCGCTGTTCTCAAATATTCATACGTAAGTGATCTATAATATATTTAGACTTCTGTTCTTTGATATATTTTCAATTATCTCAGTTTGATCTGTGATCTTTGAACTCTAATATTTCGAGAACTTAGATTTAATTAATTTAATTAATTAATTTAATTAGATTTAATTAAATCTATGTGAACTAATGTATCCAGATTTCTGATCTTTGATATAACTTCTGTTCCAATCTCATCTAGATATCTTTAGATCTCTGATCTTTGATCTCTAATATATCAAGAGCTCAGATATATGTGAACTGTTATATCCAGATCGCTCATCTCAGATATGCATACAAAAGTGATCTCTGATATATCTAGATTTCTGATCTTTTATAGTCTCTAGATATATGAGCTTGATATCAACAGATCTACAAACTTTGAACTCTGATATTTCTAGAGCTCAGCTATATATACAACTTTGATGTCTGATATATCTATATAGCTGATCTCAGATATTTCTACTTCTCTGATCTCTGATCTTCATCATCTCTAGGTCTTTGATCTCCCACCTCTCATAAATAGTTTTCCTAACTCTTGCACACATATTTGAAATATTATCTACTTTTGATCTTGTCGGAGACGCTGGCACTGGGTGCCACGGGGCCAAATTGATTGGAATAATCGGTTTCGGCGTAGTCCGAGTTGTTCGAATTGAACGTGGAGGGCGGCGTGCTCAGGTTGGTGGTGCTAGTGGTGGCGGTGCTGCTGCGTGGCGCAGGCACCGGGCAATTGCCGTTTGTATAGGACCAAGGCGGTATCGTCGTCGTTGTCTGTTGCTGTGGCTGTTGCTGCTGGGCCGTGTAGCGTCGCGGTAGCGTGGGCGATTCGAAACGCACCGGACGAAACTCCTTGCGTCCGCTCAGCGCTGGCGATGGCTGCGGCGTCCACACGGGCTGCGTGGGAGGCGGCGGTGGCGTCGGCGCCGCCGATGAGCTGTGATCTAGCTCGTTGCTAGAGCCGTACGGTGTTTGACTCTTGGGTGTCCAGACGCCTGTTGATAGTGGGAATGAGTGTTTGGCTCTAAAGACACAGATGCTGGTTCAGTGGTTCAGTGGAGCTGGTTACGAGCGGGCTAAACATGACATTTTCAGGGGCGCAAGTTCACATTCTAGTTGAGTTTCATACAGATATTTTTTGCTGCTGCTGACATTTACACTTGTCAACAAATTTATGCTCGCTTTGCGGCATTGGTTTCATTGGTTTGTCTAACCAAAATAAATGCTGCAGTCAACAAACCGAGCGAAGACAAATTGACAAACAAACATCGCGACGTTGAACAGCAATAATTAATACGACCAAGGAAGCCGCATTTGGCAGCCATTCAAAATTTGCCCACAAAAAGCAGCAACAAAAAAACTATCGCACACATAGACCACAACACACACACACACACACACGCATGAGTCATCGCATTTGGCGCATGTTTAGAATTTACAAAGACTTTCACAGATACAACGCGCAGACTGTTATAAAAATCTATTTGAATCAAGCGACACGAAACACGCTAAAGGCAAAGAACAAGCAACGAGCCTCACGAGGTGTTTCAATTGTTAAGTACAGTGAACACTGACAGTTGAGCCACTGAGGATTAAGAGTTTGGGAATTATATAAGGAATTTCATTCATTGCTCCTTGAGCTAGTCAAGAACTAGCTAAATAGATGTGCATAAATTCTGCAATAATTATTTATATATATTAGAGTTGATATAGAAAGTTATTCTAGCTAATAGCGAATTCTCAGCTATTTCTACTCTGAACTTTTTTCATATGAAAATCCGAGAACTTGAGCAATTTTCTTTGCGAAGAGTTTTCTAGAAATGACTTTTCTTATTTTATTATAAGCCATCAGAAGTGATCGTTAGTGATCATAAGTGATCATAGATGATCAGAAGCTCTTATATTCATATATTTTAAATAGATATATAAATAGATATATATATATCCTAATATTAAAAAAAAATTTAACTACAAATTCAGTTCAGGTAGCCTAGGCACCCTGTGAAGACTGATCAATTATGTTAATATTATCTCGATAACTCTAATTCCGCAGCTGTTAAATTTATCGATAAACTGTTGCTGTTTGTGTACTTAGTAAAACTTGTCATTTGATCGAAAAATATCTTAAGCCGAACGACTCAATGTTGAAAACTTAAAATCATGCTTCAGTTGATAAACAATTTAGTAGCTTTAACTCTCATCTGATGAATTTATAATTTATTTTTAAATATAAATATAAATTTTAAATATAAAATATATCAAATGTCTAAAGTTAAGAACATGACCTTAAAATAGCTTCGCTAAAATTCAAGTTCAAAAAAAAAAATTATTTCAGCTCGAGCTTAAGTTTTCACATATTTTTATGATTCAAATTAATGAAACAAAAGCCAAATTAATTTTTACTTTAGTATTTTAGTTTTTCTTCTAAATCGCATAAATTTCTCAACAAAACAAAAAATTTTCTTTTTCACTTGAATTTCACTCGTTTAAGCGTATTCATGAAGCAGCCCTCGTTGTTCTTGCAGCCAAGATTTTTCCCACAGCAGATTTATATACCACCTGTAATAGCACACACATACAGAAACAAGCATAGACACACACACACACACACTAGCTACACTGCCGTCTACATAGATATTGCCTGCCCTAGGCTCGATACGCCGCCAGACATTGACACGCATATTGCTTTGGCTTCGATATATATAGCGCTCTCTGCTGTTGTTGTTGTTGTGTTTGTATAGTGGGTGGATGCGCTGACGTCTTAATTCAATCAGCACTTGATCGAATTATACAATCGTATCAAAGTCTTGCCAATGCCAATCAAAACCAAAATCAAAATCAAAATCAAATTCACAGTCCTGCCCAGTCGCACTCACTGAGTCATTCACTTAACACTCGTATTTTGTATTTATTTTTTATTTTTTTTTTACCCTGCTGAGGATGTAGGTTTAGATGTGATTTCGATAAAGTAGTTGTGTCTATATGTTTAACTGGATCGTTGCGACGAGTTCTCGAGTAGCTGACTCCGCGCGCGGCTCAAAGCGACTGAATTTTGCGTGAGCCGTCGTCGTCGAGCAGACCAACTCGGCGCTTACTGATTTTTCTTTTTGGGAACAACTGCTAAATGACTAAAACAACACAGACACACACCCCATATATAACACCCAGTCACAGTCAGAGCACACACACACAATTTCCCAGCAATTTTAAATAGAAGATCAATTACTGCAGCAATCAAATCTGGGAGCGCGTGCTCGATGAAGCGCACACTCAATACAAATATATATACATATATATATATATATATATGTGTGTGTGTGTGTTTGTATATATATAGTATATTTGATTTGAACAAGACAAAAGCAGAGTTTTAGTTTTATTTTGGTGAAACGCCAATTATGCGTGCAATACGAAATGGAACGGATGTGTAAGCGACTAAATATACCATACTCTGAATGCTGAATACCTATACATATATATATATCTGGCTATACTCCCCAAAGAGTGCAGCTAAAGAGTCAATCAAAATGATTTCATTCGTTTTGTAAACTCTTTTTTTGAAAAAGCTAAACAAAAGCCGAATGTGCGTTTGGCCAGTTCTGGCTTGGCGCGGCTTGACTTGGCTTGGCTTGGCACTTCCGGTTTGCTGTTCTCTGTGCTCTTTGGAATAAATCAAACGGAAATTCTGTTTCTGTTTCTGCTTCTGTTTTGTTTTTTCTGTTTGTAGCCAATAAAAAACAATGCTCATTAAAGTAGCCCAAGCCATTTGGGGGTGCGGCAGAGCAGGAGCTTGGCTTAGTTCTGCCTCTACCTCTGCCTCTGCTGGGTGTGTTTTCAAGGAGCGCCCGCGCTCGTTCGTGAAGAAGCGCATTTACTTCCAGTATCGACTCGTAGCTGCTGGCAATTTATGTGAAATTTATTGATTTGCAAAATGAAAATGGAAATATCGCATAGGTATTTAAGCAAATGGGCATGCCAGCAAAAATATATTTTCTACCTGCAATTAGAGCACTTTTAATTTTAAGTAGACTAGATTGGGCCAGCAAAGTGAGTGCGAAATGATGGACTAGCAAATGCCCTGTTAGATAGCGAGCACTTAAATATAATAGAGATTCTATTGGAGCAATTAGAATTCTTCAGTACCAAATTTATAGAATTGTTTCTTTATAAAAATTAAAAAAAATATATATTTACAAAATTATAAAAATATCCTAATTTTTTATCAAATAAATAATTCGTTTTTTTTTTAACAATAAAATTTAAAAAATTTTTTTTTAAATGTAGATCTTAGTGAATTGTAATTAAAACTATTTATAATAGTTGGGAAATCATTAACAATAGCTAAGGTTGGCCTATAAAAAATTACAAAAATTCAATAATATGTAGATATTTATTTATTGTCCATATATGTCCAAACTACCTCATATAACTCGGCATCTGTACATTCAATCTTAATGAAACCTTCACCAAAGTTTCTGAGCTATTTAAAATGTGGTGTATATACCAAATTTCATATTTCTATTTCCTAAATTGTGAGAATTATGAGTAAATATATAATAGGAAAAACGAAAAATCTCCTTTAACTGCTGCTAGAGCAGCATAACCCAAAGTTTTTTCTGCTACTTTTGCTCTTCACATCATGCAACCCATTTTTACACTCATTCATTTTATAGGGTATTTTTAGAATCGTTCTACAACTATATTTTTAGTGCCTTTGTCTTATGGCCTTGCAATAGAAACTGAGGCTGTCCGTCTGGCCGAACTGACAGCAACCTGTGCGTGCGCCCATTTATTACGCGATTGGAACGGGGCATTTCGGATAGAGCGATTGAGTCGGGGCTCTGCCCAGCGTTATCGAATGAGGGCGTGGCCAGCCGCGACCTAACATCAGCGCTGTGACCCAGCCTGCGCTAGGTGCGCCACATAGTCTTTTATTGTTTTGGATGGCATTCTCGCATTGATTCATTTGGTCGGCCCCATAATTAAGTGTGCAAAGTATTTATGGAGTGCTGCTGCAAATCTACTCGCTGGGGCCCTTTAGAAAGCGGCACCAGTTTCATGTTGGCTCTGGGTGGGAGTGCTGGAGCGCTCGAACTAGGGTTGGGCCAGCAGGTTGTAAAGGTCAGCGAGTTTCAGTGAAAGAAGTGTGTGAAGTATGGGTAAAAGCTAGTACTGGCAAAGGTTATATGATATTTAGAGTAGATCTATAAATCACTATAAACGTAATCAAACTCGACTTGCTTATAGTCATAAAAAAGTTATAGTTTCTCAACTAAAATCCTAAAATCCTTGAATATTTGGGCTTTATGCTCCATAAACTTTGCTCACAAAAAAAATTTAATTCCACAATAAATCTTTGGGCAATATTTTCAACACTTTTGCTGAGCAAATGAAACAGCAAACGCGACGTCATCTACAGATATATATATATATACATATATATATATATGCGTTATTCACCTCTCCAGATATATGTATGATCTTAATTATATTTAAGTCATTCTTTCACTCTTTCATTCACGCAAATATATCAATAGTCAAGTTCAACTGAATTTATATTAACTATAAATTATGTTCAGTCACTAAAAGTCGCCACCGAAAGAAAAAAGAACAAGAAAATATATGTATATAAATATATATATATATATATATATATATATATATATATTTTTTTTTCTTTTATTTCGTTGTTGTTGCTCTGCTTTAGATTTAAAAATAACTGCGAACAAATTAATGCTTTAAATAAATAAAGGCGCCCAAAAGAAATGCTCAAAAAAGCAACAAAACATTTTCATAACTAAAACTTTGCCAGCTAATGCTGGCGGATCGTGACGCCAATCAACTGGGCAATGGGGCGTATACGCATTTTGATAGATTAGCTACGCCCACACAGATGAGGGCAAAAAAAATTTGCCATAAGGTGTTTATATAGCGCAAAACGCATCAATTGGGATCGTCGCAGAGCTCATCAAAATTATCCGAGACATTGATCCTCCGCGCCTGTCTACTCTACTGTGATTTTTCATTTAGTTTCGGCGCCCATCTGGATTTTCTTTGTGTTTATTTTTCATTTTTAATGGATACTGTAGGCGTCTACAACAACAACAGCAGTTCCGCTGCACACAAATATATATATATATATATATATATATATATGTATATAAATATATTTGTAATAAATATTACGCGGCCAACGAATTTTTGAATTGTACGTCATTTTGTATATTTAGCACAAAACCATGCGCGCACCTCCAGTTCCAGTTGAAAATATTTGTTTTTCTTTTTTTCTTCTTTTTTTGGCTGCACAATTAACATGAACTAATGTGAGATATTCGAAATAAACACATGCGAAGGCAAAAATCAAGTTCATCTCTACTCAGAGAAGAAAAAAAGAACCATCATCATCATCACCATCATAATCATAATCTTGATCATCAGCAGAGTGAAAAGTCGGAAACTAACTGAAAGGAAAATAATCTATAAATACGTGCCAATAAATTTCAGCAAATAATAAGAAAAAATTGCTCAAAAAGTTGATTAGAAAATGGGCCTTAGATAAATAAAGAAATAATTTAGTTGATATTAGTGAAAAGCTCAATAAAGAGAAAGTTGAGTGATAAGTTCATTGAAATGTGGAAAATAAATATTGGACTGAATTTCCATTTGTAGATAAAATTAAAAGAGACTACAAAACTTAATTCGGAGTAAAATTTGGAATAGAATTTGGAATAGGATTCGGAATAGGATTCGGAGTTGAATTCGAAATGAAATTCGGAGTAGAATTTGAAATGAAATTCAGACTAGAATTCGGGGTAGAATTCGGAGTCGAATTCGGAATTGAATTCGGAGTAAAATTCGGAGTAGAAATAGAATTCGGAGTAAAATGCCAAATATAATTCAGAATAGAATTGGGAGAATTATAGAATTATTTCATGAATTTGGAATAATGTTCGAATCACCCTAGGAATAAAATTTGGGGTTATTCCAAAAATTGGCATAAAATTCTCTACTTAATTCTTAATATTCTTATACATAATAAGTTAAATTCTGAGTGCAATTCGTATAAAACTCTAAATCAGATCAGGAGTTAAATTCGGAGTAAAGTTCGAAATCTTATTCAAAAGAAGTCAAGTAGAGTCACAAATACTGTCAGCCAAAAATATTAGAAGAGATTTTATCATAGCTGTTAAAATTGACTGTTTGCTTAAATTTAATTTCAAGTTAAAGGCAATTTACAGGTTCTTTTTACAAATTTTTCTAAATATTCGATTTAATGAAAAAATTTGATGGAATAGTGTTAGAATTTTACTTCTATTAATTATTCCACAATTTCTATTATCAACATAAAGTCCTAAAACTAATATTATAATAATTTGTTAGACATTTGATTTGTTTTGAATTGACTTTCTGAATTGTTTTGAATTGCTTTTAAGTGAATTTCTAAATTTTGTAACATAAAAATAGGTTCATTTGTATTTCCGAAATTCTAGAGATATTTTTACTGTAGTCAAATAATTTTGATTTGAATTTTGTTACAGCATGCCCAAATGGCCATATTAATAAGTTTTCATGTGTTTCACTAAAATGTTTTGCCATTCGAATTTATTGCAAAAATCTGCAAACAATTTTAGTTTTAAGAAAAATAATTACAGGCATAACAAATATGATTCAATTTATATTTAGCAAATTATAAAAGAAACAACTAAAAGTTGAGATGTTAAATACTTTGCCATACTTTCATACAAAAGCTTTTGAAAATATCCAAATCATTATATTATTAATTTATAGTTTTTTAATTTTTCTCAAGTCTCTTTAAACTTCACATAATTAAAAAAAATTTTATCGTCCATTAACGACGCCGACACACAGAAGAATTCCCAAAAATGTTTAAAATGAAATTTTTACAAGGAATTTACGAAGCTCTTAAGTGAAGTGAATATTCCTACACCCATTGAAAACGTCATGTTTGCAAGTGCCACGCCCATGGCTATGAACCAGCCCACACGCAGCGTGATGCATCCAACAGCAGATATATAGCATCTATATATATATAGTTCTTTTACCTGATCCAGTTGGTGCGCGTGCTTTAAACTTAGGCGCAAACATTGTTGTGTTGTTTTGTGTGTGCTCTGCAAGAATGTTGCATAGATCAATTAGAATAGGAATTACGACAAGAAACGAAGCACTGGCAACCAGCAACACTTCACTTTGTACACTTCTCGCTCTTTGAGCACTGCACAACAAACAAAATGAGTTTAGAGAGAAAAGCGCGCTAAGCAAATGCTTGGAAAAAACGCTCGACTAACCCTGCCCCATATTTGCTTTGCTATTGCTGTGAAGTGGAAATATAGAAATGCTGCCGCTGCCTCCGATTTGAATATATCTATATCTATATATATGATATATATATATTTCGTTTTCGTTTTGTTTTATTTTTCACGCGCCTTCGCGTTGCGCACACGACTTAAACACGACGACGACTACGCCAGGCGAAAATCTTGTGCAAGTTGCTTGGATTTTCTTTCAAAAAAAAAAAAAAACCGAAAACAGAAAAATACTAAAATGAAACTCAATTTGTGTGAGCGCAAAAACAACAAGAGCAACAAATACAAATACGCTAAATGTTCCCTCAACAAATTTGATTTTCCAATTTTCCGCTTTCGGCGCACAGCATAAACAAAATGCTGATGCTTTCGTAAACACAGACAGGAAATCAGGAGCGCCAAGAGCACAAAGAGCGCCACTGAGCGGGCGCGAGAGCGTCTGTGACGTCGCGGCCAGATAAAGATACATTTTCACACTATGAACAAGTTCGCGTTGCACATGTCGTATACACAATTTTTTTTGTTGTCGCTTCACCAACATTTGCTAGCATACTTTGCGGCGGCAGGTGATATAAAAATAGGCAAAGGTGGGGAGTACGTATCGTATTAGAGACGAGCATGTGATGTTGGCCAATTAGCGCGCAGCTGCGCTCATTTGCTAAAGCAAAACACAAATTGAACACAAATTGGATTAGAGACATTTAGAGGAGCGGGATAGACTTGGTGAGGGCTAGTTATGTGGACATATACGGATCAGGGTTCAGTTTGACCGACCGTTGGCATAGAGAAAGCCCTTGGCTAGCTGCAGCTCGTTGTCGATCTCCTTGAGCAGATCGCTCTCGGACCAGCTGCGTCGCTTCCGCTGCTGCTGCAGCAGCTGCTGCGGCGAGAGCAGAAAACGCGTCTGTTTCTGTTTCTGTGGGCGTAGTTGTGGCTTCGCTGCCATCGCTGGCATCGGCGTTGGCATCGGCATCGAAGTTGGCGTCGCTGTCGTCGGCTGCTGCTGCTGCTGCCTCGTTTTAATTGCTTTGGCTATCAAAATTGTTGGCATTCGTTTAGTTTTCTCTCTGCTAGAGGCATGCCACATGCTGCACTTAGTCTAAATAGAACCCTGTGCTCAATTGTCTCTCTGCAACAACTAAAAAAAAGAAAACAAACGAATCGCTTGTTTGCGTTTTATTTTGTCGTTGCCCGGTCCGTTTCCCTTGTCATGCCAATTGAATGGAATTAATTAAAATTTCCGTTAAATCGCGATTTGTCCGCCTGCCCTGCCTCAATGCAATTGCTTGCAGCGCCCCAGATAAGCCGCCTCAATTGCAAACCGAGCGGCTCGAGCTCGAGAGCCTCGCAATTTTCAATCTAGAAACACTTGAGCGCAGAGTTGCAAGAACAAGATGAAGATGCGAAATCAGAATAAGAAAAAGAAACTTAAAGTTTATCGTTATGAGATTTTGCTAATGAGCAGCGCCTGATGGACTCTTAATGTATATATATTGATATGTGATCTATATATATGATATATATGAAATACATATATGATATATGCACGATTGTATTGTGCGCCTATAAATTTATATTAAATTAGTAGCATTTATTTTAAATATTCGCGCGAAAATTTCAGCCTGAAAATATTTTGTGGAATTCTTCGCATCTGAATGCCATAAATTCATGTCAATGGAAATTATTATTCTAGCTAAATGTGACATTTTAGCAGGCGAAACGTATTTGCAGCGCAGGCATAGCAGCGCGAGAGTGTGAAGAGAAAAAAACATATTTAAATGGAAGCTTCCAAAATGCATAAAAAATAGATTTTCAATTGATAAAAATGGCCTTTAAAGAGGTTTAGAAAGAGTTTAGATTAGCTTTAGCTAAATAGAGCTTTCAGCTTTGAAAGCACAAAATTATAAGGATATAAGCTTTAAGGAGCTTTTCCATATTTTACTAAAGTAGCAATATAATAAAGAAAATAAAGTGTGGTCTATATAACAAAGATTAATTTTTAAATGTTGATTTGAAAATCTAAAAAAAACTGGAGAATAAGCAATCAGTAAATCAGTAAAGTATAAAGCTTTTGCTAATCAAAAGCAAGAAAAATATTTTTAAATAGTTATAAAAAAAATTAGAGAAAATTTACTATAGACGAAAAATCTCGAAGCAGCTGTTATAATATATTTGTCCTTTTTGGCTACAAAAATAATATTAAGCTGACAATAAAAGAATGGAAATCTTTAATAAGCTTTCAAACTTATACTAAAAAATGTAAGCAGCAAAGAGATTAATATTATATTTAAGCTCTCGCTGCCTTATATAATTAAATGAGCTTTAAGTCGCTTAAATAGCTTTTTATGGCTTATTTAATTTTAAGATCCAATGCTTTAATGAGCTTAAGAAACTATTAAATGCTTAGTACATAAATATGTGGAGGGAAGATAAGCTTCTTAGTGCTTTAAGCTTTTCTAAAGTATATAAGCTCAATCAAATGTAAATGCCTTAATGAAGCTTAGGAGATATTATGTGATGAATATATGGACTTCTAGAGGCTTGAAGCTTTCCTAGAATATATGAATTCAATCAAACAGTTATTCTTATCTTTAAAAATGATTTTCATTATTATATGTATTAAGAATAAGTACACAAATATTAAAATTAATGCCACTAATTTACTAGTTCATTGAATGAATATATATTCCTTAAATAATGATTATGCATTATGAATGGTTTTTTTGTTTATTAGTTACATTCGATCAATGTATATATATAGATATATTTGGGACATTCACAGTATTAGTCAGTTGCATCATTTACAAGCGCTTAGCACAAAACAAATCTCTCGATGACAGAGCTTAAGGCTAGATCATGTATATATATATAGGTAGATAGATAGATAGATATTTATATGGAACATGCATACAAAATAATAAACACTAAATAACAATTGAGTTTTGTTAATCAATTTATCGTTTATTAAACATTCAACAACACTATATAAATTGGATTTATTTGTATTAATTTCGAAAGAAAAAAAAACAAATAACTAAATTTGACAAAAAGTTGTTTTTTTTTTTTGTTTTTTTATTTAACATTTGCCTAGGACAAACATAGATAAATATTTAAAAATTTTCATTGAGTTATATGTAGGCTGCATGCTGCTGAATTGCTGTAACGGTGAGGCTGAGGGAAAGGATTTTGTTTAAATTTTTTGTTTATTATTTTTTTGTTTTTGTTTTTTAAAGCGTTTTTTGCGGTTCCATTAACAAAGGTTTCTGGGCGTGCATATCGAGTATTTTGCTATAGGTAAATTCAGAAACTGTCGGACGCGGTTCTATGCTCGAAATTTCGCCAATATTTATCAAACTCCTCAAAGATTTTCGAGCGAAAGGGCGAGCTGGCAAAGAGCTCATCGAAATTTCTATGAAAATTGCCCAAAAATGGCGGAGACGTTGCGGTTCCTGCTCGATCAGAGTTCGATTCGGTTCGGGATTCATTAACTATATGGCTACGCATAGTTGACGTTGTTTCTGTTGTACTGTTGTTGTTGTTGTTGTAGCTGTTGCTGTTGTTTTCACTGTTGTTGCTGTTGTTGTTGCTGTTGTAGGTTGCTGTTTTATCGTTGTCTGTGTGAGGGCGGCGATATAGAGAGAAATTTGATATACAAAAGAGCGACACACGCACAGAGTGAGAGAGACAGGGTTACACAGATACAGATTGTGAGCGAGTGTGTGTGAGAGACAGAAACAGACAGTGAGACAGAGAGAGAGAGAGATTCTGTGTCTACAACAACAATAAACACATATTTACAATACGATTTGTGAGAGATGTGAGAGGATGTGCCAAATGACCATTCACCAATGAGTTTGCATTTAAAGTACACTCAGAGAAAACAATATGTGCTTTTTACTACAATTTCTTAATGTCAGTAAAATTTTAAGCAAATGCGCTCTTAAGTTGGAATTTTAATTTTTTTGATCACTTATCGTATTTAATTTGCAAAATGATTTAAGCTTTTTTCGTTATATTAAGTATTTTATGATGTTTTGAATTTAATTAACATAAAATATTCAACAAAATTTTTACTAAATTAATAAATTAAAAATATATATTATATTTGGTAGTCTACAACTTTAAACTGTCTTTAAAAAAATAAATTTTTTGATTTGATATATAATTAAATAACAATTTCTATGAATTTTATATATATGTAAGTAATAACAACTTTTCTTTATTCTATATACATTTATTTAAAATTTAATTATTATTTTTTTTTAATCAATTTTTTTTTAATATTTTATATTTTAAATTATTATAAAATATTTTAAATATTAAAAAAAATTTATTTATTCATTTTTAGGACAGTTTAATCTTTTTTAAATTATTTTTTTTTCTTCATAAGATTTTACTAAATTCTTGCGCTTTTTTTACTAAAAATGTTTCAATACATTTTTATTTTTTCTAGAAATTTTCCTGAAAACTTTTAAGCGTAGAACAAATTTTAAAAAACTTCAAGATCAAAATCAAGTAACAAAAATGCAATTTATAATTGATTTTGTATTAGTAAATTTTTGTAACTCAGAAAATTTAATATTTCATAAGAAATTTTAAGTGGCAAAATTTAAATTTAAAAAAATTATATAAATAAATGTATATTTATATTTATTTAATATTTTTTAAGCTCTTTGAAGGAAAAGAAACAAAAAGTTCCTAGTTCCAAAAAGTGTTAAGAGAAATGCGAGCGAAATCAGAAATAAGAACATGACAAATTATCATTTTTCCTAGCTTAAATTCCAACTTCTTAGTTCAGGCGCTCAGTTAAATAACTAGAGCAAACACATATATTTCTCTGAGTGTATTTTGGGCTTTAGCTGAACTTGTTCCAGGCCGTGAGAACGGACAGGCCGATCAGCAGAGCTGCGCTCAAAATGCTGCCAGCTGTTGAGCTGGAGGATGATTCGGATGTATTATTGTTGCTATCGGTTTGCTGGGTGCTAGTTGGTGCTGGGCTACTGGGCTGGGGAATGGGCGTTGCTTGGGATATGGGGGAATTCGAATTGGAGTGAATGGAGGAGGTGGAGGAGGAGGAACAGGAACCTTTGGAAGCGGAACCACAACCAGTGTCAGGCGTTTGGGAGCGGCGGGAGCTAGTTACAGAAGCGTTGCCTAATTGCAAATTATGACTAACAAGTTTCGCGGTATTCGAACGATAACGATAACGATTGGCAGCCGAAGGGGGAGCTATCGGCAGCTTGTCCTTGGCTAACTCACCCTGGACAGATGGCGGCAGCCTGGACACCTTGTACGTCTTCACAATGCTCGACTTCTTGGTGGCGCTGCAATGCGAATTGTCCGTGGCGCTCTCGCTGCGCTCCTGCTCCTCATGCCGCTCCACTTGACCCTGAACATTGCCCTCCAGCTGCTCGCAGCTGCTGAACTTGGCAAACTCACGCAAATGTCGCGGCAGCTCGCGCAGATTCGCCTCCGCTTGGCCCTCCAGCACGCGCACTGGCGGCGCCTCAACATCCGACTCGCTGCCCGCTGTTGCCGTGCCAGGCTTGCCCTGTGCCGGCTGCGACTCGGCGCCGCTCTCCCAATCACTGTCAGCGGGCATGGACAGCTTGTGGCGGCGTTCCTTGACCCGATTGAGAAACTCATCGCTAATGTTCGCCTGCTCCTCGGTGGCATGCTGTTGCTCATCCTCGATCTTGGAGATCTTGATGATCTTATGCTGGCGACGCTCCTCGCGCTCAGCCACCTTGTGCATCCACTCCTCGGCCATTTGCTGGCGGAACACCTCGTCCTCGCTGAGCGTGGGCAGCTTGGGCGCCGGCCGATAGCTTTCGCGCCGTGGCGGCGGCGCCTGCAGCACAGTCGGCGCGCGCTCCATCTCATCCATGAGCCGACGACGCTCCTGCTGCAGACGCTCAAACTCCAGCTTCAGCTCCTCCTCCTTGCTCAGTATGTACTTCAGCTGCTGCTCGTGCAGCTCGCGCGGCAGCGAGGCGCGTCTCTGCTGCCTGTCATAGGCCGGCGGCTGGCCGCTCTGCGGAGTCAGCGGCGCCGGCGAGACGCCGCGCCGCGAGGTGGTGCTGATGTACGTGGGATTGGGATTACGTTCGATCATCGAGTAGCAGCTGGCGTAATGCGGCCGCTGCTGCTGCGGCGCCTGCTGCAGCATCGGCGCATGTCGCCGCGCCCCGCCATAGGCATTGAAGCTATCGTAGCTGCTGCTGGACAAATCATTTGTGCTGGCCGAGAGACGCGGCGCGCGTATTGAGTGCGGCTGTCGCTGGGCTGGCGCCTGGCCCTGGCCCTGGCGCTGATAGCAGATCTCGACCTCACGCGCAAACGGACGCGCGATATTCTCCGAGTAGCCCAAGTCGTTGGCATAGCGCCCCCAATCGTCCTGCTGCAGCCGATAATGCTCCGCGGAGCTGTGCGGACGCGGCACATTTTCATTCAGATTGCACAACGATTCGGAGCGTCGATTTCTGTAGTCCGGCGCTAGTTCGATGGGTATTTCCAGGGTGCGCGGCACTGAGGACAAACGCTCCTGCCGCGACCTGGCCGAGCGTTCGATCTCGCGCTCCAGCTCCTGCATGTGCGCATGTCGCTCCCGCTTCAGCTGCTCCTGCTGGCAACTGTTGCTGCCGTTGCTGTTGCTGTTGTTGGTGAGGCGACTGAGATCGTAGAGCGAGGCAGATTTGTCGCGCTGCTGTCGCTGCTCGCGACCCGTTTGCAGCTCGGCATTGAGCTGCTGCGACAAGGCATCAAAGTCCTTGAAGAGCTTTTCATTATCCGGCGAAGGTTGCCCAACGCTGGGCTGAGCAATTGCTTCGAGTGCTGCTTTGGCACGTTGCCGAAATTCCTCATAAGTGCCGCTGCCATTGTTCACCTTGGTGTTGCTGCCAGCTGTAGATGTTGCTGTCGTTGTTGTTGTTGTCTGCCTGCTCTCTCTGTGCTGCTGCTGCTGCTGTTGCTGTGCGTCATCATTGAAAGTGTTTGACAAGCCATTTAATTTCGTTGCTGACATAATATTAGCTGCTGCCGGCGGCGGTGGCACAGGCGGCGGCGCACAGTCCACCTCATCTGCTGCTGCTGCTGTTGCTGCTGTTGCAGCTGCAGCCTCCGCCTGCTGGCTCAATGGAAATTTAGCATTTGCCGCTGGCGGCTCGCCCTCTTGCTGCTGCTCGCGCTTGCTGTTGCTGTAGTCGTAGACAACTTTGCCGTTCTCCACGCGCTTCTTGGACTCGTACGAGCTCGTCTCAATGTTCGAGTAGCGCTTGCTCTGCACCGGCTGCAACTGTTGCTGGCTGCTCTGCTCAATGTTGGAGAAGCGCTTGCGCTGCTCATCGAAGATGTCGCCCTGCTGGGCGATGCTCGGGAACAGGCGTGCCAATTCGCTTTCCATGCTGGCTGGAAACTTGCTGCCGCCGTTGGTGTTGCTGCTGTGGCTCATGTAGTTGCTGTTGCTGCTGTGACTGTGACTGTGACTGTGACTGCTGCTGCTGCTGCTGTGCTTGCTCGTTTGCTCGCTGCGACTGCCTGCGTGCTGGTCAAATGCGTAAGGCAACGACTGATCAGCTGCGGCTCTTGGTTTATTTTCATATGATGATGTCGCTGGCAATGTTGTTGCTGCTGCTGCTGTTGCTGTTGCTGTAGCTGTTGCTGCTGTGTTTCTCATTGGCTGGCTTGCGTCATCTAGCTGCTGCTGCTGTTGGCTCTTTGCCTTGGCCGCTGTCTCAGCGCTCTTCACAGGCACCGGCGGCGGCGGCAGCTGCGGCGTTGGCGATGTTGCCGTCGGCGTGGGCGTCAGACTCTTGCGCAACTCGCGCATTTTGGCCGCCGTCTTGAGTATCTGCTCCTGCTCCGTCTTCAGTTGCGCCTGGTCCATGGCGCGCACCTGTTCGCTGCTTAGCTCATGATAGCCGCGTCTCTGCACGAACTTCTCGTGTGCATCCAGCAGCTGATCGGCCGCTGGCTGCAACTGTTGCTGCTGTGCCAGCGCGCGCTGAGCGGGCGACAGGCAGACGAGCAGCTGGGGATCCGCTTGTGTCGGCAGACCCAGCCAGGCATCCTTCTCGGCCTTGACCTGATCTAGCGACAGCTGCAGCTCGCTTATGTGTGGCAGCTGCGGCAGAGGATAAGGCATATTCTGTTGTTGCTGCTGTTGCTGTGGCGGCTGCTGCTGCTGCTGCTGCTGCTGCTGTTGTTGTATATCTTGTGCTACGCTTGCGAGCTCTTCAAGCATCTGCTCGCCATAGGGCATGGAGGCCAAGGTTTCGGTGCATAGCAGACGCAGTTTCTTGATGCGTTCCGCATCCGCTTCCTCAGCTGAAATTGTGGAAATGGCAGAAAGTTTTGGCTGCTGACGCAAGGGCGGTGTGGGTGGCTGTTGGGGGGCAAGTGGCGTGGGTGGCGGTGAGGCCATGTTTATGGCGGTGCATTGGCTGTGCTGTGTGCTGTCCGAGCAATGCGAATCGTTAGATTCTTGGCGTGTGAGCAACAAAGGATTTAGAGTGGCATGCGATTCACTGTTTTGTGGTTCTTGTGGGGTTGTGGGATAGTGCATGCAGCTGGGCGGTGGTGGCACAGGCGGCGGCGTGGGTGATAACCTACAGCGCTGCTGTTGCTGCTGCTGCTGCTGCTGCTGTTGTGGCGTAGCAGCAGCAGCAACAAAACGCGACGCATTCGCGCTTTCGACTTCGTTTACGTTAACGTTACCGTCTGCGTTTACGTTTCCGTTTCCGTTTACGTTTACGTTTTCATTTCCGTTTCCGTTCTGTTCGCGTCGCGTCATTTCGATCAATTCGCGCACTTTGTCCATATTGCGTGCGAATGCCTCGCGCGTTGCCGCCAGCGAAGCGGTTGCAGTTGAACTGTTGGCCAATTTGCTCGCCTCGTTTTCGTTGGCCACACCGTGCGTGGGCGTCGCTGCTGGCGCTGGTGCTGGCGTTGGCGTCGCTGCGGCAGCGCTGTGCTCTGGCATTGGGGATTGAGCGTTAACAGGTGTGCTCTCACGACTCGACGACTGCTCGGCCGCTGTGGTTGCCTCCGTTTCCGTGTCCACTTCCGTTTCGACCTGCAATTGTTGTTGTTGTTGCTATACTTGTGGCTATTTCGTGTTAACTTGTTCTGCTCGGTGTTAGTTTCTTGCGCGCAAAGTGAAAAATAAATAAGCCGAATGCGAAACACTTCAATTCAAATCAATTGCGTATTTCAGTGACCCAAATTTCTCGAATTTTTAGCCCGAAGAACAAACAATTTGCGCGCAATTTAAGAGCATATTCCATAAACAGTTTCTATGCGCATTTAAGCAAATATTTTTTCGATTTTTTTTATTGAAAATTAAAATTGTTAAATATAAAAAAAAATACGAAATATTGTTTAAATGCTAGAAATTTATAAGAGAGTCTAGACTAGAGACAACAGCTGCAAACACTTGAATATGTCTCTTCATTTTTATAAAATATTTTTTAAAAAATATTGTAAATTTGCTCTTGATGAATACGTGAACTGTGAATAATTCCGCCTGCTCTATATGATATCTCATTAAATGAACTTTTTGTTTATGTCAACTACAAAAATTTCCTTTTTTGGCTTCGCCTTTTTTTATTTTTCTACTAACTAAGAAATCTGTTCATTTAACTGTCTAACTCTCAGAGCAAATTCCCTACAAATTTTAATATATTTTGCCGCTGTCTCAGGCTTTGATCTATGATTAACAAAAATAAGTTGTTAGAGCTCAATTTTAATAATAATTAATTTTTTTTATAAATATATATATATATATATATATATATATATATATATATATATATATATATCTTTCAAATTCGCCCAATCATTAACCGCCTTTTCAGACAGTATTCATCGAGTGCGATTACAACTCTCTCAGCAACATCCACGCTGAATAAATTGAAGGACGCAAGGCTAGTTTTTTATCTAGTTTTAGTTCGATTTGAACAATTTGGCTTTACTATTATTAGCTCATATATTTATATATATTTTTTATTAATAAACATACAGCAGCTGCAGCTGCTCTGCCTAACTCTAATTTATGTCTTTTCACATGTTTCCTAAAGTCTCTAAAGTCAAACAAAAATTTACAGCTTTTGCTACACTTTCAATCAACATAATTTATAATATTTGTCTACAGTTGACAAGCCAGCTGTCAAATATTTAACAGCTGTCAAAAGCTACTGAAGTATCTGAGCAGCTCTTTAGCTGCTTGCACTTAAACTGAATTTGATTTGACACTGAAAGCAATTTAGCAGCAATATATATATATATATATATATATATATATATATATATATATATATATGAATAAATATCGATTGACGAAAACTTATCGATCCTCTCAACACGTTACTTGCTTGATATAGACTGATAATACATAATATGGGAACACTTTTCATGTCATATATTTATAAATATATATATATTTATTTTATTATCAATTTTCAATTGAAGCATAGAACTTTGCAGTATTTTTTAATGTCATTTCTGGCTCTTATTAATATTATTAAAATTGTATAAAAATTTATAGAATTTGTACTCTTTGGTATAAAAATACTAAACTGAAATAATTGTTAAGAAACAATGAATACTTTTTATCTTGATTAGCAGCTATATACCATAAGACTTCTATATCTGCCTGATGCTGTGCTCTCTTGAGTGATTTCTATATTGCATCTATCTCTCTTCTCGATCAATTCTCTTCCATTCTCTTATCTTGATCGTCTTCTATGTTGATCAACTGCCTACCATTCTCTCTTCTTTATTGCATCTATATCTTTCTCTTTCTCTCTCTTCTTGATCGTCTTCTTTATTGCATCTATATCTTTCTCTTTCTCTCTCTTGATCGCTTTCTTTATTGCATCTATATCTTTCTCTTTCTCTCTCTTCTTGATCGTCTTCTTTATTGCATCTATATCTTTCTCTTTCTCTCTCTTGATCGCTTTCTTTATTGCATCTATATCTTTCTCTTTCTCTCTTTTCTGGATCGTCTTCTTTATTGCATCTATATCTTTCTCTTTCTCTCTTTTCTTGATCGTCTTCTTTATTGCATCTATATCTTTCTCTTTCTCTCTCTTGATCGCTTTCTTTATTGCATCTATATCTTTCTCTTTCTCTCTCTTCTTGATCGTCTTCTATATTGCATCTATATCTTGCTGATCCCCTCTTTCCTTGATCAACTTCCACTACTCCATGCTCCCTTCCCTAATTCCTACTGCCTTTTCCTCTATTAAACCTGGTCCAGGCTTCAGCGTGCCAACGTTTCACTTGCTCTTTGGTTAGTTGGTTAGTTGTGCGCTACGAACCTCACACTCGCCCTCGGTTTCCGTTTCGTTGGATGAGCTGATGGGCTCCATGGTTGTGTTGCTGCTCAGCTCATCGTCAGGGCGATTGAACAGCTTGCTGGCATCGGTGTCCAGATCGATGAGAGCGCGCTCTGCCAGAGCAGCTGCCTCCTCCAGTTCGAGTTCCAATAGATCCGAGACGCTGCTGGAGCCCGAAGAGCTGAGATAAACCAATTCGGCGTCTTCGGACTGCGGCGACAATGTGCTCTGCAGGCGAGTGCAGCTCTCCAGGTCGTCGCTCTGCTCGATCAGCTTCGTTTCCAGCATGAGAGCAATCGGCTCCTCGCGTCGCCTGTGCCGACGACTGAAGTCGAGCTGGCTGCGCGGAAACGTTTCGTTGAGCTTGACGGGCACAGCTGAACGCGACTTGGACTGATCCGTGGCGGAGGCACTGCGGCTCAGGTCACTCTGCGCTGCAGCTGTTTCGCTGTTCTCCTCCAGAATGCTGTCCAAATAGCGCGGACTGAGCAGCTGCGGCAAAAAGTGCGATTCGAGTGCGTTGCGCTTCTGGGCGCGCTTCTGCCGCAGCTGCTCCTGTTGCTCGGCGCGACTGCTGGACGGTAAGTCGGAAGAGAACGCTAACAGAGCCGTGGGCGTTGTGGCCTCCGTCTCGGAGTCGGCCTCAAAGACCAGCGGCGACTGCGGCGGTCCATTGAACTCCCCGGAGCTGCAATCGCTGCTCTGTTCCAGCTCCTGAATTTGCACATCGCGCGAGAATTTACTGAACTGTTGCACGGCTTTTGGTGAGGGCGATTCGACGAGGTAACGCGGCGGCGGCGACAAAGTGCCGCTATTATTGCTGCTGCTGTTGTTGTTGCTGTTGTGCGTGTTGCTGCTGTGTGCTGTTGCTGTGGTGCTGCTGATCTCCTCAATTGTTGGCTTACCTTGGCGAGCGCGTTCCTGCTCGTCTGTCTCGATGCGTATCTGATGTATAATCACTTTGGTGCTGCGCTGCAGCGGCTGATTTGGCGCATGTTGCTGCGGTGGCAGCGACTGTTGCTGCTGCACCAGCGGCTGTTGCAGCTGACAATTGGCCAAGAGCTCCTGCACAGCAGCTGGCAACTGTTGCTCTGCTTGCTTCGATTGCTGCTGTTGCGTTTGCTGTTGCTGTTGCTGTTGCTGTTGCTGTTGCTGTTGCAGCTGTTGCTGCTGTGCATCCGCTGCTTCATTGCCTTCGCGCACTATGCGATGCACTATGACCTTGGCCTGTCGTGGACTGCCTGGTGCTTTTACTGGCTGTTGCTGCTGCTGCGCCTCCGCTGGCTGCTGTTGCTCTCGCTGCTGCTTGGAATTTTTGGCGCCCATTGCTGCTCTAGCAACAGCTGATTGCTGCTGTGCTGCTGTCGTATAGCTCGCTTCCTTTTCAATCAACACAGGCACTATGTGAACGACTGGCTGTTGCTTTAGCTGATCCTCAGTCTGCTTAGATTGATCAACTGGCTGATCGTGAAACTTCTCTTGATCTTTAAAATGATTTTGCAGCAGTTTCTTTGACTGATCGACAATTTCCTGCCTCTTCAGTTCCTCAACGAAGTCTTGCTTGATCTGCTGCTCTTCCACAGCTTTTTCAACAATTGTTGCTTTCTGAGTCTTTGATTCTGCGATCAGCTGCTTATGGAATTGATCTTCAGTAGTATTCTGGAACTGCTGCTTTATCTGCACTTTCACTTCAAGCGGCTGCACAGGCTGTTCTTCTTGCGAATCTTCAAGCTGATCAGCTGTCTGCTGTTTAAGTGAATCTTCCAACTGATCTTTCACTTCAAGCGCCTGATCTGTGCACTGTTTGTTAGATTGATCTTCCACCTGATCGGCAAGTTTTTCCTCTTTAAGCTGATCTTTCACTTCAGCAAGGTGTTCTATGGACTGTTCTTCAGAGTGATCGACAAGCTTTTCCTTCTTCAGCTGATCTTTCACTACAGCAAGCTGCTCTTTGAGCAGTTCCTTCGATTGATCTTCAGACTGATCCTCTGTTGGCTGATCATTCACTTCAATCAGCTGCTCTTTGGCCTGCTTTTCAGGCTCTTCTCTCTGCTCTATAGAAGAATCTTTCAGCTGATCTTTCACTTCAATCAGCTGCTCTTCAGGCTTCACTTCTGTCCGATCTTCCAGCTGATGTTTCACTTCAATCAGATTTTCTGGCTGATCTTCTTTTAGCTTTTGCTGGCTGATCTCATTGCTGGCTATGCCAGTTGTTGCCTCATCAGCAGCTGTGACGCTGTCGCTCGCTGTAGGTGACCCATTTGAAATGCTGCCAGAATTTGCATTATGATCATGCTGAAGATCCTCAGCTGCTGCTAATGATGCTGATGAAGTTGTTGCTGCTTCTGCTGCTGCCTTCTCCTGCTGCTCCTCTGTTTCGTTGCCTTCTGTTGCCGCTTGCTGTTTATTTTGATTTTGATTTTGATTTTGATTTTGATTCTGATTTTTATTGCGCTTATTACGATTACGATTACGATTGCGATTACGATTATTGTTTGGCATCGTCTACGTCGCGTCTAAGCCACACTCAAAAGTCTTTCTTGGTATATATATGCACTATATATGTATGAGAGCTGTGTGTGGTTGTGTGTGTTTAATTTGTTGTGCCTGCAGTGTGTCTGCTTATTACGCATACGCCGCGTTTGCCGCTTTCAATCAGCTAAATCTAAAAATTGCTGCTTATTCGTGTGAAAATTGCTTTTGTTTCTTTCTTGATTCTTATTTATTCATTTGCTCGTTTATTGTCGTATTTTGTCGTCTTTTGTCGTCGTCGTAGGGATTATTCTCGCATTCTCTGTGTCACTCGTCGCTGGCAGAAACAGAACTAAAACTAAAAAACTCAACCAAACGACGGCGCCATCAGCCGATCAAGCACAGCCGACGAGCCGGCATTTCAAGCAGCGTCAACGCCGGCTGCGACGTCAGCAGCAACGGCAACTGCGAAGCCCGACAGCCCGGCAAAAGTTTTGACACGCGTCCGGCGCTGCACAAATTTTGATATACAAATACATATATCATATATATATATGTACATAAATATCTGCTTCTATATCTATATATATTTATCACGTAATTGTTGGCCGCAAAAAAGAAGAAAACTTTTGATTTTTACGTTTTAGTTATCAACTTTCGCTCTCAACGCGCCCGATTTGCGTGCCCGACATTTTCATTTTTCCTCGTTCGTTTCGTTTCTTGCGAGACTTTTCCCTAACAAGATAGATTTTCTGTCGACTTTTCTTTTTCGAGCGCGCGTTTCTTCTGCAGACGGCGGCTGGCGACCAAGGAATGGGCCATGGGCTGCTCCCAGCTGCCAAGCGGGCCACACAATTCTGTGGCGCAACGGGCACGTAAACGGGAAAAAATCGAGGAAAAAACAAGAGGAAAAAACAAGAAAAACTAAAGCGAACAACAACAACAACAGCAACGCACATACAATATGGGGCATTCATAATGAGGCTCGTCTGATGATCGTTTTAAAAATACATGCGGCGCTGTCTGGTGGAATTGTGGAGAGCGCAGCATTCGCCTCTCAAGTAGTGGGAGTACAGCGAGTGCGTGCATTGCGGGCGGGGGCGTGGCAGTTGCAGGAGTCATGTGTCGAGTGCTAAGCAAATAGGCAGTGTATTCATGTTGTCTGAGTAGCATCTCAACAAGCAACAAACATAAACAAAACAGCTCAAAATCAAGTACAAGTCACGTCAAGTTCTCAGGACTTGAGGCGCACGCGAATAGTCAAACAACAAATGTGGCAAATAAATTTCAAAACAGAAAAATATACAAATATATATACATATATATATATATATATATATATCTATCTATATAGATACACACAGCTTGCCTGCGGTTATAAACAAAATCGAAACTGAGTTGTTTAGAAAATGCTTTTGCGCCTCTGTTTTTCGTGCTGCAAAATAATGTCATATTTAATTATAATTTTGGCTACGTTGAAATTTCTGCAATTTTCATGTTTTTATTTGCGCAGTGAATGCCAGATGAAATGAAGAACTCAACTTTGAGATGTTTCAACTTTTCAAATAAACAGCACACTTTCAAAGGCAACCCAATATTGTGATTGCAAATTTAATAACAGCTCAAAATACTTTTGCTACAAATGGTTATTCCATAAATGTTTGCAAATTTATATATATTATATATATATTTGTATATATGTTTCGTTAATATAAATACTATCATACATAACAAAATAGTATTTTTATTATCAAAAAGAAAAATGATTTTAATGGTTTGTTAAACTCTTTGATAAAGCATTAAATCATTTTTTTAATTAAAAAATATATATTAAAAACATTAAAAAAATATTTTACATATAAATATATGTACATTTTTTTGAAATAAAAGTTTTTAAATTTTTATTACAAATTTTATTATGTTCAAAATACTTGTTAAATATTTTGTTGAACAAAATTTGAGATATTTTTTTATAAAATAAAAATTGTGAATTGTGAAGTAAAATAAAAAATCATTTCAAATATATTGAATTTATCGTAACTCAAAATATTTTTCATATTCGACTAATTTTTTCAACTCAAATTTAAAATGTTTTAAATAGAAATATTCATTAATAATCATAAAATTCATTTAAAAAAAAATAAAATTATATTTAAATATTTAAAAAATCATTTTAAATAGAAGTGAAAAATATCTTGCCATTCATTTTACTTTTTTTTAGCTTTTATAATTAATGAGAAAATTTTTTTTTTGTAAAATTTGAAATCTTTCCGAAATTTCTCAAATTTTGTTGCTGTTTTTATAAACTTGAAATGTTATTTATTATCTTTCTTATCATGATTCAATTAATTCTATTTTAAGTCATTCAAAAATGTTTTCTTTAGTTGGAAGACACGAAAATGTTTATTTCTTAAATCAATTTTACTCAGACAAAACGCTGCGCGCCATTTGCCCCGCCCTCGGAACACCTCAGCCAATATGCCCAAAACAAATCGCTTAAGTTCCACACTGCAGTCGAGCGAGTGTGTGTGTGAGAGAGTGTGCGTGTGTGTGTGTCTAACTTATGGCATTTTCAAGATATTTTTCGTGCGTAATTTCTTTCGATTTGTTTTTAGCTTTATTTTTTTTGGTGTCTGTTCCCCGTTTTGTGTTGTACACTTGAATAATTTTTACGAGTTGAAATTGAAGCACTTTTTTCCGACTGACAAAGTGTGCCGACTGTATATAGAGAGTGTGTATATATGTAGGGAGAGAGAGCTATGTATCTTCCACTGGGCCATGCGGTTAGTAGTCGTTGATTTATTTATAAAAAGTACTTAATGGATTTTAATTTCTTGAGTTCAGCTAGCTCTGGTGCTGCTGCTTACTCATCTTTGTGGGCGCAAATAGATCTGTGATGCCTTTCCCAGAGCCTGTCAGGTGCCAGACGACAGACGAGGCAGACACACGGACAGCCAGAGAAGTGTGAAATGTGCACGTGATGCAAATGAACTGTGCCTCAGGGGCGAGTAGTAGCAGCGGAAAGATTATGCAACACTCTCTCACCCACTCTCTCTCTCTCTCTCACACAGGAACAACAATTATAAGCACAAGAGCCGCACAGTGGTGCACACTTAACATTTGCTACCTAATTAAAAAACTATTAAAACGGCAATTTCCTTTCTGCCAGACATAAAAACTCAAGCAACACCTTACAACTGTCTGTCCCACTCCCTCTCTCTCCCAGTCTCCCCTTCTCTCTTGTTTATTTGCTTTGGTTTCGCTTCCGTTGCGTTAGTTTTTTGTGGTTTTCTGTTTTTTAATGTGCCCAGAACATTATCATATTATCATATTAGGTATCGCATGCCCAACGCAGTTAGGGTACATATTATTTCTCTACATTTGCGCAACATCGATAACAATCACAACAACAGCAACAACAACAATTACCACTTATTGCACTAGATATGCATTTCATTTTCTCTATAATTTTTTTTTCAATTATCTTTAAATTCTTCAACTGATAAAGACACAATTCTGTGTCGAACTGACGTTTCTATTGTTGAAACTTGGCTGGGAAATATATTCAGATATGGGAATACTCGAAAATTAAAATGAAATGAAAAATGTATATTAAAAATTATGAATGAAGTGGCTTACTGCATATATTAAGCTTCAATTTTTAAATTTCAATTTCAATTTTTTTTAAATTTTTAATTATTGTATTCAAAAAATTTTAAGTTTTTAATTCTTAAATATTTTTATTTATCTCAATTTAAACTTAAATTTTTTATATATTTTTCATATTTCGTATAAAATTGCAAAATACGTTAATAAATTAAATATTATATTAACAATTTTTTTTTAAGTTATGTGTAACTTTTTCTATATATATATATTTTATATATATTTTTTTTTATATATATATTTTTTTTATTTTTATATTATTAATTATTATTTTGTAAAATAAACTTGTGAATTTTAATTTTTTTTATTCCATATTTTATATTATAATAATAATATATATAAAATATATATATATATATATAATAAAGACACTATTATTATATGTTTTTGGCGAATTTGGCGCATTTTGAATTATTTTAATATACTGTAATTTTCACACTTAAAATGTTAGCTGAACATAGTCTAAATTTAAATAAAATGATGACTGTGTTTCGTTAGGCAAAAACGGGTTTTCGGTTGGCTCAGCAAATGCAATCTATGTACGAGTATATATAGCATATGTATATATATTTTAGACTTTTAAGTGCGAATGTTTACTGTATTTATTTTTCTCTTCTCTTTTGATCTAATTGTCTATTCAGACAAAGGTCTGACAATTCTCTGTATATTTATGGACCTATCTGATCTATCTTTTCGTATACATTTATCTAACTTCACATGTATAGTTTTTTAGACTATCTATCAATTTATCTATTGATCTATCTTCTAATTTCAAATCCATTCATTCATCCCTCTATACTGTCATTCAAACAATCTATCTATCTACCTAAATGCCTATCTATCTATGTTTCTCTTCATATTGTAAACTATCTTTCACTCTGTCTTTTTTATTTTATTTCTTTATATATATTCACTTCTCCATTCATGTTTTTATCTATATTTCTATGTCATTTATGTATATATGTATATATGTGCATCTATTGATCGTTCTATATCTATCTGTCTATGGATCTAGATATATTTAACTGTTCAGCTAACTATCTCTTTATTTTAGAGTCTATCCACAACTATATGCATCTGGCTATCTAACTCCTTGCATCTACTCGCCTGTCTCTAAATCTATCTACCTATTAACATATATTTATACGCACCAACAACTATATTTGCCTATAATGTTCTGCTCACTTGTTCAATTCAATTTTCTTTAAGCTCCATTATTTTTGAATTTCCACACCAATTCCAATGGCAATAAATCAATTTATTTTTTTTTATAATTCAATTTAAGTTTCAAGCAATATTTCACAGATTCATAAAAATTTTTTCAATTTACAGTTACGCACAACAAATTCTTCAAAGTTTTACAGCGGCTTGCCATAAGTCGAAATGGCCTATTGATTTTATTTGCTCTTTGTCCTTGCTTTTGTTGTTTTTCTTTATTTCGTTTTTGTTGTTGTTGTTTTTTGTTGCTAATTAGCATAGATTTTTAATGTTGTTTCGTTGTTTTGTTGTTTGTTGGCTCTTCATTTGAATACAATTTTGGTGCTGTAGTTGTTGTTGTTGTTGTTTTTCTGTTTACGTATGCGTAATTTATTTAGGCAACGTGCTGCACTCTCACCCACTCTCTCTCTCTCGCTCTTCCTCTTTCTCTAACTCGCTTACTTTATTTGTTTTTTACACACACACACACACACACATACGCACAGTTGTAATACAAACATAATTAATTTATGGCCAGCGCGCGCTCATTTGCTGCAGCCACCCACAAGCAGCCGACGCCGACAGCGACTGCGACGCTGACGTCACGAGGTCAACGTCAAAGCGGCAAATCACAAACAGCAATCA